TCTCTCTCCTCTCTCTCGCTCTCTCTCCCTCTCTTTCCTCTATCTCTCCTTTCTCGCCCTCTCTCTCCCTCTTGCACCAACGACGAGTACTGACTCTCCTCTCCCGCGCGCGCAGTCGAGCAAGAGTCGCGGTGAGGGCCCTGTCGCGACCCAGGACGTTCACGACGACGGGAGCCTCGGGACCGTCGCCGCAGCAGCAGTCGCAGTCGCAGTGTAGAAGTGGCTCCACGCGTATCTTTGCATCACTCGCACCCATCTCGATCCATCCTCTCTCGCTCTGCGGCTCGACTCGAACCCGTCCCTCCTCCTCGGGCGCCCGCACGGCCCTCCTGCGGCTCACCCTGACAGCGACAGAGAGTGCTTGACCACCCTCCTCCTCTGCGTCTGCTTGCCCTGCTTGTGCTCTGCCTTCTCCTCGTCCTCGCTCGGCCGCTCAACGACCAGGCTCTCAGGCCGCCGCCGGCCCGCCTCCCCTCGCTCCTCCTCGCTCGACAGCGTCGCGCCCGGCTCCCACGTGCTGTACGCCCGCCCAGCGTGCCGCAGCCGCTCGTCCTCGACCCGGTCGTGCGCCGCCTTGCGCATGAGCGGGTGCGCCCTCATGCCGTCCTCCTCGTCGGCGACGCTCGCCGCCCACGCGCCGTGCCGCCGCTCGAGCTCGTCCCGGTCGTCCGGGTGCTTGACGTCCGGGTCGTCGAGGATCGTGTCGAGGCGAGCGCGCAGAGCAGGCTCGTGCACGTGCTCGGTCGCTTCGAGCTGGCGCTCGATCTCGCGCTTGCGGCGAGCGCTCGTCGACGGGACGTCGTACTCGCGCTGCCGGCGGAGCGTCTTCGCGCGACGAGCGTCGAGTGCGGCGTGCGCGTCGTCGAGCCCTTCGAGGCGGCGCAGCTGCCGCGCGCGACGGGCGAGGAACGCCTTGTTGGCGCGCGCCGTCAGGAGGCGGTCGTCGCGCTCGTGCTCGGTCTCGTGCGGCAGCGGCTCCGGGTGGAGCTGTCGAGCGGCGCCGAGACCGTGTGCGCCGGCGCCCCAGCCGTGCGCCTGCAGGTACGCGGCGTGTCGCTGGGTCGGGTTGCGGCCCTGCGCGTCGATGTCGACGTCCGAGCCGCTGCCGTCGGCCGTCGACGACGAGCGCTGTGCGGCTCGACGGCGCCGAGGCTCGTCCTGCTCTCGACCCGACGCCTCGCCCGAGTTGAGGTACGCCTCGTCGTCCGAGCTGGCGACACGCCCGCTCCGCTCGAGCAACCCTCGGCGTGCGCCGCCCTTGTCGTCGCCGCCATTCTTGCGCGACGAGCGCGACGAGCTCGGCAGGACCGAGGCGAGGCGGTCGCGCTTGCTGCGCGGCGCCTTCTTGCCCGAGTCGTACTGCCACGACGGGTCGTAGAAGGCCCGAGCGGGGTACAGCGTCGAGTGGTCGAGCTGCGGCGGCAAAAAGTCGTGGCCGGCGTAGTGGCACTTGAGGAAGAGGCGCTGCGAGGGGGGCGAGAGGGTCAGTACCGCACGCCGGCACGATCGAGGAAGAGCGGGCTCGAGGACGCACCATGATGTCGAGCGCGATGCAGAAGACGGAAGTGGCGATGTAGGGTGACTGGGCTAGCAGACCCTCGCCCTTGTAGTTGATGAGCATAATTGACTTGCGTGCAGCGAGAGACGGTCAGGCGCAGCTCGGCTACTTGAGAAGGTCGAGAAGAAGAGAGAGCGGGACGTACGACGACGTTGAAGCCGTGCGTGAGTGCGCCGACGATGATGGAGGCGGTCGTGACGCCCTCCTTCTTTTTCTCCTTGTACGACTGGTACATCGAAAAGAGCCGCGGCCCGACCCAGAAGCAGAACCCTGTGCGCGCACTGCTCGTCAGGAACCATACGGACACATCCGGACGCCGGACTGCGAGAGACGACAAGAGAAGAGGGACAAGGAATGGCAGGGGGAGGGGAGGGAGAGGGGAGGGAGAAGAAGGACGAGGAGGAAAAGACTTGCCGAACCAGCCGGGCACGAACGCCACGAGGCTCTGCGGCAGCGGCTCTGGCGGCTCCTTCGAGTTCTGCTGGGTGTACGTGGCGCCGTACCACACGGCGGTAAAGACGAGGACGACAAAGACCGTGCCGGCGACCTGGATAGCGATCATGGTCGGGCGCGGGATGGCCTTGGGCGGCTTCCACGGCGTCTTCTTGCCGCGAGCTCGACGAGAGGCGTTGGCGGCGTCGATCTGGCGCTCCCGCCGAGCAGATCTCTGCTTGTCGAGCGCGTCGTCGCCCGGCGGCATGTGGAGCTGCGGCCCGACGCCCATCATGTGCGCAAAGGCGTGTTGCGCAGGGTGCCGCCACTTTGCCGGGTCGCCCTTCTCGTCGAACTCCTCGTCAGGATGCCGCTTGACGCAATACACGTTGAACAGGATCCAGACGACGAGGAAGCTGCGCAAGAGACGCCGAAAGAGGTAGGGTCAGAAAGGGTCCGAGCGACGTTGACGCTCGTTCGAGCGACGTGGGGGGAATCTCCACACACGTTTCGAGGACGGCGACGATGCTGCAGGGGGGTCGAGAGCGTCAATCGACGGTGAAGGAGAGAGAGGAAGAAAGGGCGAGGAAGAAAGGAGGGTCGGTGCGCACATGTACAGCGAGATCTGCGTGATCTGTGCATGGCCCGAGAAGACGGTACCGAACAGGTGCAGAAAGTCGCCGAGCAGCCACGAGGCGAAGAAGGTGAGGCGCGCCGCGTCGACTGCGAGGGAGAGTGTGTCAGCCCAGGAACCTTGGCTCGAGGAGAGGGAGAGGAGGGACGCACTCTCGTGAGGGCGGTACTTGATGACATCGTAGATCTCGGGACAGAAGAGCCAGATGCCGCAACCCATTGCCTGTCGTCGACAAGAGGTGGGAGGACGAGGGGAGAACGGTGAGTGAACGTGTCGAGGAGAGGAAGGACGACCGTGACGACGGCGAGACTTGACGCACCCAGTAACCGAACAGCGACGAGAGCAGCTCAGCCACTGTCCACATCTCTGCAGCGGTGCTCGAGAGGGAGATGGTCGAGAGAGAAACGAGCGAGTGAAGGTGCGCCCGCACCTCGTCCTCGTCGGCGAGTCCGCGGACCTCGGCGACGCCTCCCAAACTCTCTGAGCAGCCCGGTCCGCCCAACTTTCGACGCGCACGCGATAAAGACGTCATCAGGCGCATCGGTCGGCCGAGAGCAGCCGAGGAAAGCCGGCTCTCGAGAAGGCTCGAGCGAGGGGAGGGGGAACGACGAGCGAGGGCAGACGACGAGCTCGACGGCTGCGAGAGGTCGAGGGTGAAAGGTTGCGTTGCAGAGAGTCGATGGCTGGACTCACTTGCCGCCCCGGCCTCGCCCACCGCGACCGCCGCCGCCGCCGCCCCGACCGCCTCCACCGCCCCGACCGCCGCGCCCGGACCCTCCCCCTCGACTGGCACCACCTCGCGACCCTCCTCGACCACCTCGCCCACCGCCCGAGCCCCGCTCGCCGCCGTCGTCGGGCTTGGCGCTGTTCTCGAGCTTCTTGCCGCCGTTGTTCTTCTTCTCGTTGTCCTCGGCGCGCTTGCGCTCCTTCTTGGTCGCCGGTCGCGGCAGCGCGATGCCGATCGGCGTCTTGGCCTGCCGCACCTGGTCCTTGTCGATGCGCTTGAACTGCTTGCTCGAGAAGGACGCCGGGCCGACGCGCGCCTTCTTCTTGGGCGGCGCCGACGACTTTTTGGGCGCGGGCGCCTCGTCGTCCTCGTCGTCCGACAGCTGGTACGCCTGCGAGAGCGGGATCGGCGACGTGTCCGAGTCGTCGTCGTCGTTCCACGGCTCGTCGCCGTCGTCAAAGTTGGCGCCCTCGCCGTCCGAGTGCGAGTCGTCGGCGTCCGAGTCGGGCGCCATCTCATCGTCCTCGTCGCCCGAAAAGTCGTCCTCGTCGTCCTGGTCGTCGTACAGCTCCTCGTCGCTACCGGCTTGGAGGCCGTGCTCGCGCTCGTACGTGTCGATGGCGACGTCGTCGCCGACCGCCGGGACGAGCTCCGGGTTCTCCTCCTCGTCGTCCTCGTCCTCGTCCTCGTTGGCGGCGACGTCCTTGCCCTTGCCCGACGCGGCCTTCTTGGCGGCGACGTTGGCCTCCTGCTGCGCGCGACGCTCGGCCGCGAGCTTGCGGCGGGCGGCGTGGACCTTGGCGAGCTCGGCCGCCTCGCGGTTCGTCTTGTGCACTGCGGACGAGCACGACGAGATACAGGATGTCAGTGACGAGCTCGAGGCGACGCAGAGGCGCAAGGAGAAGGAGAGAGAGAGAGAGAGAGAGAGAGACGCGGGACGCACCCATCTCGTGAAACAGGACCTCGCCCTCGCCGACGCCCTCCTCGATCTTGACGAGGCCGAGCTCCATGCGCGGACCCAGCTCGACGAGGCGCACGGCGCGCTTGTCGCCCCTCGCGCCCTTGCCCCGGTTGCCGCGCCCGACATAGTCGCCGGCGAGGCGCACCTTGCCCTTCTTCTCGTCTTGCTCCGAGTCGCTCGCGCCGCCGGCCGAGCCGACCGACTCGCCGCCGTCGCTCATGTCCGACACCTCGCTGTCGGACGTGACAAAGCCCATCTGCTCCTGGCGCAGGATGTAGTCCGAGATGTCGTCGGCGCGCGACAGGTCGAGGATGCCCTTGGCCTTGCTCGCGCCGCCGCGGGCCTTGGTCGGCACGGGGCGAGGGACGACGGCCTGGTTGTTGGCCTCGGCGTCCGACGCCTCGGACTCCTCGGACGTGCCCTCGAGCGGCCGCTTGCGCGACGTCAACGGCGCCGCCTTGTTGTTGGTCGAGCCGGCGATGATCTTGCGCACCGACCGCGACACGCCGACGGGGCGGACCTGGATGACGTAGTGGCGGAAGTCGATCGTGTGCGTCGTCGCGTTGTACGACAGGAGGACGACTCGGCGAGCGGAGGACAGGGCCATCTGGTTCGGCGAGGAGAGGGGAGGTCAGTCCATGATTGACGACCCGGTCGACCTGCGCGCTCGACGGCGACTGAGGGAAAGAGATAGAGAGAGAGAGAGAACGCACCGTCTGGACGTGGATGGGCGGGAACAGGTTCTGGAAGACGGTCGTCATGAGCTTGAGCTGCTTGTCCTCGCCGCCAAAGCCCGACAGGATGAGGAGGGGCGCCTCGGCGAACTCGCGCCCGACGGCCCTCGGACGCCTCGCCATACGCAGGACGTCGGCGGCGAGCGAGTAGCGCAGGACCTTGAAGTTGAGGGTCGGGCCGCGAGGCAGGCGGATCAGGCGCAGGTTGACGGTCGTGGTGCCCTCGAGGAGGGAGCGCTCGGCGCGCTCCTCGGCCGTCTCGCCGACGCGTGCGGCCGTCTCGGCGGCCGGGTCGGGGATGCTGGACGTAGGAGGCTGGGAGACGACGAGGAGGTGGGTGACGCCGAGCGGGCCCGACATCGAGACGTAGTCGCGCAGCCGGTTCGCCTTGCGCTCCTGCACGAGGGGGCCGAGCGGTACGAGTCAGTGCGAGGTCCCAACTGTGCTCTGGCCTGGCTCGCAAGCTCGTGTGTGCGACTCGACGGGTCGAGCACCGCCTCGTCGCTCGCGCTCGGCGAGGGGTTCGGTCGTCCCTTCCCACCGCCCTTGCCGCCGCAGATGTCCTGAGAGGAAGGAGAGGGGACGGACCCTGAGTCGCGAGGCCGTGTTGGGCTCGAGGACGCGCCTGACGTCCTTGGTCAACTGCGAGACGGTGCCGCCGACGGTGCCGCTGTGGACGACGAACGACTTGGGCGTCTTCTGTGCGCCTGCTGCGCCGGGAGCTGCGGGTGCGGCATTGAGCGCGGGCTTGATCTGCAACGGGAGCGGGTCGGGTGAGCTCGAGGTGGTGGTGGAGCGCGGTCGAGAGGGAGGGGGAGAGGACGACAAGCGAGCGCGGGACGCACGTGGGTGCGCGTCTTGCGGCGCTTGGATCCCTTGCGAGGCATGGCTGGAGCTGGTGGCGCAGGCGGTGGTGTGGGTTGAGCGACTGATGAGGCTCAGGCGGTCGAGGTCGAGCTCAGAGGCGCGAGGCTGGCGCTCCGCGGACTTTGGCTCTCGCCCTCTCTCCCTCCTCGCTCGCTCTCTACAGCGCGATCTGCTCGCTTCCGCGCCCAGCGTGGGCATACGCACAGGCTGCTTGCCCACCTACCTCGACCGCACTCGACACGGCGCTCCTCGTCTCGCCGCTCCCGGCAACTCGTCACAGCTCGCGAGCTCGCCTTCCTCTCTCGAGCAAGCGACGCTGTCGCGGGAGGCGCTCGAGCTGCGACGACTCGTCATGCACGAGGCCGAGCGCGACGAGCTTGCCCGACCGCGATCATCCGCGCCTCGCCAGCCTCCAGAACCCCTGAGCCACTCCGACTCGCTGCGGCGTGTTTGTGCCCTGGCGTCGCTCGACTCTGCTTCTCTCTCTCCATCCATCAGCGGCCGTCAAGATGCCCTCTGCCGCCGAGCGCGTCCCCCTCGAGCTCGTCATCCGCGTCGTCGAGATGGCCGCCGCCCGCCTTCCCACCTCGCGAGCCGACATGAGCGCTTATCGCCAGCTCCTCTACTCGGCGTGCCTCGTCTGCCGCGCCCTGCGTCCTATCGCGCAGCCGTTGCTGTGGCAGTGGGCTCACGTACGCGGCGCCGCGGCGCTCGGCGCGCTCGAGCGCGAGGCTCGCGCCCGGCCCGACCTCGCGCGACACGCTGGCGGGTTGAGCCTGTGGGTATCACCGCTCGACTCGGTCGACGACCACCTTGGCGAGGTGCTCGAGCTCTTGCCGGCGCTGCAGGGATTCGAGCTCGTCGGCGACTGCGTCTTTGACGTGGCGGCGCTGCAGGCCGCTCAAGGTGCGTCCCCTTCTCTCCCTCTCCTTCTCTTCTCTCGTCTCGCACACCCGCTCACATCTCGCACCTTACCAGGCCTCAAGCTCGTCCGACTACGAGGATCCCTGCTCCACTCGACCACGCCCTTCTCCCTCCCAGCCGTCCGCCTCCTCGAACTCGAGCTCAACATGGTCACCTCATCGTCGACTTGGCTCCTCCCGTCCTCGTTCCCCAACCTCGAGAGCGTCACCCTGAGCCAGTGCGCCCCACGAGACGACCTCGTCGACGGCCTCCTCAAGGCGTTCGGCCCCGACCTGCAGGTCCTCTCGCGCCCGACGATGTGCGACCCGTTCCGCCTCGAGCCGCGCTCGGCCGATGCCGTCACCCTCCTCGACCTCGCTCGACTCGCCCGACACCCTGTCCACCCTCCCTCACCGGGCCGCACCGCCTTCCCGAGAAACCGCCACTCGATCCTCCGCATCGTCGACGCCCGACCCGCCCTCGGCCTTGACGCCCTCACGACCATCCGCACCGCCCTCCCCTGGATCCGCGGGCACGAGCTCTGGGTGCCGCGGTCCCTCCTGCACGACGTCGTCGAGGTCGCCTGGGCGCAACTCGAGCGCGACGTCGCCCTCTTTGGCGGGCGGCTGACGCCGTACGACCTCGAGCTGTACGAGCGGCGCTCGCGACCGCGGTGTCGAACGGCGGGATCGGGCGGCGAGGTGGGCGCCGTCGACGACGAGGTACGGGCGGTGGAGCTGGTCGGGAACGAGGAGCGCGAGCGCGGCTCGTTGGACGACATCTTCCCGCGGTCGTAGCTCTCGCGCGGTCCAGACTCGCTCGCAGGAGCTCTCGGACACCTCCGAGAGTGCTCGGCGGCTGCTGAGCGCACGTCGAGACGGGAGGGCGGTCGCTCGGGCCTGCTCGGCGCGACGGAGGACGGGCGGTGGCCGTCGCGATAGCTCGGCGGCGCAGGTCTCTGTAGAGCTTCTCCCTCATTGATGTCATCTTGACAGTTTGAGCATCGGACGCTGCGGTTACGAGGCCTGTACGAGCGAGACGAGCGTTGAAAGCGCGTTCTGACTGTGCGCGAGCGAACGTCGCTCGTCTCGCCCCTTCTTTCTCCGTACTGGCGGCTCACAGAGAGGCCACGAGCTACAATCGCCCGCCTTGCCACGTTCTGACTGCTCACGAGCGGAATGTTGAGGACGACTCGTCCGGCTCGTCCGGCGCTCCACCCGGCTCGCTTCAATGCTGTCCCTCTCCCTCGTCACGGCTCGTTCGCCTTTGCTGCGACCCGCACTAGACGATCGCAGCTTCCAAGGCCATGCACGTTGCCGACCTGGCCTCGTACGGTGCGTCCCCGCCCTCTCGCGTCCTCCCGAGTCTTCATCATCCCTCCCACAGGCCACGACACGCACGTCGAGCAGCTGCAACGCGTCCACAAGCTCCTCTCGGCACGACTGCGAGCTCTCCCCGACCTCTCGGTAACCTCGACCAAGGACGCCATTGAGCACGCGCTCCATGTGCTGCCGGACGACCTCCCGCAAGATGGACTCGGTCTGGAAGGTGCGTCACACCGTACAGCTTATCAGAGAGAGCGCATCTGACCCTGTACGCCCCCATAGCGACCACGACCCACCTCCTCTCGACCATCTCGCCCGCCCTCTCGCCCGGCCAAGCCGGTCCTCGATGCTTCGCCCTCATCACGGGGGGCGTCACGCCCGCCGCGCAGCTCGCCGACATGCTCGTCACGAGCTTCGACCCGTGCGTCCAGGTCCACTGGCCCGAGCAGACCATCTCGGTCGCGCTCGAGGCCCTTACCCTGTCGTACCTCCTCGACCTCCTCGGCCTCCCCTCGTCCACCTTCACCCAGAACACGCTCACCACCGGCGCGACGGCGTCAAACCTCCTTGGCGTGTGCACCGGGCGGGACTGGGTCGTCGCACGCGTCAAGCACGCGCAGGGCGAGCCGAGGTGGAGCGTCCCGGACGATGGCCTGGGCGGCGTCGAGGTCGACCTCTTTGTCGCCGACGCGCACGCGAGCGTGCGCAAGGCGGCGGCACTCGCCGGGCTCGGCCGACGGAGCGTCGTGCAGGTCGGCGATGCGGCGGCGGAGCGGGAGGGCCGGCTCGTGTCGATGGACCTGGTCGAGCTGGAGCGGCGGCTGCGGGGCAACAAGGAGCGAGGGCGGGGCAGCATCGTCGTGACGAGCTTCGGCGAGGTCAACACTGGGTGCGTCTCGAGTTCCACTCCGTCATCGTCTCGGCCACCCCCTGACCCTCGTTCTGTCCCGCCGCACGCTCGCAGCGCCATCAACGCCGACACGCCCGCCGTGCGCGCCCTGTGCGACCGCTACGGCGCGTGGCTTCACATCGACGCCGCCTTTGCCGCCTTTGCCGTCCTCCACCCCGACTTTGCGCCGTACAAGGCGCACCTAGCCCTCGCCGACTCGATCACGAGCGACGCCCACAAGTGGCTCAACGTCCCGTACGACTGCGGCGTCTACCTGTCGCGCTCTCGGCGTGTCGTCGTTGTCGACGACGACGACGACGAGCGAGGACCGGGCGTGACGGCGTCGCTGTACGACCTGTGCGGCCCGGGCGACTCGGCGCCAGCCTACTTGGCGACGCCGGCGACGTCAAGCGGCTCGGCCACGTCGAGCCATCCTCGAGTCGAGACGACCAAGGCGCTGCCGAGCCCGCTCTTCCAGAACGTGGAGAACTCGCGCCGATTGTGCGTCATCGCCCCTCCCCGTCCTCGCCCTTCCCCCAGGTTCTCGACCTCGACTCACCCTCTCGACCTCCCTTGTTACAGCCGCGCCCTCCCCCTCTACGCCTCGCTCCTGTCGCTCGGTCACGCCGGCTACGCCCGCCTGATCGAGCGCAACGTCGCCTTTGCCCGCCGCATCGAGTCGTTCCTGCGCACGCACCCCTCCTTCGACATCCTAACGCCCGCGCCCTCGACCGCCTCGCCCGCCGACGCTCCCTTCGCCTTTCGCGTCCTCAACATCGTCCTGTTCGCGCCGTCGTCGCTCGCACCCGAGCGGTACCGCGTCGCGTCGTCGACGAACCCGGACCCGGCGGCGACGTTCCTTGGCGCCATCAACGCGTCGAACGAGGTGTTCTGCACGGGCACGAGCTGGAGGGGCAGGAAGGCGGTGCGGATCGCCGTGTCGAACTGGCAGACGGAGCTCGAGGAGGGGAGGGAGTGGGAGGTCGTGCGGAAGGTGCTCGAGCGGGTCGCGCGCGAGTAGTCGAGGGCGTGCAACGACGAGGGTTCCCGAGCAGTAGTGCTTCGCGAGCGAGCTCTTTTGCACCGCAGCGGGGGAGAGTGCTCTCCAGAAGAGGTCGACTCGACGCTCGAGCGAGCGAGCGTGAGGAGAAAGAGAGCTTGCGAGGAACTCGGTCGAGGAGGAAGGTCGGGTCGGGAGTGAGGCAGGGAAGCTGCTCGGTCGTACTCTCGCAGACTCACGAGGGCGTGCTGTGCTGCCTGCGCTGAGCCCGAAACTTGGAGACAAAGCGACCAGAGCCCTCGCGCTCACGCTCTCTTGTCCTCGTCCACCTCGCTCGCTCTTCTCGACTCGCTCAAGGGACCTGTGCAGGGCTTCAAGATGGACAACGAGGTGCGTCTGCGCGTCCTCCCACCTCTTTCGTGCCCGCTGACCTCGTTCCCGTCCCCCACCAGATCTTCATCAGCGCGTCGTCACCAGAGCACTCTTCCCCGTTCCCTCTTCTCCGCCTGCCGTACGAGCTCGTCGACAAGGTGTTCGAGCACGTCTACGAGGACAACTACGACCGGCCCCTCGGCTCCATGCCCGCCTGTCGCCGCCTCGCGCCCCTCCAGCGCGCTTACCTGTACCGCCGCGTCGCGATGTGCTCGTCCGACGAGTTCGCCCTGTTCCGCCGCACCGTCGAGACGACACCCGAGGTCTGTAAGCTCGTCATGGACCTGCAAATCTTCGTCGGCGACGAGCACGACGACTTGTGCGACCCGGACGAGTACGGCGAGGCGCTGTCGCCCGAGGACGTGGCCGCCAGCATCATCCCGCCGAGCGCCATAGCTGCGCTCCTGTCTCTTCTACCCCGTATCGAGGCCCTCCAGCTCGACGGGCTCCGATCGGCCCGCCTCGCCATCGTCCTCAGCGAGACGGCGTCTCACTCGCTCGCCTCGATCAAGCGCCTGGTGCTTCAGAGCGCCTGGGGCGAGCCGGGTCAGACCGGCAACGAGTACGACGCCGATGCCGAGCGGCCCTGGGTCGGGCAACTCGTTCGTCTGTCGGCCCTCGATTTCCTGTCGGTCGCCCAGAACCGTACGGGCGCACCAGTTCTGCCGGTCCTGCGGGTCCCGCTCACTCTCCCGCGAGTAACCCGCCTTACTCTCAAGGGTACGAGGGTCCAGGAGCCCTGGAGGGGGCCGGACCTGCGCGCGCTCGTGCCGCAGCTCGTCGACCTCGAGATGGCCGACTTCTTCTCGCCCGTCATCTGGTTCGCCTCGGTCCTCAGCACAGCACCGACCGGTCTGCGCAAGCTGTCGATGAGGTCGCTCCAGGTGCCCGTCGGCAGCGGAGCCGCGCACTCAATTCACGGTATCCTGCCGCGCTTCGACCACCTTGAGCACCTCGTGGTGTGCGACGGCGTCCTGTCGAACGGCCTCAACCTGCGCCTCGCGTGCCTGCGCAGCCTCGAGCACCTGCGCTCGTTGCGCTTTGTCGAGTCGGTCGACACCGACGAGCTCCTCGCCCGCCTCCTCTAGGACGCGGGCAGCCTTCCTCAGGCTCGCCTCGAGCGACTCGGCCTGTCGCACGTCGTCAGCCGCAAGGGCGTGCCGGTCGCCGACTTCGACCGTCCAAAGACCCCATCGACCGACCGCTGGGAGCACTGGCCGATGAACCCCGGGTGGTCCGCTCCCGAGTACCCCAGCGGGTGCACCGAGGCGGGTCTGCGCCAGGCGATGACGGCCGCCGAGGCGAGGGGCATCGTCGTCGACGGCACGGCGATCGAGGCGCTCGAGTGGCACGCCGCGTTTGAGGCTGAGCGGCGCGCTTCGCATCTCTGGCACGGCGACGCGACTGGGGACTACCGGCTCGTGAGGGATGCCCTCGGCGACGCCGTCGTTGACGAGCACCTCGTCGCGCGCATGACGTCGGGCGTCGCGGGCCTGGCGGTGTGCGGCGAAGGCGTGGAGGACGTCGTCGCGTGAGCGTCGCACAGATGGACGGCGAGGACTTGGAGGGCGGCTTTGCGAGATGAGATCCGTGTGGGCAATATGCTGTTCCTTTCCCCTCTCTCTCAGTCCCTTTCTCGAGAGTAGCAGAGATGGGTTTGTCGAGAGCAGGTACGAGCCTCGTCGCGACGTACGAGGAGCGAGGAAGAGGTCGAAGCGAGGAAGAGGAGGGAAGCGGAGCGAGCGCAGACAGCAGCAGCATGAGCAGTAGCACAGTCGAAACGTGTTCGGTAGATCGCTTCGATGGTACCGAGCGCATCAGAGCGGGAGAGGAGAGAGCGAGGAACAGGAAAGCGAGCAAGCGGAGAAGGCGAACGTGACGAGGAGGAGGAGGAGCAGGGGAACGGGTTCGTGCGCAAAACACATCAGCGAGCAGCCCGTCGCAGAGTCGCTCGGCACGACCTTGAAGTATGTACTGAGAGGTGACTCGATCCCGGGAAGCAAAGAGCGCCGACTCGAACTGCGAAAGCCAGCTCTCGGTTTGAGAAGGCCACCTGGTCGGAGCGCGAGAGCCGCTCTCTGCTCGAGGTGGGACGTGGAGGCCTTGCAGCAGGGCTCGATAGATCGACGAGCGAGAGCTCCTGTCCGGGCGAGCGACGAGGAAGCCGCTGGACGGCTCTGAGCGTAGGTCGAGGAGGACGACGCCGTTCGACTCGTCATGTCTCTCACGACGGTCCTCCTTCTCTTCTGAGGCTGAGCGGCTGTCGGTTGACGTGTCGACACGTGTACTCGATGATGAGCCCACCCCTGGACCGGGAGCAGGTGAGCCTGCGCACGAGCGTGCGCTGAGGAGGAGGGAGAGGCGGAACGGGTCGCTCTCGAGCTCGCGCGACTGCTTCTCCTGAACCAGCGCACCTCTCGATCGTCGTGTCGAGACGTGTTCTCGAGAATAGAGCCGTCGCGAACCCCGCCTCGGAGTGACACCCGCACGACCTTGCGCTCAACAAGGAGGAGAAGGGAGACGAGGCGGGCGAGGTGCAGGAGCGTCGAGGCGACGGCGCGTGGCGCTGCCGACATTCCTTCACTCTCTCGGACCCACTCTCGACCTCGAGACCGTGACAACAAGCACCGCAAAGCCGGCCAAGAGAGGGTCGACTCGAGGCTCGAGCGAGCGTCGGTCCAAAAATGTGGGGGGCTTCCGGTCGACACGGCGCCCTGGCGCCAGGTCGGTCTTTTCTCGCACTCTGGTCGAGGTTGGCGAGCTGTAGCGTCGCACTCAAGAGCTCGAGTGTACTCTGGAGCATCCTTGGCGCCGGTCGAGACAGAGAGAGCTGGCTGCGAGCGCAACAGAGAGGGGTCCGACCCCTCTGGCGCGCCCGAAAGCCGGCAAGGAGGACGGTTGCGCTCTCTCTCTCTCTGTCACGGTAACACGAGCGCTCTCGGTGCCTCTCGAGGTAAGAGACGAAAGAGAGGGCTGAAAGATGGGCGTTTGCAACGGGTCGTCGCCGCGAAGGAGGCTAGAAAGTGAGGAGGAGAGCGGGCGGTCGTGCGAGAGCAAGGAGAGGGGACGCTAGGCTCAAGGGAGGAGGGATAGGGGGAAGAAAAAAGGGAAGGAAGGAGGTAGCTCACGGTAGGTCCCCGGCGAGCGCGCTCAGGCGCACCGGCGCGAGTCGTGCCCCGGCGCCGTCCCGGGCTTGGTCGCGACGACGAGCGCGCCCCGCCGTCGTCGACGCTGCGGTGCTCAAAGGCGGGCTTCTTGGCGCGTTGGTGTATCGTAGAGCGCTGGAGCGACGAGAACGAGGACGAAAAGGCGGACCAAGTCGCGCTGCAAGAGGATCGTGCGGCTCGAGCGTCGGCGGGTCGCTCGGATCGAGGGCTGCAGAGAAGATTACACAATGGTCAGTCGACTCGGGCGATCGTCAAACTCCTGTTGGGCGCATGTGGACGAGCCGACGAGGAGAGAAGAGAGCGAGAGCGTGACGGACCATTCGTGCCTCCCGCCGCCGTCCTGACGCTCGCCATCGTCGTCCCACCACGTGGCGAGGAACCACCGACGCGGACGACAAGCTCAAGCCCACGTGCGACAGTCCACCGCCGAGATGCGTGCCCTGGCCGAACGCGAGCGGCCGCCCGTAGTCCTCGATGCCGTCCTCGCCCGCGCTCACTCCGAGCCCGGCGTTCCCCCCTGCCCCGCCGCCGCCGCCCCCACCCGACGCGCCCGTGACCATGCCGCCGCCGGCGTGCCCGCCCGGCGCACTCGCCTCGCGGCGGTTCCACCCAAAGTCGGGCGCCCCGCCGCCACCGCTGCCGCCGGCGAGGAGCTGTGCCGAGCGCATGCGCTTGAGGGCCTTGGTGCGCTCGATGGCCTCCTTCTCGCCCGGCCTGAGCTGCTTCTTGAACTCGCAGCGGAGCTTGCGGCCCTGCGTGCGAGGCGGTGCGAGGGAAAGGTCAGACCGGGTCAAGGACGACGAGCTCTGCAGTCGACGCTCGCGTCGTCGACAGCGTCGACGACGCGAGAGAGATAGAGAGAGCAAGGACGCACCATGATCTCGAGGCCGTCCATGGCGGCACGCACGACGCCCGCCTCGTGGCCGTCGCGGTAGTTGGCGAAGGCGAGGCCGCGGAACGAGGTCGGGTCCTCCGGCGCGTAGTGGTAGTTGAACGCGAACGGCGCAGGAAGCGCAAGGGAAGACTGCGGCGAGAGAAGGAGAGTCAGGATGGCTGGGCGAGAGAGAGAAAGAGAGAGAGAGGGCCGAAAGAGGACGAGGCTCACCATGATGTTGAGGAGCTGCTCCTTGGGGCACGCGAACGGGATGTTCTTGATGACGATGGCCGTGTCGATGCTGTAGGCGTCGACCGTAACGTGATCAGTGACAGGCCTCGCTGGAGGAGGAGGTCGCCGAGGGAAGCGGCTCGCGACGCACATGTCCTTGTCCACGTCCTCGACGACGTGCGGCACCGGCCCGTTGTTGAAGCGCTTCGCGCTTCAAGAGGAGGATGTCGAACGTATGTCTCCTGTGAGCGACGGCCGAAAGAAAGAATGAGTGAGGGGCCGCGCACGAGCGAGTCGACGACAGGGACGCGAGGGACGCACAAGAGGAAGAAGTAGCTGCGCTCGAGACCTGCGGGGGTACACGGGGGCGAGTCAGTTCTCTGTGCCCGTCGAGAGTGCTCAGAGGAGTGCAGGGGCGCACCATAGAGCAGCGACAGGGGGTCGTCGCGGGAGGGGAGAGGAGGACGCCGAAGAGGGCTGTGGGAGGTGGGACTCGTCAGTCGTCCGTGCGGGCCTGCAGAGAAGGGGTAACGGGAGGACGCACCTTGGTGGCCGTTCATGACGCCCAACGGCGTGCGCGAGATGCAGGTGCCGAGAGGGAAGTCGCGCACGGGTTGTTGAAGGGGCGAGGTCGACGAGGGCTTGGGGGTGCGAGGGGAGGGCGGCAGGGGCGAGTTAGGCGGCGGTCATGGTAGCTGGCACCGGCTCGAGGCGGATCGAAGGTGCGAGTGAAGGGGCGAGAGCGAGAGAGATGGAGCCTTGGTCTCTCTCCTCACTCTCACATCGCTCGCTGGCCCAGCTGCGACGTGTGCAGCTCGCACTCGTACCTGCGAGTGCTCTCTACCCTGTGCGCCCACTCCCATCCCTCTCCACAGCCCGAGTCGCCATCAACTGACCTCGTCCCCCCTCATCTCCCACTTCATCAAACTCGCCCCTCTTGCACCCCCACCACGCACCAAGTCGAGCTGCTTCTGCGCCACCCTTCTCCAAGAGCATCTTCGAATACCATGCCAAGCCCGCGCCAACCTCGCGTCTCCGTATTGGTGCGCCTCGCCGCTCTCCTCCCCCCCACTCTTTGCCCGTCTGACCCTCTGTTCCTCCCGCACTCCTGTCGTTGCCCGCAGTGGACCTGGATCGACGGCAAGCCCGTAAAGGTCACGAGCGGCGTCGCCGTCAGTGACGACGAATTCAACGAGGGCTCCGGTGTCGGCCTGAGCGAGGTCCGCGACAACTCGGACGCCCTCACGGCGTTCAACACGGCCGCCGCGTCGTCGCCGTTCGCGACAACCGCCGAGAAGCTCGAGCGGTGGACCGCGTCACACGCCGCCGCAGCCCTTCCGCCGCGCTCGCCCACCAAGGCGAGAATCGCCAAGACGCTCGAGCAGCGTTCGTTCGACGAGGATCGCTCGCCGGCAAAGTGCCTCTTTGCGCCCACGACGGGCCTCATCAAGACGTCGTCGGCCGAGGACCGTGTCGATGCGAGCGGCAGCGGCAAGCCCGGAGCGGCGGTTCTCGGCGGCGTCGAGACGGAGGACGAGTCCGAGGACGAGGGCGACGACGACAAGGTCGGGCTCGTCGCGTCACACATCGAGGAGATTGACCTGTCGGTCGATGACTCGGACGACTCGGCGTCGTCGGGCTCGCGCTCGTCGACGGGCTCGGTCGTCATCCTCCTGTCGCCCGACGCGTCGGCGTCCGAGGAGGAGGTCGAGTCCGACGACGACGACGACGACGGCCCCTCGTCCAGCGACTCGGACGCCGCGGTCGCCTCGCTCCTCCTCCCGGCCTCGCGGCTCGCCGTCGTCGCCGGCCCGCCGCCTCCGCCCATCCGCGCTGCCTCGCGCCTGCCCGCGCCAGCCGCCACCGCCACGACGCCGAGGCCTCGAGCGTCGTACCGGGCCGCGACGCCGTCGGGCACTGCGTCGGCGCGCGGTGGCGCGGGCGGCGTCGCGCGCTTTGCGGGACCGCGCCCGGCCCCGGGCTCGGGCCCCGTCACGCCGTCGCGGCGTCAGGGCCAGGCTGCGGCCACGCCGGCGTCGGCGCGTGTCCTGCGCTCGGCGGCTCAGTCGAGGGGCGGTGCGGCTACGGCGAGCGGAGGAGCTCAGGGCGGCAGCGGTGGGTCGTCGGGCTGAGCGACGGGCGGTGGGAGGTGGGCGGCGTCGGGAGGCGATGGCCTCGAGGCGAGCATTGGTGGCTCGCGGCTTAGATACCCGTTGTGCTCTATCACCCCCTCTCTCGCATTGCAAATCTATACCTTCGTGCTCTCCCTCGCGCCGTCCCGAGAGCTCGTCCGGATTCTCTGCGACCGACCTTCTCAAATCGAGGCTGGCTGCGCCCTCACGAGCTTCTGCTCGCTTCTGCGCGTCGACGGGCTCGCTCGAGCAGCTGCAAAGGGGCTGTCGAGAGAGCGCCAGCTTCGTGACGCAGAGGGCGAAGGAGTCACCGAGGCGGAAGAGGCTCGAGTGCTCGAGAGAGGTATCGACGTTGGCTCAAGCAGAGCAGCACGGCGGCGAGCACGCTCTCGCTATCTCTTGAGACGATCAAGAGAAGGCTGCGAGCTGGGTATTTGCAAGGGGTCGTCACGCCGGAGGAGGCTAAGGAGGGGGCGAGGGGCGTAACGGTCGTCGAGGGGTCGTGCGAGGGGGAGGCTAAGCTCAAAAGGGGACGGGAAAGGAGAGAGTGACAGAGAGGAAGAGAGAAAACGATAGGAAGAGGCTACACGGCGCCATCGTGGTCGTCGAGCGCGCTCAGGCGCGCCGGCGCCAGTCGTGCACCTCGGACCCGGGCCCGCTCGGCTGCCTCGCGGCGGTCGCCGTTCCCGGCGCCGCGCCGTAGCCGTTGCTGCGATCGCGCGAGGGCGACGGCGGGGCAGTGACGGCGGCAGAGGCGTCCTTGTCGGCGATGCCGTGCGCCTGGAACAGGCCCTGGACCGACGGGATCTCGCGCCTCCTCGACGATGACGGCGACCCGACGGCGGCGTAGCTCGAGTGGCCGACCGTCGCGTACTGGGGCTGCGACGACGCCGACGTGTCGCGCGCCGGCGAGGCCGCCATCGAGCGCAGGTTCGAGTACGACCGGCGCGTAAAGGCGGCGCTCGCGGCGTTGGTCCCGCCTCCTGTGGCGCCGCTGCCGAAGCCGCCGCTCGCGGCGCCGCCCGGCGACGACGACAGGGGCGACGCGGCCGACGCGTAGCCGTTGCCGCTCGCGTAGGCGGCGAGGTGCGCCGAGAGCGAGATGCTCGTCGGCATGGGCGGCACGGCCGGGATCGGCGACGGCGACCGGCTGTCCTCCTCGCTCGACGACGCGTGACCGCGCAGGCCGCCGTAGTGCGCGTTGTGCTGCTGGTGGCCATGGGCGCTCAGGTTGGGCATGCTCTTCTTGCCGCGCAGGCCGGCGACGCTCGTCGCGAGCGAGCCGTTTGACGAGCCGCCCGTGTGCGAGGGGACGAGGTAGGACGTCGGGAGGGGAGGAGGAAGGTAGGACGAGTTGTGGCGGCTCGAGGAGGAGGGCGGGTGGAAGCCGTCGCGCGAGGCGACACGGCGCAGGGCGGCGGTCGACACGGACCCGCGAAGAGGCTGCACGAGTGTAGAAGTCAGTCTCGATGGACAGAAGATGTCCACGAAGAAGAGGGGGAGAGAGAGAGAGGGAGAGAGGACGCACTCGACGAGCTTCAGGTGGCGGCGCCGTCCCGGGCTTGTAGACGACAACGTGCCTCGACTCGCCGTCGCCGAGGCTGCGGTGCTCGAGGCCGAGCTTCTTGGCGATGAGGTGGACCGTACGGCGCTGCTGCGACGAGAGCGAGCGCGAGAAGGCGAGCTCGTCGCGGAGCGAGTCGCCCTGGAAGAGCAGCACGCGCGAGTAGAGCTCGAGCGTCGCCGGGTCGTTCAGGTCGAGATCTGCAGGAGAGGGAGAGACGTCAGCGACGCGCACAGACGTCAAATCTTCGGCTCGCCGCATCAGAGCGGCGGGACGAGGAGAGGCGAGAGCGAGAGACTGCGACGGACCGTTCTTGCCTCCCGCCGCCGTCCCGACGCTCGCCGTCGTCGCCACCGTCCCGACCTCGCTGTCGACGCTGCCCGTGCCGCGCTCCATGCGCTGGCTGACGCTCGTCCCGACGTCGCTACTCGGCGGGCTCGCCGACACGGACGCCGAGGCCGACTCGGACGAGTACGACGGCTCCATGTGCGTCGCGCCGGCGTGCGACGAGTGCTGCCGCTCGTGGCCGACGTGCTGGTGCGAGTGCTGGCGCTGGTGCTGGAACTGCTGCTGCGGGTGGTGCGGCGGCTGGGGCCCGCCGGCCGGGACGAACTCGCGCTGGCCGAACGACGTCGGCGGCCCGCCGCGAGACGGCGCCGACGAGGGCGACAGGCCCGTGCCCATAGCCGACGACGCGCCGCCGAGGTGCGTGCCCGGGCCGAACGCGAGCGGCCGCCCGTAGTCCTCGATGCCGTCCTCGCCCGCGCTCACGCCGAGCCCGGCGTTCCACCCTGCCCCGCCTCCACCGCCGCCGCCCGAAGCACCCGTGACCATGCCGCCGCTGGCGTACCCGCCCGGCGCGCTCGCCTCGCGGCGGTTCCACCCAAAGTCGGGCGCGCCGCCGCCACCGCCGCCGCCGGCGAGGAGCTGGGCCGAGCGCATGCGCTTGAGAGCCTTGGTGCGCTCGATGGCCTCCTTCTCGCCCGGCTTGAGCTGCTTCTTGAACTCGCAGCGGAGCTTGCGGCCCTGCGCGAGGGGGAAAGACGTGGCGCGAGGGAACGAGTCAGTCCGGGTCGGTGACGACGCGCTCTCTTCCTGTTCACGCGCGCCTCGTCGACAGCGTCGACGACGCGAGAGAGATAGAGAGAGAGAGAGAGGACGCACCATGATCTCGAGGCCGTCCATGGCGGCACGCACGACGCCCGCCTCGTGGCCGTCGCGGTAGTTGGCGAAGGCGAGGCCGCGGAAAGAGGTCGGGTCCTCCGGCGCATAGTGGTAGTTGAACGCGAACGGCGCAGGGAGCGCAAGGGATGACTGCGATGAGAGAGAGACGGAGGGTCAGGACGGGTGGGCGAGAGGGAGAAGGAGAGGAGGACGAGACGCACCATGATGTTGAGGAGCTGCTCCTTGGGGCACGCGAACGGGATGTTCTTGATGACGATGGCCGTTTCGATGCTGCGAGACTCGAGCCTCATTAGTCAGAGGCCTCGCTGGAGGAGGAGGTCGCCGACAGAAGCGGCTGGAGACGCACATGTCCTCGTCCAGGTCCTCGACGACGTGCGGCACCGGCCCGTTGTTGAAGCGGCTCCCTCCCCCAGCACTGCCGGCGCTCAACTGCTGCTGCATGCCCGGCGCCTGGTACTGCTGCTGCGCGCCGAGGAACCCTTGTCCCGCGCCGCCGACGCCGCCGTACGCGCCCGTGAAGCTCGACTGCGGCGGGCGGAAGGCGGGGCCCGGGTAGGGGCTCATGCCCGTCGGCGAGGCGAGGAACTCGGGGGCGAGGGTGGCCGAGACCGGCGGCGCCGGGAACGAGGCGAACTGGGCGTACGGGTCGAGCGAGTGCGAGTGCGCGTCGAGCGCGGCGGGGAAGAAGGAGCGAGGGAGGCCGTGCTGCTGATGCTGATGCTGGTGCTGGTGCTGATCGGCGAGGTGGAACAGGTTGGCGCTCTGCGCCTGGACGGGGAGAGGAGGAGGCTGGTACGGGAGAGGAGGGACGGGCGAAGGTGCCGAGTGCGAGTGCGAGTTGAGGGCGGTCGGGACGGTGAAGCGTTGCGAGCGTTGCTGCGGGTGCACGAGTGTCAGTTCCAGAGCATCAACAGGAACGTCAGGGCCCGAGGAGAGCGAGCCGAAGGTCGCTCAACCGGGGAGTCGGGGAGAGGGAGGTGAGAACGGCGAGCGCACCTTTCTGACGCCTTGGCCGGGTACGCCGAGGTTGTTGCCCGACTGCTGCGGGCGACCGTCTTGTCCCTGATCGAGCTTGAGGCGGTCGAAGCGAGTGTCGAGGTCGGCCATCTCGAGGGACGGACGAGGCGGGTCCTGGACGGTCGTCGCGGTCTCGCGAGGTGATGCGCGGGTCGTGGTGTGCTCTGGAGGTATCGATGGCGGTACTGACGCGGTGCTAGCGGCAGTCGGGGCGGCAGGGCGCGAGAACCGAGGCGAGTTGGGCGGGGACGAGGCCCTCGAGGAGTCGTGCAGGCGGTCGTGCGGGGCGTGCGAGGTCGTCAGGCGGCTCTGTAGGCGCAGCTGGGGCAGCCCGAGTACAGCACTGGGGGGCCCTGGCGCAGAGGGCGGGCGGTAGCGAGGGAAGCGAGGGGGCGACGCGACTTGGCTCGACCGCGGTCGCGCAGCAGCCAACTGCTCTCGCTCGCGCTCAGGAACAGCGGCGAGCAGGAGCGCAGCATCCCTCTCGCTATCATACGCCGGCAGCCGAGCGCGCGAAAGCAAAGCGACCGTGACCCGACTGCTCCTCCTCCTCGACACGTCGCCTTGAAAGTCGAGCTGGAGATGTGTGCTCGTTGCGGCTTCTACTCGCCCATGCTCCTCCCGTCTACTCGACTGCTCCTCGTCGACGACGCCCGCACCTCGCTCTTTAGCCGACGCCGCCGCCGCCGCCGTTGACACCCATGAGGTGCAGCGCCAGCTCGACCGTCGCTGCGAGCGCGAAAGGCCGACAAAGGCGTCAGTGCGCTGTCTCCCGACTCGTCCATGACCAGGATGTGCAGGAGGAGAAGAGGGAGGAACGAGAGGGACGCACTGATAGTCGCCGCGCTGCCGACGAACGAGCTGACGACCGTCGGCCGGATCCCGGTCGCGAACCCCTGCAGGCCGAGCAGCCTCAACGCCCACTTCTCGGCCCTCGCGTCGAGGTGTGGCGCCTGCTGCCCGGCGACCCGTCGCGCCGGGAACACCCACGTCGACAGGACCTGGTACACGACCGACGACGGGTACCGGTACCGCTGCGCCGCGACGCCGTCGGCGTGGATGCCGCGAAACACGCCCGGCACCGTGAGCCGCTGAGGCTTGTCGGCCCCTCGCGCTCCTGCCGCCGCCGACGTCGCCCCCTCGCCGCCGCCGCCCGCTCCCGGCGCCGCCGAGCCCGCCCCGGCGCGCGTGTGGAACGGCGTCGCGTTGCTCGTGAACTGGCCCGCTCGCGCCGCCGGGCTCGTCCTCGCGCGCGTCTCAAAGTTGGCCGTCTGGAGCCGCGTCTTGACAATGTCGAACGGGTACGGGACGATGGCGCTCAACGCGCCGGCGAGGCCGCCGGCGAGGAGGATGCGGCCGACCTCGGCCTTGTTCATGGTCGGGCCGGTGCTGCTGGGTATGGGTGCGGATGCGGGTGCGGTCGGGGTATCGGGAAGAGCGGTCGATGCGGTGGATGCGGAAGATGCAGAGGGCGAGAACGGGTTGAGCGACTCGAGGGGCGAGGCTGATGGTGGCGGCGCCGACTGGAACGGCGAGTCGCCGCGCAGTAGTCGTCGAAGGACAAAGTCTGCCGAGAGGGGTCCAGTCGAGCAGGTGAGCAACGTGTTCGAGATCGGGGAGAGGAGGGGAAGGAGAGGACGGGGGACGACGCACAGCTCCAGAAGAAGATGCCGCTCGAGATGCTGTCGTGGATCGCCGTCATGAGGCCGCCGATGTAGAAGCCTCGCAGGCCCTCCTTGCGGGCGATCTGGCGCGCGATGCCGAACGAGCCGAGCTTCTTGCCCGGGACCGACTCGACCTGGGCGCGCGTCTTGACGACCTCGATCTGCGGGTCGCGAGGTCGAGGGCACATCGAGAGGACGTCAGGAACGCTCTGGGGAAAGGGACGCAGAGTGAGAGGGTCGCGCTCGACGCACCGGCGTCTCGAGTAGTGCGCAGAGGGCGCCCGCCGTCGCGCCCGAAAGGAAGACGCGCGACAGGGCGTTCGGGTCTTGCCGGTCTTGGTGGAGCTGCTCCCTGTAGGACAGAAAGAGAGGGTCGGTGCCATCCAGGAAGGGCGGCCGGTGGCGAAGCGCCAGCCTTGCTGCGCCGCTCGAAAGCGACTCGGCAGGGCAGGCCAGAGCTCCGCAGCCGCCGCAGGGACGGAAGAGAGACGCAGCGACTTACATCATGCGCCCGTACAGGCCGAAGAAGGCCGAGTCGATGAAGGCGAGGCCGAGGATCGGGCCCGCCGTGCCGGCGAAGAAGAAGCGGAAGCCCTCGGTGCGGTACAGGCTGATGAGGCCCGGTCGCGCGGTCGACGTCGAGGGCGTGCCGTGAGGGGCTGTATGTGGTACATGCGGTGCGGATGCGGGTGCGGCGGAAGGGCGGGTTGCGGCGCCGAGGGCGGCAGGTCCGGGCGTGCGAAGGGTCGAGGGCGAGTGCTGAGCTGGGCTCGCCGCGGCTGGTAGTGGCGCGGGTGCGGCGGTTCTGCCGAGAGGGGTTGGCGGTGGCGGGAAGGGGAAGGACGGCGAGCGTAGGGGCGAGACGGAGGATTTGCCGACTCGAGGCGACGAGCTGGACGGGGTCGAGGTCGACGAGGGGGCCGTCTGCAAGCGGACCTTGAGGACCTGCGAGGCGGTGAGCTGGTCAGTCGCGGGACCATGCACGAGAGCAGAGAGACGCGTGCGCACCTCGAACGGGTTGCCAACGAGGACGCCGACTGCGAGATGGACCCGGGGAGGAGAGGGTCAGCCGACGTGGGCGACTCGAGGCCGCACAGCTCGAGAGCGGCCGCTCTTGGGCGACAGAGAGAGAGAAGAGGACGCACCTGCTCCACCCAGCCAACCGGCGACCAGGTCTGCTGTTGCGTCGCTCGCCTTGGAGGTCGACCCGGTCCACTCGGCGCCGACTCGCTCGTCGGCGGCTGCTGCTACCGCCGCGCCCGCCGCGAGCTCGGGGTCCATCGGCGCAGAAGCTGGTACGCCTAGGCAGAGCACAGCAGTGTGCTGCAGCAGCTGGCGAGGTGAGGTTCGAGCCGAGCCGAGCAGCCGCGACGACGTCGTCGTCTCCCTCCGGCAGAGCTCCTCTCGCTCAGCCACACACCGCTCTTTCCTGCCGGGCTTGGGCTCTAGCTTCAGCTTGCTCCAACCTGCTCGCTCTCGGGCATCTGCTTACTCTCGTCGCGGTCCGCGAGCCTCGTCTCGTCGTCGTGCTCGGCCTCGCTCCAGCTCCGTCCACAGGCGCGATGGCACGGACGAGGATCAACATTAGGGCACAGACGAAGCTACAGACTCTAGCTGGGTACGACAAGGACAGACGAGCGCGACGTGAGAGACGGAGGAGCGACCTTCACTCGGCCTTCCTCCCGCGACTCGCGCTCCGCTCCTTCGCGGCACGCCAGTCGCCCATGCCCGCCGCGCCCCAAGTCCTCTCGTCCGGCACGACCTCCTCCTGCGGCCTGACGGCGTCCCACATGCGCCCGACCGCCGCCCTCGCCCTCGACACGCTCGCCGACCGCCCACCCTTGCCGTCCTCGCCGCTCGTCGACACGCCCGCCGCGGCCCGGCCCCTCGTCTCGGGCTCGTGCGCCTTGCCGCCGAGGCCGGCCGCACCGCGCGGCTCCTCCTTGACGCGCGCCAGGCCCGCCTCGCGCGTCGAGCTCGCACCGGCAGCAGCTGCGCCCGACGTCGTCGTGCGCGACCGGCTCGCCTCGCGGCTGTGCGACTTGGCAAAGTCGCCGAAGCCTGCTGCGCCGCGAGGCTCGCGCGACCTCGAGCGAGGCGCAGGCGCCGGGACGGCGGCGGCGTCCTTGGCCTTGGCTGCAGCGGGCGCAGGGCCGGGCGCGGCGAGCGTCTCGTCGCTCGACGAGGCGGCAGCGACGATCTCGGGCGACGGCGACGTGCGACCGCGAGGGCGCGACATGGAGCGCGAGACGGCGCGCGTGATGCTGTCGATGAGGGTCGTCGGCGAGCGCGAGCGCGACGACGGGCGGGCCTCGTCCGAGGTCGACGGGACCGGGTACGTGCCCATGCCGCAGGCGCCGCGAGGGGGCGACCTGGGACGAGTCGCAGGGATCGGGGCGGGGGCGGGGGCTGTGGGAGAGCGAGGGTGAGCGTCTGGCCGCGATAAGGAGGAGCGGCGAGCGCCGAGTCGAGGAGGGGACGCACTGGCCATTGTGTTTGAAGAAGCGGCGGTCGAAGTGAAGGCTTGTGCGGGTTCAAGAGAAGCTCTTTACGCGCTCGAGAGGATTCTGTAAGGGAGAGAGAGAGTTGAAGGAGCGAAGTCGGAGCCGAACCCGATCGAGCATCGCCTCACCCGCTCCTCGTGCGGACGAGCGGGTCGCCCGTCGACGACTTTCAAGTGCGCCTCTCTCGACGCTCAGAGGACCAGAGACTGCTCGACTCGATTACTGAGCACAGAGAGAAAGATTCTACGACCGCTCGACAGACGACTTTGGGCAACCGACCGCCTCGACGCTCGACCCTCGACCGCCTCGGCGCGCCCGCCTGCGCTCACTGCGCAATGGCCTCGCGTTTCTCGACAGCGGCGACAGGCTCGACCGTCGGCACTGCAGGAGCGAGTGCGGGCGCGCCGGTCGCAGCGGGAGCAACCTCGATCTCGTCCTTGGCCGGCGCCGGCGCCGACGATGCGGGTTCAGCCGCAGCCGGCTTGCGGTCGTACGGGCTGTTGGCGCCGCCGGCGCCGGCGAGCGCGTCGACGACGCTGCGGACGCGGCTCTGGCTGCGGCTCGCCGGCTGGCTCGTCGCGAGAGGCGAACGGGCGTGCGAGCGCGCGCGCGACTTGGAGCGGGCCTCGCGGTCGCGCGAACCGGCATCGGTCGACGCCTTGGCCGCGTTGACCTCGTCGAGGATGATGCGGCGCATCGCCTCGTCCTGCAGGCGGAGAAGTGGGTGCGACCGTCAGTGGGCGCTTCGGCGATGGAGCGGAACGACCAGAGGGGGAATGTGGGAAGGGAAAACGCGAGACGTACCTGGTGCTCGCCCTCCTCCTTGCTCGCACGGTGCCAGAACGGATCCGAGACGACTGCGAGTGCTCGCAATGGAAGGGGCGCCATCAGTGAAGGGCTCGAGCGCGAGTCGTTTCTCGGAGAGACACAAAGAGAGAGATTGGGCGACGCACTGTCCTTGATCGCGGCGCGAATGCGGCTCATGCCCCTCGAGCGGCTTCCACTGCGCTCGCGAGACTCGCTCTTGGCGTCGCGCTTCGAGCGGCGGATGGCGCGCTCGAGGTCGGCCTCGTAGCTCGCGTCTTGCGCGGCGCGGACCTGGCGCAGAGCGGCCTCCTTCTGGAGCTGCTCAGCACGGCCGGGCTCCCTTGAAGTAGAGCGCGACTCGGGCTGGAAGAACGGGTCCTTGGCGCGGTGCGGCGAGCGAGAGCGGACGTCGCTCGGCGAGTGGAGCGGCGACGACGGCTTCGAGTCGACGCTGGCGGGCAGGTCGTCGCCCTTGCTGTAGCCCGCTTTGCCGTGACCGCTCGCTGTTGCAGGGGAGGAGGGACGAGGATCCAGAAGGTCAGTCCCGGCAAGCCGCCTCTCGACCGGTACCTCGCGGTGCTCGCACGAGGAAGGGGGAAAGGGACGCACGGTGGACAGGGTAGGCCGCATAGGCGTCCATACCGGTAGGAGGAAGCGTGTTGGGCATCTCGTGCTGGTCCTGTGCGGCACGAGGCGTCAGAGATTGGGTCGAGGACCAGAAGTGGGGGACGAGGACGAGAGAGGGGGAGGCGCGAGTTGCGAGGGGGCGCACCTTGTCGGGGAGAGGTCAGAGGGGCGGTAGAGCGGGCTCGAGCAGCAGCGAGGGCGCACGGCGAGTGAGGAGCAGGAGGGAGAGGAAGGGGGAAACGGCGAGCGTCCGCACAATCGCTCGCCGCGCGGGCCGGCTGCTATTTTTCGCCGCCGTCTCCTCCCCCGCTTTCTCCGGATTAGCCACGTCGGGAAAGTGGTCTGGTCGTGCGCAGACCGTCGTTCGCTGCGACCTCGAGCGCGGCCTTCTCCTCGTCGTCCTTTTTCTCGAGCGCAAAGTCGAGAGCGCGACCTCGTGGGAGGGTACTCGACTGGACCTGATTCTCGCTCAAACGTCTCAATAGGTCGCTCGAGAGGAAAGCGGACCCGAGAAGAGCAGAACTGCAAGCTCGAGCGCGACCTTCTCCTCGTCGTCCTCCTTCCTGAGCGCAGAGTCGTGAGTGCGTCCTCGTGGGAGGGTCCTCGACTCGGCTCAGGCCTCAAGCATACGTCTCGATAAGTCGCTCGAGAGGAAAGCGGACCCGAAAGGAGCAGAACTGCGAGCCTCTGCTTGAGAGCTCTCGTCTTGGGAACGCCGCTCGGACCGCCTCGCGACCCGCTCTCTCTCAAGCCTGGCGCTGCGGAGCCTGCGCGCAGGTAGAGCGCCTTGTCTCGTCGTCGCCCATCTCTCGCGGCACAGATCCTCTCAGGCTCGCTCGTTCGCGCACCGGGCTCCCTTTCTCACGGCTCTCGGGCTCTCGCCGTGGAAAGCGCGAAGTGGAGAATCTGCAATGCTGTTGATTCCGACGGGAGAAGTTTGTACACAGAGGAGGGGCGACATCGAGAGGAACGCCGGCGTCGGGGGGAGGAGGGCGCGAGTAGCGAGAGGGGGGTGACGAGGGTCGGGCGAGAAGAGGGAGCCAGCGAGGAGGACGGCAGCGCTCAGCGAGGGCCGGTCTTGATGATGCTGCAGGGTCGAGAGAGTGGTCAGTAGACGCCTGAGAAGAGAGGTGGCCGAGTGAGAGAGAGGGAGAGGGGCGCACCCAGCGCGAACGAGGACCTCGACCTTTTTCCTCACGTCGGCGTTCTTCATCATGTGCTGCTGGAGGCTCGCCGGGTCCTGCTGCGCCTGCTGGAGGATGCTCTGGAAGGCCGGGTCGGCCATGATCTGCTGCACCTCGGGGTCGCGCATGGCGCGCGCGTACGCCTGCTCGTCCGACTCGCCCGCGCGCGCCGACGCCATGTTCTGCGTCACCTTGGCGAACTGCTGCGTGATCTCCTTGGTGTGCGCCTGCGCCGTGTCCTTCTCGGCGGCCTGCGAAGAGGGAGAGCATCGAGCGGTCAGGAGAAAGGCTCGCTGAGGGGGCTTGAGACGAGGGGCAGGAGAGGAGGGAGGGACGTACGAGCTCGACTGCTGCGAGGGCCTTGTCAAACTCCTTCATGGCGAACAGGACGTGCGACTTGCGGATGTAGCCCTTGACTGCGACACGAGAGGGAGGCAGAGAGAGAGAGGGGGAGAGAGGGGGGGGAGGAAGAGGGTCAGGCCGACGCTCGAGAGAGACAGAGGCAGACAGGAAGAGCAAAGGGACGCACCGAACGTCGGGTCCATCTCGATGGCCTTCTCGGCGTCCTTGAGCGCCTCGGGGAGCGCCATGAGCTTGGTGTAGGCGGCGGCGCGGTTGGTGAACCCGCGCGGGTCGTCCGGGTTGCGCTTGATGCTCTCGGCGTAGTGCGTCACGGCGCTCGCAAAGTCGCCCTGGCGGAAGGCCGTGTTGCCCTCCTCGCGCGCGACGTCGGCCTTTTGCGGGTCGATGTAGGCGAGGCGCGCCTGCTCCGAGGCCTGCTTCTCGGCGTCCTTGAGCTTGGCGAGGACGTCGGGCGTGCGGTGCTCGAGGAGCGACTTCTGGAGGTACTTGACGCCGTTGTCAAAGTCGCCCTTGCGGACGTAGGACGTGCCGATGCGACCGAGGGCCCTGCGGTGGGGAAGGGAAGCGAGGTCAGGACGAGCTCAACATGCCCCAGCAGACGAAGGGCCGAGCCACCCGCAAGGTTTGTGCGAGCGCTCTACCCAGACGAGGGAGCGAGCACGTCGACGCACTTGGCGATGAGCTTGAAGTCGGCGCGGCGGTCGCGGCCCTCGTCGACGGCCTTGTTGCACGTCTCGATCGCCTTGTCAAAGTCGCCCTCCTCAAAGTGGACGGCTGCAGATAGAGAGCGAGTCAGCGACCGTGCGCTCCTAGAAGGGCAGACTAGCCTGCGCCGCTCGACGGGAGGTCGAGGCGGGGTTGGCGAAGCACGAGGAGGGCACGGGTGCGCGGGGGAGGGGGAGTGAGCGAGCTCACCTGCGAGGTTGTTGAGGTAGGTGATGTCCTGGAACGTGTCCCAAGCCCTGTAGAGAGAGAGAGAGAGTCAGTCGGCGGGGTTGGTCGAGGAGAGGTGAGGACAGAGAGAGGGAGCGGACGGACTGCTGGTAGAGGTCCTTTGCGTTGGCAAAGTCGCGCTTCTTGTAGGCGTCGTTGCCCTGCTGCTTGAGCTGGTCGGCCTGGGCGTGCTGCGCTGCGTCGTCGGACATGGTCGAGGTGGGGAGCTGGGAGCGGTCGACGAGGGGGAGGCGGCTCGAGGTGGGAGCGGGCTTGGCGAGTGCGGGTGCGGTGTGTGGTGCTGGTGCAGGTGTGCAACGAGCAGCTTGATGCAGAGCGAGGAGAGCGTGAGAGCGTCGTTGCTCGGAACCTTCTCTCGCCGTCGACGACAAGTCCGAGAAACCCACCACGCCTCGACCCAGGCCTCCTTTTGTGGGGCTGACTGGTGCGACCTGTCAAAGAGACAGTCGTACGGCCTGCTGCCCTGCGAACGAGACTCCCGGTGAGCGGTGATCTGTGGCCGCTGGCCCGACCCTGACGACGTTGCTGCTCTCGCCCGCTCGACTCACGCGACTCTGTCGACACCGCGACCAAGCACTCTCGACCACCTTTACACACCTCAGCAACCATGGCAGGGTCCGTCCCCGCCTTTCTCCCGCAGCCTCTGTCGCCGTCCTCGCCCCGCTGACCTCGCTCGTCCTCCCTCCCTCATCGACTCGACTCGACCCTGCCTCGCCTCGCCCCGCACCCTGCCGCCCTACCCACTCCACAGAAGCATCACCGACTGGGACAGCCAGGTCCGCCCCTTCTCCCTTCCTCCCTCGCCTTCGCCTGCCCCTCGTTCGCCATCTCGGCCCCCTCCCTCCTTCGACCAGTCGAGCATCTCCTTCCGCTGCCCGTACACTCATACTGACTCGCCCCTTCTCCCCTGCAGACCATCATCGGCAACAAGGCGCGCGGCCCGGGAGGCGGCGGTGCCGGCATCCCCGCAGGTCGGCCCCAGCAGGGCGACCGCAAGTGTGCGTCGCCGCCCGTCCTCTCGTCCCCTTGCAGCGAGCGACGACCTGTCGAGGTCGTGGCTCGTTGCTGGATCGATTACAGCAACGGGTCGACCAGTCTCGAGCACGTACTAATGCCCCCCTCTCCTCCTTCCCCTCCTCCCTCGCCCGCCCACAGCCACGGCCAACAAGGTCGTCGGCGGCGTCGACCACGCCAAGATTGCCAAGCTCGACCGCGAGAACGAGGTGGCGCCCCCGCCGACCGTCTCGCTCGAGCTCGGCAAGGTGATCCAGAAGGCGCGGCAGGGCTACGTCGACTCGGCCGGTCAGCCCAAGCCCCTCAGCCAGGGCGACCTGGCAAAGATGCTCAACCTCAAGTCGACCATCGTCCAGGAGTGTGCGTCCCCTCGTTCTCTCTCTCTCCGGCGTCGGCATCGTCGGTCCCTCTCGATGCGCCGTGACTGACCCTCTCGCCCCTCTCTCCCCTCCGTCGTCCACTTCCCGCCGACGCCCTCAAACAGACGAGAACATGAAGGCCAAGCCCGACCCGGCCGTCCTCGGCAAGATGGAGCGCATCCTCAAGGTCAAGCTGCGCGGGTCCAACATCGGCCAGCCGCTCGGCGGGCCCAAGAAGAAGTAGTTCCCGTCGTCGTCGTCGTCGAGCCCCCCTTCCTCCCTTGTCTCTACCCCATCCCCCATGAAGCTTGAAGTGTCACTCAATAGCAATCGCAGGTTACCCTCGTCCCGGTCGGCCCGCGCTCGAGCCGCCTTGAGAGCGAGAGCGAGTAGCTCGCTCGGCAAGAACGCTCTCCTGCTCGCTCGCGCAGCTCGCTCGACTCGGCTTCAGCGCTCTCGTCGACGATGCTCAAGCTCGGAGGATGCCAAGTCTCGTTGCACGCCCTCGCCCTCCTCTCCCTCTCCCTCTCCACCTCGATCCATCTCCCTCGCCTCCGCCTCACCCCCTCACACGCCGGCCCACCTCTTGCCATACCTCGCCCTCTGTCTGAGGCTCAGCTCGACGCGCTGGGCGTGCACGTGCGCGAGGCTGCGCGTATTGTGCCGCGGGACGTACATGTCGACTAGCGCGGCCGCCGCGGCGAGCTCCTGGTCGGTCGCACGCTGCGTCGCGTCAAGGCGAGGTTCGGGGTCAGCTCGTCGTCGTCGTCGTCGTTCCCGATGAGGCGTAGAGAGGCGAGAGGAGAGGAGAGGGGACGCACGCGCTTGAGCCCGCCCTGCGCCGGGTCGTCGTCCGAGCCGGACCGGTCGCGGCGCTGCCGCTTTTTGACGGCGGCCTCGCTCGACTCGGCGTGCTCGGGGTGCTGCGGCCGAGGGTGAGGGAGGGCGTGAGTCGAGGGCGGGACGGAGGTTCGGGAGGGAGAACGAGAGAGGGGACGCACGAGCCTCTCGAACGCGGTCATGAGCCGGTGCAGCGCCGGGAAGTGCACAGCGTGGCCGATGTCGGGCTACAGAGAGGGAGCTCGTCAGTCATGCACTGCCACAGAGAGAAGGATCCGCGAGAGCGAGAGGAACTGCGGGACGCACCAGCTCAGCCGGCGACCTGACACTGCGCGCCTCGACCTTTTCGAGCACGCTCTCGAACTCCTTGACGGCGACGAGCGCGTGAAGCGCGTCGGGCCCGAAAGGAGCGCCGAGCGAGTCCCAGTACGCGACGCTCATGTGCGCGAGGAAGCCGTCGTGGAACCAGACGTCGACGGCGGGCCGCTCGTCGGCGGGAAAGTGGTGCGCGATCTGGCCGACGATGTAGCGGATGCGGCAGACGGACTGTGGCGGGAGGAAGGAGGTCGTCAGTGCGTGACGATGCGAGACGAGAAGGAGGGAGGTCCGAGCGGCGAGGAAGGTCGAAACGCACCCGCCGCATGCGGTACAGCGTCGTCGAGCACGTCGTCTCAGTCGTGGTCGGCTGAGATTTCGAGAGCATCAGTCGACGCTCGATCCATAGCGTGGCAGAAGGAGAGGAGGCGGACGCACAAGCGAGGTGCTGCCCGGGAGGTCGCGGTCGCCGTTATCGAACTTGAGCTGGATCGCGTACACCTCGTTGCAGAACATGTGCTGCTCGTGCGCGGGCCACATGTCCCACCATGCGCCCGGGATGCTGGCGAGCAGCTCGGCGATCCACTCGTCGCGCATCTGCTCTCGCAGAGCGAGGCGCCCGATCTTTCTGCGCTTGCGCCAGTTGGCGAACGCCTCGCCTGCCGCCTTGATGAGTGCCTCAGGTTGCTCGTGAGAGACTCTCGGCGTCGACATGCGGGCTAGAGAACGTTGAGACCGTGCGAGAAGAGAAAAGGGAGCGAGAAGTGCAGTCCAGCTTGCTGGCGGGCGCGAGGGAGACGATCGCTCCCTTGCGCGGACTTTCCGGTCTGTCCCTGCGAGGAGACGTGTGCGAGACAGACAGACAGGAGGCGACCGAGACCGGAGAGACGAAGCCCGTGCACACGATCCGGCGCTCATACCGACGGTCGAGCCGCGGAATCGCCGACAAGCGCTCGTCACGAGCCGAACCTGCTTCTACGCCGAGGTCTCGAGAGCGCGCAGACGCAGGCGCAGGGGCGAGGCTCGAAGGCGGACGATGAGCGACCGACGCCCCGCACGGGCCGCCTCAATTCTCATCAGCTCCTCCAGCTCTCGGGCGTTGTCTCGGGCTCCCTCTCGCACCGACGGACTTGCAAGCGCATCTCTCGACTCTCATTGGGCGACAGAATCTAGCGCCCGAGAGCCGGCCCAGCAGAAGGGACGGGAAGCGAGCCGACCATCGCGAGAGCGACTCGGGTTGCGAAGGTAAACTGCAGGGCTTCTCGAGAGCGGCAAGGGAGATTTCTGGGACTGCAAATCTATCTACATCAGAAACAGAAGGTCGCCGTAGACGGCGGGCTAGCGGCGATACCGAGAGCGACCGTGCCCGAGGCTCTGCACGCTGCACCTGCGCCCTGACGAACTGAAGCTGCGCTCGTCCTCCTCCTCGCGCAGTTTGTCGAGCAGCCCCATGTTGTCGCCCTGCGAATGCTCGAGAACGTAAGCGAGCTGGACTGCAATCGAGGTCGCCGATACTCGAAAAGAGGAAAGGCGGACGCACAAACTTGGCCTCTTGGGTCGACAAGTACGGCCCGTCCCTGAGATCCGTGAGCGTCTTGAGGATGAGCGTCTGCAGAGTGCGAGGCAGTGTCAGTATATCTGGGAGCGCAACTGGTGGGCGGACCGACGAGGTCGACCCGCGAGGGCGCTGGAGAGACGGCGGACGCTCCTGCAACTCAAGGTGTGCGCGCCACCACGGCAGGCCACGCAGCATGTTGGCGATGGCCAACTGCAGGTCGTGTAGAGTCAGTGACGCCGCTCGCGGGAACCTGCGACGAGGGTCCAGGAGAGGCTCGTGCGTCGAGAAAGTCGAAAAGGGGACGCACCGACTGGTCCTTGAGCTTGAGGCCGGCGCCTTTGCGCACACCGAGCCGAACCCTGTTCTGCAGGTGGATCTCTGAGAGTGAGCTACGGCGCTCAAGGGAGAGAGGAAAGAGGGCGCGAGCGGACGCACCTCTTCGAGAAGGGTGACGAGCGCCCCGAACCATTCTATGTCGCTCAGTGCGGGCTGTCCAACGGGTCGAGGTCAGTCATATCATCTGACAAGAGGCAGAGAGAGCGAAAGGGGACGCACCAAACGGCTGATTCGGCCTTGCTCGTGGTGCGCGAGCAAGTGCTCGTCGAGGCGCTCAAACTCGGCGACGACTCGGCGTCGCAAGCGGCTGTCGGCCCGGTGAAAGTCGGCGGGCTTGATGAGCTCGACGAACCCGAGCTGGAACCAGTCGCCGGTATCTTGCGCCCACAGGCCAGCGTCGGTGTCGAGAGGAGGCGAGGAGGCGATCTGGTGGACGATCTGCTCGACGATCTGGATGCGGCTGAACTTCTGTTGCCGTCGAGGATGTCGAGTGAGCAGACTGCGAGGTGCTGGGTCGAGAGGCCGGAGCGAGACTCGCCTCGCGCATCGTCTGCAGCGTTGTCCAGCACACGAGGCGCGGCTCGGCGAGGTCGGGCTGTGGGTCCTCGACGGTTAGCGCGCTCGACGAGGGCGAGTAGAGAGAAAGAAGAGGACGGACCAGGTGTTGAGGGACGCCGGCTTGAGCCGGACGGCGGTCGTACAGCGTCTTGAGGTCGCGCATGTCATTGAGGAAGCTGCGCTGGTCGCGGATGCGCCACTTGTCCCACCAAGGCTCGTCGATCTCGGCCACGACAGCGCTCTCCCAGCGCTCAGCCTCGGCGACGAGGCGGGCCTCGTGGCTGCGGTCGATGCGCAGGCGCCGGCCCGCCTCGACGAACGAACGCGCGGCGTTGTTGGCACGGACCTGGAGGTCCGAGTACGGGAAGGGCTGAACGAGGTACTCGGCCATGGCAGCAGAGTCGCACAGGCGCAGCGAGAGCGTCGAGAGGGAAGCAGAGAGTCCGAGAGAGCAGAGGCGAGCCAGCGGGGTCCGAGCCGGACGAGCCGCGGGCGGACGACGGACAGGAGACGAACGCAGCCTCCTCGGCGTTGAGCCAGCCGGCCGATCCGCTCGACCGAGCCCACGTGGCGCAGAGAGAGAGAGGGGGATGAGGAAACGTGACGAGTTGCCGGCCGCCGAGCCGAGCTACCGCCGCTCCCGGTCCCTCCTGTCGCCGCGGTCCCGCTCCCTGCGCTCGTCCCGGCGCTCGTAGTCCCTCTCCCTCGTCGACGACCCTCGCTCGCGCTCCCGCTCCCTCTCGCGGTGCCCATCGCGCGGCTCGTCCCGCTCGCGCTCGCGCCGCGACGACGACCTGCCCTCGTCGCGGTCGCGGTCCCGGCGCGACGAAGAGCGCTCGTCGTCCCTGTCGCGGCGGGACGAGCCTCGGTCGCGCTCGTAGTCGCGGTCGCGGTCGCGGCGGGACGAGGATGGGGGAGGGGAGCGCGAGGTGCGGCGCGAGGAGGGGCCCGAGCCGTTGCGGTCGGTCGAGGGGAGCGGGAGAGGCGTCTGTGGGCCACAGAGAGGGTTGTCAGGGGCGATGATGGGAGGAGAGGAAAAGAAAGAGGGACGCACGCTTCGCCCCGAGCCCGACGCGCTCTCGCCGCCACTCGCTCGAGCCTGCTTGAGGAGCGGCACGAACCGCATCTCGTCCCTGCCCATCCTCCTCGGCTGATCCTTCTTGCCGCCCTTGCCGCCGCTGCCGCCCGCTGCCCCTCCCGCGCCCCCCATCGCCTCGGCCATGGGCTTGGCGCCGATGCCGAGCATGTGCGGCCGCGCGGCGGGCACGTACGCCTCGGTGGGGCCGGCGCGGCCCGAGCGAGACGCAGGCTGGCCCGGCTGCCAGCCCATGCCGCGCAGCATGGCGAGGCCGAACTGGCCGACGGGCACGCGCGCGTAGTCGTCGAGGGTCGACTGCTCGGCGGGGGAAAGAGGGAAAGGATGGTCAGGACGACGAGCACGAGAGAGGGCGAGAGAGAGAGAGAGAGAGAGGGAGAGACGCACCTGGTCGGGTCGAGAAGAGACGTCCTGCTTGAACGCGTCGCCCTCGTCGGTCGGCCCGGTGCGCGCGTCCGGGCCCGAGTAGATGGCGGCGAGCTCCTGCTCCTGCTCGCCGGCGCCGCCCTCGGCGCTCCCGAGCAGCTCTCGCAGCGCGCGCTGCTCGTCCGTCATCGGGGCACGAGCCTCGACGGGTGGCGGTGGCGGCGGCGGTGCGGCATCGGCTGGTGCGGCGGCGCCCTCGCCCTCGCCGTCTCGCGCGCGCCGCACCGGCTGCTCGAGGCCGCCGACGACGGGGGCCGCGTTGATCTGGTCGGCGAGCTCGGCTGCAGCTGAGGCATTCGGCGGCGGTGCGCCCTCGATGCGCGACGTCATGCTCATGCCGCCGCCCGTCTCGGGGAGGTACAGCTGCTTCTTGGTGCGGCCGCCGGCGCCGGGACGGCCGGCGCGCATCTGCTCGGCGGCTTGGCGCCAGTCCTTGTTCGGGAGGGCGGGGATGACGAGCGGGCCGGCCGGGGCGGCTTTGGCGTGCTTGCTGCAAGCGGTCGGCGGTGTCGGGTGGGGGCGGGAGGAGGTGAGGTCGAGGAGGAGGAGGGGATCCAGGTGGCGGGAGCGGGTGCAGGGACGGGGCAGAGGGGAGGAGAGCTAGTCAGTACACGTACACGGCAGTCACAGGCTCGCCCGAGGAGAGGAAGCCAGTCATCGCGCGACTCACCTCTTTGCGCCTCCAGCCCCAAACTCGACCACCTCCTCGCCGTCCTGGTCCAGCCGCGCCCTCTTCCTGCTGCCCTGCCCGCGGCCCTGTGCCCCGTCTGCCCCCTCGCCGTCCTCGTCCGACGAGTCGCCGTGGCGAGCCGAGCCCGGTGCCGCGCGGCGGTGGTGCCCGGCGCCGCTCGAGGGCCGGGTCGGCGGCGCAGACGCGGTCGAGGGCCGCGAGGGCGCGCTGATCTTGAACGAGATGCCCGACATGGCCAGCGTGCTGCCTCGAGCCGAGTGGGCGAGGGTTGGTGTCGGAGCGAGAGCGAGAGCCGCCGCGAGGCCGGGCGAGGAGACGCTCGACGTCGCACAAACCGCTCTCTGGTGCTCGTAACTCGCTCGCTTCGTGCTCGTGAAGATCTATGACAGCGCCCGGAAGAGCTTCGTCAAGTCTACAAAGGCGGCCGGCGGGTCACTCCTCGCGCAACTTGCTCCGCCTTGTTCCTCGCGCAGGCAGGACGAGCGACACCGTCTCGCGCATGGACAGGTCGCGCGATGTGCAGCCGAGTCGGCCGAGGTGTCCTTGTGGACCGAGCGGGGTCGCGGGAGAGGTGGCTTGGCGGGACCTGCCGCCGACGACGAGAGCTGCGAGCAAGGCGTGAAGAGCAGTGAGTCGGGCGACCTCGTCTGGACACGTCGAAAGAGAGAGAGATTTGGACGCACCGGAACCTGGCTCGTGAATAGAGCGCGTCGAGCTCGCTCGCTCGCTCGTTCGCGCTCAACCGACAAAGGCGAGGACGACGGCGGCGACCGTGAGGCCGAGGACCGAGGCGGCGCTGACAGCCATCCACGCGAGCTCGTAGCTGACGAGCGGCTGGAACCTCGTCCTGTACCCGCTCGTCCTCGCCTTTGCCGCCGCCGCCGCACCGGCCCCGCCAACCTCGCGCATCTCGAGCCCGTCGTCGTCACTGTCGCCGCCGTCGCCGTCGCCCTCGCGGCTGTCGGCGTCGCCCTCGTCGTCGCCGAGCTCGAACGCCGAGTCGTACGCCGAGCCGACAAAGGGCGTCGCGCCCGTGTGCGGCGTTGCGCCGGCCGCATCGTGGCGGTCGCCGTACGCGTCGTGGGCGCCGAGGAAGCTGAAGGCGCGGGCGCGAGATCGCCCGGTGCCGACACCAGGTGCTGCTGTAGCAGTGTTGGCGGCCTTGGGCGTGCCGGGGGTGGTGAGGGTGCCGAGCGGGACGACGGAGGGCGGGACGGCGGCGAGAGGCGACGAGTGGGCGAAGGACGAGCGGCGGGACGAGGATGCGCGCGAGTGCGGGTCGTTGAGGGGCGATTCGTGGTCGGAGAAGGCGTACGAGGTGTCTGGCGGGCCGGCCTGGTAGGTGAACGCGGTCGAGGACGCGAGCGGGGCCGAGTGGGCGTTCGAGTACAGGAGGTCGTCCGACAGCGAGCCAGTCGACGAGCCGATCGAGTGGCGGCGCAGGTGAGCGTCCATGTGCACTACTGGTCGAGTGTGGGCTCGAGGCGGGAGTGAGAGCCGACGAGCAGGACGAGGAGGAGGACGAGACGAGGGTCAGCCGACGACTCTCTCTCCACAGCGCCCCTGCTGCGCCATGGGCACTCGCACTAGCAGCTACAGCTTTTCTGCATCCCGTACAGCTACGGAGCAGTCCTCCCGCGAGGGTAAGTCCTCTCCCCTCCTCCTCCTCGTCTCGTCCAACCTCGCCCGAGCTGATGAGCCTTTCCTCCTCGCTACAGGCACCTGAGCTCTTCGACGACTCGCCAGCTCAAGCACATCCAGTCCGGCTCGGCCCGTGAAAGCTCGCCGCACCGTCGCGCAGCCTCGTCCTCGTGGAACCCGGCCGACTCCGCCCACCTCGTCCGACCCCGCCTATCAAGCCGCCGCACGCCCGCCGCACCACCTCGCCCTTTCTTCCTCTCGGCTCCAGCACCACCCTCCTCGACTGCGGCCACTATGACCGTCCCTCTACCCATCGTCACCCCTCTCGCGCACCCTTCGTCCGGCCCCTCCTCCCTCTCCGGCCTCGGCGCGACCGTCACCCACCTCGACCTCGCGGCCCTGTTCGACCCTGCGCACCGCACGCCAGGCAAGGCGCGCTCGACGCCCCAGTTCAAGGCGCTCGAGGACGCCGTGTACCGGTACAAGGTCGTCGTCGTCAAGCACCAGGACCGGCTCGCGCCCGAACAGCAGTACGAGGTCGTCAAGGCGTTTGACCCGGCAGCGCAAGTGCGTCCACTCCCTCACTCTCACTCTCCTATAGCCTGTATTGATGCGCCCGTACCTCGCGACCGACAGGGCGAGCAAGGCCACAACAACGCAACCGTCGAGCACAAGGGCCAGAAGTCGCTCCTGTTCGGCATCGGCAACGCGATCGGCACCCACCCCGAGGTCAAGCTCGTCGGCGGCGGCATCCAGAGCGAGCGCTTCGGCGGCAGGGTCCTCAAGCAGGCGGTGCGTCGCCTGCTCGTCCTGGCCTGTCCTTGCTCTCGGACCCCGAGAGAGCGGCGACTAACTCCAGTCTTCGTGCGTCGCAGGATCACGTCGCGTACCACAAGCATCCGCTGTCTGAGACCGAGCGCGAGGCAGGCTTGACGAGGTGGCACCGGTGGCACGTGCGTCCCGCTCCCCTTCTCCTCCGTCCTCCTGCACCGACCCAGTCCTTGACGCTGTCGCTCCCGCAGATGGACGCCGCCCTGTTCCGCACCTCTCTTCCCCTCGTCACCTCGCTCCTGTGCCTCGCGACGCCCTCGATCTCGCCCGACGGCGTGCGCAACCCGCGCCTCACGGTCCGGTGGGACGACGGGTCCGGGCTCGAGATGGAGGTCGACGCGGGCTCGACTGGGTTCGTCGCCGGCACTGCGGTGTACGAGGCGCTGAGCGACGAGGAGCGCAGGTGGTGCGACGAGCGGTTCGTCGAGTACGCGCCTTGGCCTTGTGCGTCCGACCGTTCTCTCTTCCTCCCCTTCCCGACCTCGTCATCGGGACCCTCTCCCTGACCGTCCTGTCACTCTCTCGCCGGCACAGATCAGTGGAACGGCCCAACTCGCGGCAACTCGAACGGCCTCGGCACGTTCGACGAGCCGGACAACACGATGCCGCTCGACGACCTGCCGCCGTGGGACCCGGCCGACGTCAAGACGTACCCGCTCGTGTGGAAGCATCACCGCACGGGCGACAAGGCGCTCATGGTCCACTCGGTCGTGCGTCGCCCGTCCTCCTGTCCTTCGCCCTCCCTCTCTTTCCTTCCGAACTCACTCGAGCCGACCCTGCCTCTTGCCCAACAGGCCGTGCGCGCCATCCACCATCCGCCGAGCGGCACCTCGATTACGTCGCTGTCCGAGATCCGCTCGCGCCTCGCGGCGCTGCAGCGCAAGGCGTTCGTGCCCGAGCGCATCTGCGCCCACGCGTACGAGGTCGGCGACTTGGTCATCTTCGACAACCGAGCGTGCGTCCTTGCCTTTCTCTCCTCCCACCCTATTCCCTCTACCCGTCCCCTCGCCTGTGCCCTTGCCTCTCTTGAGGTCGTCGTCGTCCTGTACGACCGCTGACGAGCCCTCCTCGCGTCGCAGGGTGTACCACTCGGCGACCGACTATCCCGACCGTTTCGGGACGAGGACGATGCTGCAGGCCCAGTACGTCTCTCTCTCCTCTTTCTCCGAGCGCTCTCGAGCATGCTCGTGCCCTCGCCGAGCCAGCAAGACCGTCCCTGACCGCGCCCTCTCCCGTCCTCGCCCGCAGCGTCGCAGCCTCCTTCGACCCGAAATAGCCTCGTCGTCGACCTGCAGCACTCGCAATCGAGCAGCAGATGTGCCAGCCGCTCGCTCGAGCCCGTCTCGACGAGAGACGCTCGGGCCGACGAGAGACGCTCGAGCCTCTCCAGCTTCTCGCCCCGTTCGGCGCACTCGCGTCGCCGACGAGCTTTCGCCTCGGCTCCTGTCCGCCTGGCGACGGTCGCTCTCTCCACTTCTCCTCTCTCGAGCGTCGCACGAGCGTCTGCCCTCCTTGGCGACGAGATCGGCGCTCGTCCTCGAACGAAGCTGCCTCGCTTCTTCTCCTTCTTGTCGCCGTCGCTCGCCTCTTCTTTCCAGGGCTATGGCTGCTCCTCAGCTCAACGCCATGCGAGGGCTCGACTCGCAGCATGTCCGCGAGGCCGTCGCCGACGCCTATGTTGCCGCCGCCTTGCGCACCGTCAGGACGCCCGCGGCGCGCGAGCGCTTCACCGAGCAGGCCGAGCGCTGGCTCGGCGACATGAACCGCCGGCTCGAGCCCGACTGGTGGCCTACGTGGCCCGAGGCGCGCCGAGAAGAGTTCCGCAACGAGATGGAGAGAGTCAGGGCGGTGTACGCGACGGCGGTGCTGCGCGACCCGCTCGAGGACGGCATGGTGCGTCCCTCGTCTCGCCCTCTCTCTCCGTATCGAGCCTTCGTCGACGCTTCAGCCCAACAGATCAGCCCCAAGATGCTCTCGACGGTGCTGGAGCACATGCGCATGGTGCGTCGGTCGTCCTCTCACGCTCAGGCCCCTCGCCGGCCGAATGTCGCGCTCACGTTCTCATGCCCTGCAGTCGTTCAACCGCCTCGGCTATCTCGTCACCAAGATATCGCTCACGCCGCCCTCGCACGCCGACCCGGAGCAGTGGCGCCTCGCGACCCGCAAGTGGTTCCACGACGGCGTCGCAAAGGACCTCACGGCGCGCGAGTTCGACACGGCGGGCTACGTGCAGCGCATGGAGGTCGTCGACGAGCTTGACAGAGTGCGCCACATGCTCGCCGGGACGATCCCGGACTACAGGACGCTCGACCACCTGGTGCGTCCCGAATCGCCCTTTCTTCCTCTCGAGCTTTCTCTTCTGCACGACCTGACCGCATGTGTGCCTCTCACAGCCCTCCATCCGCGATCCGAGAAGCTTCCTCGCCTACGCGCACCTCCTCATCGACGTGCGCCGGCGCCGAGTGACACAAAGCCGGCAACGTGCGCTTCGCACTCAGCGAGAGCGCGTGCGTCTCGATCCCCTCGTCCCTGTCAGTCGGCGGCCTGTACGAGACGGTCTGACACACTTTCATTGACGCAGGCGAACGTCAACTCAGCGCTGGACCGCCTGCACGAGGATCATCCCGACGCAGATCGTCGTGCCGAGGAGGTACGCCCGTCTTCCTCCTCTGTTTCCTCTTCATGGCCTCGAGGCATGCCTGTCGCCATCACCGATAGTCACGAACTGATTCTTTGCTCGACCCACAGGCCGAGATCCTCCGAGCGTACGCTCAGAGCCGCGGCATCGCCATCCCGACGCTGCCGCCGCACAGTCCAGACGGCGACGGCGTCGACGCGCACAGTCTGGCGCATGGTTCCTGGCGACGCCTCTAGCCGCTCACGTCGAGGCAGCAGGTCGTATACGGGCGAGTTCGGGCAAGGTTCTGAGCTGGGAGCGAATTGAGCGGGTCGACCGACGAGACCGCGAGAAGGATCTGCTTCAAACCTTGTGCTCCCTGTCCACTCTTCTCTTCGGGCTGGCAGAGATGTGCCTTGGCAGCGGCAGGTGAGCAGATCAAGCCAGTACTTCTGAGCAGCTGCGTCCAGCTCGACCTTCTCAAGTTGAACCCGTTGCTCGCTCACCTCGGGCGCCCGCTACACTTCTCTCTGCGCGCCTGGCGAAAGGCTGCTGCGATTCGTCAAACTGTCTTTCCTAGAGCCGCTCGACGCCGACACAAGAGATCCCCCCGCTCGCTTTCGCCGTGCCACCTCGTCGCGCTCGTGCACGAGCCTCTTGCGCGCTCGTCCGAAAGCGACGACGCCGACCGCACGCTTCTCCCTCGAAGCCGTCTCGCTCGATCACTCGTTCGTCTTCGAGCTCCTTTGCGGCGCTTCTCGGCGTCGGCGTGCTGCCCGGAGAGTCCGCGGCTTTCTGGACGGTGGGCGACGCTTGCGGCGCGGCGTTTCTTAGACTCCCTCTCGCGCTCACTGCGCCACCCGACATATGGCTGCTACTCAGCCCCACGTCATGCGAGGCCTCGACTCGCAGCAAGCCGCACAAGCCGTCGCGGCAGCGTACGTCGCCGCCGGCCTGCGCGCGGACAGCAGCTCCGCAGCGAACGCACGCTTCGACAAGCAGCGCGACGAGTGGCTCGCGGACATGAACTACTTCCTCGAGCCTGACTGGTGGCCCATGTGGCCCGAAGCGCAGCAGGACATGCTTCTCGACGACTTGGAGCGCGCGAGGGCCGCATACGCCTCGATCTCGGCGCTCGTCCTTCCTTGGGACGACGAAGCTGTGCGTCCCTCGAGCATTGTCAGCCCATGGACTTGTACTGACTCTCCTCGAGCCCGCAGCCTAAAATCCGCTTCACCTCAGACACGCTCGGCGGCATGCGCACGGTCCGTCCTCACGTTTTCGTCGTCGTCGTACACAGCGATTCAGCCTCAAGCTCGCTTGCTCCCTCCCTCGCAGACCTTCTGTCGCCTTGCCTACCTCGTCCACAAGATCGGCCAGTCGCCGCCTCCAGGCGAGCACCCGCAGCAGTGGCGCCTCGCGACCAACAAGTGGTTCGAGGCGGGCGTCACGACGCAGATCTCGGCGTGGGAGTTCGACGACCAGGACAAGCGCATGCGGGCGCAGGCTCTGCGCGAGTTTTCTGTCGTGCGTGACAAGCTCGAGGAGTCGTGTCCGGCCGCTGTTCGTCTCCGCGATCTGGTGCGCTCGACCCTCTCTCACTCGTCGAGCGTCTATGGCGCGCCCGCTCACCTGTTCATCGGCCAAATAGCCCGACATGGACAAGCGCCACTTTCCGCGCCTGCATCGCCTCATCGAGGATGCTCTAGAGATGCGCGTCGCCCGGGACGAGCAGCGGCACGCCGTCCAACAACGCGAGCGTGTGCGTCTCGACCACTTTCTCTTTCTCTCTGCACTCGTCGACGTTCTCAGTTGGCTCTCTGACAGTCTGTACCCTAACAGAAGCGCGTCAACGCCGACCTCGAGCACTTTCGGCGCGAGGCGCCGCACGCCAACCGCGACGACGAGCTGGTGCGTCGCTCCCTTTCGCTTTCTCTGAAGGCATCGAGAGCTCTTCACTGACCTCTTTGATGCCTCGCAGGCCGCGTTATGGCGCTCCTTCGCTCGCAACCGCGGCATGGAGATCCCCGAGCACCCGCCGCACGGACCTGCGGCCGGAGCAGGCCCGGCGCACAGCCTCGCGCACCGCTCGTACCCGCGCGCCGAGCTGAGCGAGAGGCAGCAGGTCGTGTACGGGCGAGGCAGGGTGCGGTACTGAGCGGAGGAAGGACACCCAGCGAGGGCGATTGAGGCGAGAAGCAGCGCGAGGACGTGGAACTCGAGCTGCGAGCGTCATCACGAGCGAGCTTGTCCGTCTGTCCGACTTTCACGAGCGAGAGAGCGAGGGAATGTGTGCTCTGAGAGACTGAGAGTGGACGAGAGGCCGACGTCGAAGAGCGAGCGCTTCACCTTGCTCTCGAGGCCGACCGATGCACGATCTCGAGGGCGACGTAAGCTCAGCTGCACGCTCCTGCTACGCCCCAACGTCGACCTCCATGCTCGTCGTCCCTCCCACTGCGCCCGCCGCACCTTCTGCCGCCGAGCTCCAGCCCCTCGGCGCGTCCCACAACCCGCCGAGCGCGCACCGCACCGCCTTCTCCCACACCTCCTCTGCCCTGAACCCGCCCGAGTCGTCCCGTCCCGCCTCACGCACGAGTGCTCCGAGCGTCGGGTCGTACGTCGGCGCGCCGGCGGCGGCGTGCGACCTGCGCGGGAGGATCGAGAATGGCGCGGCGGCGGGCGCGTAGAGCGAGAGGTCCGACAGCGGGTCGAGGAGCGGGTCGTAGGCGGCTTCTGGAGGGGGCTGGGACGAGGAAGAGGGGCCGGCGAGGTTGGCGAGGAATTTGAGCTTGAGGGAGGGGTCGGTCGAGGAGGAGGTTGGTGGGGAAAAGTTGCGCGCGGTCGAGCGCTTGCGGTGCAGAGCGAGGATCTGGGCGGCGGACGCGTCGGACGAGCCCTGCGTACGCGAGAGGCGTGAGCTCAGGCAAAAGAGAGGGTGCGCGAGAGCACGAGGGCGAGGAGAGAGATGAGGACGCACCAGCTCGTCGACGATCCTCCTGCGCTCCTCCTCTCGCTCCCGCTCTCGCCGCTCCTCCTCCTCGATGTACCTCCTCCTCTCGCTCTCCCTCCACTCGCGCTCGCCCCGCTCTCGCCGCTCGAGGTCGTCCTTGTCCCTCGCGCGGCGCTCCTCGTTGTCCTCGATCGACTGGCGGTTCTGCAGCTCGTACGAGCGGATCTTGGCCTCGGTCGTCGCGAGGTCCGACCCGATCGAGTGGATGAGCGAGAACGTGATGGCCTCGTACTCCTCGAGGTAGTCGTTGTAGGCCTCGAGGGAGGCGAAGTCCTCGGGGAGCTTGTTGAAGCTGCATGGAGGTGCGTCGAGAAGGCGTGCAGGCGATCGGCAGGTCGATGGCGAGTACGTAGAACGAGACAGGGTAGGAGGGAGGACAGGAGAGTCAGTCGTGCTGTACCTCGACGAGGCACTTGCAGTCGGCGGCGAGGGAAAGAGGGGGCCGAGGGGAACGAGAGACAGGGACGCACATCTTGGCCGTGCGTTTTCTGACGGCAACCTCCTTCTGGACCTCGAGGTTCTCGAAGATCTGGGGCTGGAACTGGTTCTTGCGGATCGTCTGGCCGCACACGGGGCACGGCTCGGGGCCGAGGGAGAAGAGGCGGTCGAGGCACGACTCGCACCTGCGCAGGAGGTGGGCAGTACTGGAGGGTTAGCTGAGTGTCATGGAAGTGCGCTCGAGTCCCCTGAACCCCGAGGGAGAGAGGGAGAGGAGGAAGAGGAGCTCACCTGATGAAGATGAGGAGGACGACCGAGGGGACGGGGGAGCGAGCGGTTAATTCGTGGCGGTCGACGAGGACAGTAGTGAGAGAGGGGCGCACATCTTGTGGTAGCATTTCGAGACCATGAGGCGCAGCTTGGGGTTGAGGTAGCGGTCGTTCTTGCACACGCCGCAGACGTCGTCCGGGCTCGAGAACTCGGTGATGCGGCGGTCGCCTTCTGGATTGAGGATCGGAGCGTCTGGCGGCGGCGGCGGGGCCTTTGAGCCGCCTGGCGTGGCGCGCGAGGACGACGACGAGGCGGGAGGGTTGCGCGACGACGAGGTCGAGGCGCCACCGCGTTTCGAGCCGAGGAAGAAGCGGGGCTTCGGTGTGCTCATGGCTGGTGGTGCGGCAATAGCTGGCGCGGCTGCTCTGGTGCGAGAGCGAGAGGGGAGCGAGAGGAGCTCCACCTCCCGACCGTCTCCCTCCCTCTTGGCTTCGTTCTCTTCACTCGCTAGGTCAAGCCCCTGCTGCGCACCGTCCAGAGCATCCGCGCAGAGCCACATATTCGAACGCGCCACTCGCCCTTTCTTTCTCACCTCAACTCGCCATGACCGCACCTCGCTCGGTCGCCGTCGTCGGCGGCGGCATCATCGGTTCCTCGACCGCCTTCTTCCTCGCACGCCTCGCCCGCACCAAGGGCATCAAGGTCGACATCACCCTCGTCGAGGGCAGTGCCGTCGCCGCAGGTGCCAGTGGCAAAGCCGGTGGCCTCCTCGCTCTCGACTGGCACGGGTCCGTCTCTATCCCTCTCGCTCCCCTCTGCGTCCACGAGTCGGGCCTGGAATGAGAACTACTTGACTGACAACTGCGCCCCCAGACCCGCGACCGCCTCGCTCGCCGCCCTGTCGTACAAGCTCCATGCCGACCTCGCCAAAGAGTTCGACGGCGCGGCCAAGTACGGCTACCGCCAGCTCGACACGCTCTCCGTCTCGGCCGACTTCAACGCCGCGAGTGGCAAGGCCGCACGCCAAAAGCGCCTCAAGGGCGCCGACCTGTTCCCCTGGTTGAACCACGACCTCGTCACCTCGTCCGACATTCTCGGTCCGTCCCTCCTCGTCCTCCCGCTTCTTGAGCCGGCTCGAGACTGACTCTCCCTCGTTCACCATCTGCAGGCAGCAAGGACACGACGGCGCAGGTCCACCCGGAGCAGTTCACGCGCCACCTCGTCTCGGAGGCCCAGGCGCTCGGCGTCCGCCTCGTGTACGGCTCCGCGACGGGCCTCACGCGCACCTCGTCGGGCCGCTACACGCTCTCGCTCGACCCGCTCGACGAGGGCGCCGTCCTCGCCCCCTCGGCGCCCAACAGCAACACGCCCGTCGCCGTGCGCGCCTCGGCGCCGTGCCCGCCGTCGCTCGACGTCGACCAGGTCGTCGTCGCCGCCGGCCCGTGGACGGGCAAGCTCCTCGCGACGCTCGGACTCGCGACCAAGGCGGGCAGGGCGGCCGACATCGAGGGCAGCAGGGCGCACTCGGTCGTGCTTCGGACGGCCGAGGGGCGCGACTTGCCCGCCCAGGCGCTGTTCACGAGCATCAAGGAGAAGAGCGGCCACGCCGAGCCCGAGATCTACAGTGCGTCGGGCCGTCTCTCTCTTTCTCCCGTGCGACCACATGCGAGCGCACGAGATTGTCGCCGTCCGAAAGAGACGGCGCCCATCTCGTAGGGACGCTTCTTGCCCCGCCGGATGGACCCTGACGACCCTCTCTGCGCCCCACAGACCGCCCAGACGGCACCGCCTACGCCTGTGGCCCGACCGACTCGTCCCCTCTGCCCTCGCACGCCTCGTCCGTCACCGTCGACAAGGCGGCCATCGCGCGCCTCGTCGCCCAGACGGCGCAGCTCTCGCCGTCGCACCTGAGCAAGGAGGCCGGCGTCACGGTCGAGCGCGAGCAAGCGTGCTACCTCCCTGTCGGCAGCGGTGACCCTGTGCTCGGCCGGATCGAGGGCGAGGGCGACAAGGGGGTGTTCGTCGCTGCGGGGCACAGCTGCTGGGGCATCTGCAACGGTGCGTCCTCGCTCTCTTTCACTCTTTACCTTTCCTTGCAAAGCCTCGAGCGCCTGCTCCCGGTCGCTCGACCGCCGACTGACCCTCGCGCCCCGTCCTCGCGCCCGCAGGTCCCGGCACGGGGCAGGTCATGGCCGAGCTCGTCCTCGACGGCAAGGCGTCGAGCGCCGACATTCGGCGTCTCGGGCCTTGAGCCGGCTCGACGAGCGAGGTGCGCCGCTGGCGAGGCCGTTCGACGAGCTCAGGCGGTGCGGCGGCGACAGGGAGCGGGACGAGGTCGTAGAGATAGAGGGGGCTTGCATAGACGTCTCGTTCTTTCGTCTGACCCTGTCGAGAGAGTGCGAGAGAGAGAGAAAGAGAGAGAGAAGGCGACGCTCAGACGGTCGAGGTGAGCGAGTCCATCTTGTTCGAGCCCTTGGAGCCAAACTGCGGGCAGCCGTCCTCGTACAGGTCCGAGTCGTCCTTGGCAAAGTGGTGGGTCTGTTCGTGCGTGTGCGAGAGAGAGAGAGAGAGTCAGTGTCGTGTCGTGGGCCGTCGTCGTCGTCGCTCGCTCGGGCCCCCGTTCTCCTCCTCCTCGACTTTGCGCGACAAAAGAGTCCGACTTGCCTCCTCGCGCTCGCGCCCACGGAGCCACATCGGGTTGGTGCCCTTGTAGTAGATGTCCTCCCCCAGGGTCTTCTCGAGAGAAGGCTCTGGGGAGGACTTGGCGTCGGCGACAGCCTTCTCGACAATCGCGCGAGCCTCCTTGTCAATCTTCTTGAGCTCTCTTTGCTCTCGAGATCACTCTGCCGGAACCTTTCGTGAGTCAGGACTCTCGGCGAGGTGCAAAGAACTGACCCAGGCCGACGACGCAGGCGCGAATGAGGGACGGTCGGAGGCGAGAAACTTCGCGAGGGCGCTGAGCCACCCAAGGCGTCTCTCGAGGGCCGCGCGGCCGCACAGTCGCTCAGGAGATAGGTCTGCATTGCCACTGGGCCGCCCCAATATCTACGAGAGCGACCAGAGTCGGCCAAAGCCTCATCAGCTCGTCGAGGCGAGGCGAAAGGGAAAGGGGTGTAGGACAACGAGGAGGCAGATCCGCGGCCCGCGCGCGCGTCCCCGCCCTGCCAAGATGTCCATGCGCACGATGTGCTACCGCCCCGCAACATCCAAAGGTGAGGGGCCGACGTCGAGGTGGTGGCTGAGGGAGGTGGACAGGCTCGGAAGCGATGGGGCCGGCGACACGTCGTGGGCGGCTGGCGGTGGGCTGAAGGCGACGCTGTAGAGTGCTGGTGCACGGCTCGAGCAAATCGAGGCCTGCACACAGGCTGTGGGACAGCTGAGAGGTGGCTCCGAGCGCGAAGTCGATTGTTGGGCGCGGCTCGCCTCGTCCTCCCTCCTCTGCTCTCGCCCGTCCCTCTCTGCCTGCGTGTGCCTCGCCCTCGACCCAGAGCCCACCCGCAGCTTCGACCATGCTCCGCTCCCGCATCCCCTCGGCCGCCCGCGTCGCCCTCGAGGCTCGCCGCGTTGCCCCTACCCCTCGCCTCGTCGCCAACGCCGCCCGCGTCCAGGCGCGCAGCGTCAACACGAGCGCCGTCGGGACCAACCTCGTCAAGGACAACGGCGACACGCTCACGCTCCGCCACCCGGAGGAGTACTTCCAGGCGTACAAGACCGACATCCCCTCGCTCGAGCACGATGTGTCCAAGGAGCAGCTCGTCCAGATCTACAACGACATGGTCTCGATGCGCCGCATGGAGATGGCTTGCGACCAGGTGCGCACCCTCTCGATTCCTCGATCTGCGCGCCTCGAGGTTCAACTCGCTGACCTTCGCCCCCTCCCCCACAGCTGTACAAGGCCGTGCGTCCTCTCGTCGCGTTCCCTGCCCATGGACGTTCCACGAGTCGACGCCAACTGACTCTCCCTTATCGTCTGCAGAAAATGATCCGCGGTTTCTGCCACCTCGCCATCGGCCAGGTCCGTCCCTGCTCCTCCTCGTTGTCGTCTCGTCGGCCGAAAGTGGCGCCGCTCACCCTGCCTCCCTTCTCTCACGCTCTACAGGAGGCCGTCTCGGTCGGCATGCACCACGCCATCAAGACGGACGACAAGATCATCACGGCGTACCGCTGCCACCCGTTCGCGGTCCTCCGTGGCGGCACGATCAAGGGCGTCATCGCTGAGCTCCTCGGTCGCCAGGAGGGCATGTCGCACGGCAAGGGTGGCTCGATGCACATCTTTACCCCGACGTACGTCGCCTCCTTCGCCCCTCGCCGTCGTCGTCGTCGTCGAGCGCCCGACTGACTCCTCCCCTCGGACCTCTCCCTCGCACAGCTTCTTCGGCGGCAACGGTATCGTCGGCGCGCAGGTCCCGCTCGGCGCCGGCATCGCGTTCGCGCAGCAGTACCTCGGCCAGGACAACGAGCACGCCACCTTTGCCATGTACGGCGACGGCGCGTCCAACCAGGGCCAGGTCTTTGAGGCGTACAACATGGCCAAGCGTGCGTCCTCCTGTCTCTCTCTCTCTCGTTCTCGCAGAGGTCGAGACTGACTCGAGGGACCGTGCGCCGCAGTCTGGAACCTCCCCTGCGTCTTTGTCTGCGAGAACAACCTGTACGGCATGGGCACGTCGGCCGCCCGCTCGTCGTCCAACACCAAGTACTTCCAGCGCGGCGACACCATCCCGGGCATCCAGGTGCGCTTTCTGGTTCTCGTCGGGAGGGCCCAGTCGTGAGGAGCGTCGAGTCGAGCGTCGTGACTGACCTTCTCGCCTTCCCCTCGGCCCGACAGGTCAACGGCATGGACGTCCTCGCCGTCATGCGCGCCGTCAAGTTTGCCAAGGAGTGGACGACGTCGGGCAAGGGCCCGCTCCTGCTCGAGATGGTCACCTACCGGTACGGCGGCCACTCGATGTCGGACCCGGGCACGACGTACCGCACGCGCGAGGAGATCCAGCACATGCGCTCGAGCAACGACCCGATCACTGGCCTCAAGAACCTCCTCCTCGAGTGGGGCGTCGTCGAGGAGGCCGAGCTCAAGAAGATTGACAAGGAGGCTCGCGCGATTGTCGAGAAGGCTGTCGCCGACGCCAAGTCCTCCCCAGAGCCTTCTCTCGAGAAGACCCTGTGGGAGGACATCTACTACAAGGGCACCAACCCGATGTGGCTCCGTGGGCGCGAGCGCGAGGAGGCAAGTCGGACTCTTTTGTCGCGCAAAGTCGAGGAGGAGGAGAACGGGGGCCCGAGCGAGCGACGACGACGACGGCCCACGACACGACACTGACTCTCTCTCTCTCTCTCGCACACGCACGAACAGATCCACCACTTTGCCAAGGACGACTCGGACCTGTACGAGGACGGCTGCCCGCAGTTTGGCTCCAAGGGCTCGAACAAGATGGACTCGCTCACCTCGACCGTCTGAGCGTCGTCACCTTCTCTCTCTTCCTCTCTCTCTCTCTCGCACTCTCTCTCGCTTGCCTGCGGTCGTTCCCCTCTGTGTTTTCCCTCTCTCCCTCACGTGATACTCCCCCCTCCCTTCGCGGCTTCTCTCCTTTGCAACCTAGAAAACCCGCCTTCGTCGGCGGCGGCGGGCGCTTTTGTGACTCCACTCTCTGGCGACGGTCTGCGAGAGGTGCTCGAGAGACGCACGAGGTGTCGCTGAGAGCGGACGAAGTCGAAAGGTCAACGTCGAGCCGGCGGTTGCTCAAGTTGGCGGTCTCGACCTGCTCACTCGCTCCGCATACCGCCTGCGCACTAGCCGAGCCGCTCAGACTCCAACATGAGCTCCAGCATCGTCCACCTGTCGCTCGCCGTCGTCTCGGGCGTCGCGCTCGGTGCAGCCGGCGCCCTCTCGCTCCGCAAGGAGCAGCGTCCGTCACCTGCGCAGCCGAGCTCGCCAGCGCAGCAGGGCCCTCCGTCGGTCGGCAAGGGCGTGTCAGGACCGGGTGCGGGACCGGCGCAGGTCATCGGCGGTGGTCTGCCGGCGAGGGAGGTCAGGGACCGGGTTGTCAACGGCGGAACCATCGGTGCGCCCCCTCTCGCCCTCTCTAGGCCGTGCGACGCACCGCAGATCTGACCGACATCATCGCCGCTGCCCCCTCCCCGACTTTCCCGCCGCCTCGGCCACCTCTCGTCCACCTCCTCGCGCGCAGGCCCCATCTCGGACCTCCTCGTGCGCCAAGCCTACACGGCCGCCTACGACCGCCGCAACAAGATCCCTGCCTGGACGGCCGAGCACCTAACGGCGGCGTCGCTCCAGTCGGGCGGGGGCGACCGCCAGATGGCGCGCTTCGTCGAGGACGAGGCCGTTCCCGAGCTGTTCCGCGCCAAGCTCCTCGACTACTTCAAGAGCGGGTACGATCGAGGGCACATGGTCCCGGCCGCCGACGCCAAGCAGAGCCAGACGGCCATGGCCGAGACGTTCCTCCTCAGCAACATCGCGCCGCAGGTCGGCGAGGGCTTCAACCGCCACTACTGGGCCTACCTCGAGGCAGTGCGTCGCCCACTGGCAGCTCCCTCTCCCTCCTGCGACAGAGACTGACAGGCGGACCTGTCACGCACGCAGTTCTGCCGCAACTTGACCAAGTCGTTCGACGACGTCTACGTCTTCACGGTCCCGCTCTTCCTCCCCAAGCGCGACGGCCGCGACGGCAAGTGGCGCGTGGTGCGTCCCTTTCGTCTCTCTCTCTCTCTTCGGCGCTTCGGAGCGTGCGCCTGACTCGCCGTTCGTCCGCAGTCCTACGAGATGATCGCGCCTCAAGGCGGCGCGCCGACCATCGGTTCGTCCCTCTCACTCTTCCCTTCCCTTCTCCTTCCTTCACGAACTGACTCGTCTGCGCTCCCTCGCAGCCGTCCCGACCCACTTTGCCAAGGTCCTCATCTGCTCTCGCGCGCCCTCATCGTCGTCGCCGCTCTCGCTCGTCAAGTCGGCCGCCGGGGGCGGCGCGGGCGCCATGGGCGACGGCAAGGAGTGGGTCCAGGGCGCGTTCGTGCTCCCGAACGAGGCCATCCCGGACGAGGCGAGGCTCGAGAGCTTTAGCGTGCCAGGTGCGTCGCGCACTGCGCCTTTCTCTTTTCTCCCAGCTCTCCTCCCTTGCGCTCAAAGAGGCGCAGCGAGCAGCGCTAACACCGGCGTGATCGTGACGCAGTCGAGTCGGTCGAGCGCTCTGCAGGCCTGAGCCTCCTCCCTCAAGAGCTCAAGAGCGCGGCCGGCGCGAGGGAGCTCTGCAGGGTGCGTCCCTCTCTTTCTCTCTCCTCTCTCGTCCTCCTCGTCTCGCCCTCTGCGCCTCGCAGCATCGTCGGCTCACTCGCGCGCGCTCTCTCGCCCGCAGACCATCAAGTGCGAGGTCGTCGTGCGCCGGTTCGACGACGCACAGAAGAAGCTCGGCGGCGGCGGCAAGGGGCAGCAGCAGGGTCCGGGCCAGGGTCAGGGGCAGTGGGTCCCGCAGCCGCCGTCGCAGCCGCAGCAGCAGCGGCGGGCATGAGCGGCGAGCGAGGGCGCAACGTAGTGCGGGATGAGGGCGGGAAGGAGGAGGAGAAGGGCAGAGCAGGCGTGCACTTGCAGGATTCGGCTCACTTGGACTCGGCGCGAGGCGGTCTCGAGAGCTGCGAGCCCACTCCTTCCTCTCGACGAGTGGCTCTCGAGAGAGCTCCGTCGGTACTGGGCACGAAGTAGATGAATCGCTCGCAAGAAAGAGTCTCTCGCCCTCGCGCCCGGACCTCTCCTCTCGCTCTCGCTCTCGTCGTCGCCCCGCCAGTTTCGAACGAAAACCAGGTTGCGCACCACCCATGCACGCTCTACATCTCCTCCTGCGACGCTCGCTCCCCTCCTCGGCGGCCCAATCCTCCTCGGGGCCCGACCGCACCGACGACGACGAGAACCACCTCGGCGCATGGCTAGGAACGACACCGTGCGCTTGAGGAGGGGAGGGAGAGGGAGGGAGGAGGGCCACCGATGATAGGGCACCGATAGTGGGAGGGGAGGAGGGGAGGAAAGAGAGGCGAGGGCGAGGGGGAGGACGCCAAGAGAGGGGGAGCTTTTGGGACGAGGCGGAGTGGTGGGGCGCGCTTAGAGCGTGACCTGGCCTGCAGGAGGTGGCAGAGTGTGTGTCAGTGAGGCTGAGAGAGTCGAGAAGGGGAGAGAGGCGCGAGGGGGCGACGAGGAAGTCTGGCCGCCGCCTGGCGCCTCCTCGACCCCAAGTCGCGCCAGTTTCGCAGGAAGAACGACTCGCCCTTGCCAGAATATCCGGAAGCGCTCAAGCCGCTGTAAGGATCCGACCGCTGGCCCTTGAGCATCTCGTTGGCCGCCTCCTGGTGCTCGCGCGACATCGACTTGGGCGTCTCCTTGCCTGGCGACGACGACGCGAGTTTGGCGGCGACGGCGGCGGATGCGAGTGTCGGGTGTCGTCGAGGAGCGCATAACGCGTGCGTGCAGATGCGCGTAGAGCGGTGGCGAAAGGAGGGAGAGAGGGCGAGTCGGCGAGGAGGGTGGGGTCGGCGGGCGAGGAGGACGGCGGCGACGATGCGGTACGGCGGCAGGAAGGGGTGGGCGAGGTGCAAGAGGTAGAGGGAGTGTGAGGGCGACCGTCAGTACACGCACGAGAGCCGAGAGGGGAAGAGAGAGAGGGGACGCACCGCCCTTGCGGACAAAGTAGAAGAGGAGGGTCGCAACGCCGACGGCGGCGAGGGTGCCGGCGAGGGTCTTGCCGCCGTTGGCCTGGATGGGCTCACGCGGGCCGTGCGGGCCGAAGGCGACGTAGTAGGCTGCGAGTGGGGTCGGTGGAGAAGGGGGAGGAGTCAGTGATCGCGCGCGCGAGGAGAGCACAGAAAGCGAGGTGGGGACGCACCGGCCTTCTTCTCGTCGAGGGTGAGCTCCTTCCAGTCCTTCTTCTGGAGGTCCTCGAGGTGCTTGAACGTCTGCTCCTGCTCGGCCGGGGTGAGGGTCTTCCACGACGCCTCGATCTGCACGGCGGGGGCGAGCGGGCGAGGTGGCCGGGTATCGAGCGACGGCGAGGACGATGGTGGGGAGGACGACAGGCGGCCGGGACGAGTTGTCGTAGAGGCGGAACGAGTCGCGGGGCCAGCGGTTGGTCGGCGGGTTTGAGGGCGAAGGGGGTCACAGGGCGAGATCAGGCGGCGAGGGGGGTCGGGTGGATGGACGGGGTGGTTGTAGAGGAGAACATGGTGAGTCTCGGGACTTGATCGGGGTCCCAGAGGGCTGTGGTGGCCGTGGGTGAGGAGCGAGGAGGAGGAGGGGGGGTGGCTTACGTTGTTGAGGGCGACGGGTGCGACCTGGGCCTGGGCGGCGTACGAGCGGGCGAGTGCCGGGCGGGCGACACGGAGAGCAGTCGAGCGGAGCATGGCTTGGACTAGCTGGCGAGGTGTGCGTGCGTGAGGGCGACCGAGGGGGCGATTCCTCGGAGCTTCGACTTGGCCGCACCGACGACGACGACGACCACTTGGACACCTTCCTGCCTCTTCCCGCTCACTCAGGTCCACTTTGCTCGAGCCCAGGCTGCGCAGCTCCCACCTCGGCATGCCCTCGAGCTACCGCGAGCTCGCGCCCGTCGTCGCGCGCCGCTCCCACGCCTTCTCGCCTCGTCCTCGCACGACTCTACCCGGCTCTTGCCTCGCGGCCTGAGCTTCAAGGGACGAGCTGCGAGGCTGCGAGCTTGCGACTGAGACCTCGCTGTGCAGCCTCGCTCGCTCGAGCGGGCCAGGGTCGCTCGTCTCCTCGGCCTCGGCGTTCGAGCGACCTCCGGCGCGCCGTCGAGAAACCGCGAAGGAGACGCTCCCTCGACCTTGATGCGCTCTCGCTTCCAGGGCCGAGCCGTCGGGCTCGTCGCTATTCTTGAGCGCGCTTTCCCTCAGCGGGCCGAGCGGGAACGTCACCGCCTGCACCTCGACTCGCGCGCACCTGCGTGAGCTTCCGAGCGCGCCGAGCGACCGGCCCCAACTCTTCCTTCTCGCTCTCTCGCTTCTCTACGCACCACGACACACGCCTTGCCTCACAACGATGAGCAACGTCGACGACCTTCCCGAGCGCACGACGCCCCACTACGCCGTCTACCAGCACGAGATCTTCCTGCGAGGCGCCGAAAAGGGCCAGCTGCCCGAGTTCAGCACCGACCCAGACGAGCTCGAGGTGCGTCCCCTTCTCGTCGCCGTCGACCGGCCCACCGAGAAGCCCGATTTCTGACACTTCTCCTCGTCCCCCTCGGCGCGCGCAGAAAAAGGCCCAAGAGACGCCCACCAAGGGCGGATGGCTCTACGCGAGCTCGAATGCGGGCATCAGCTGGACGCACAAGGCCAACCGCGACGCGTTCTACCAGTGGACGATCATCCCTCGGTGCGTCGGCCGGCTCTCGAGCCTCTCCCTCCTCCTCGCCCTTTCTTCCTCCCGACGCCCGTCCTGAAGAATCCTCTCGACAAACGCAGCATGCTCGTCGACACGAACAAGCGCGACATGTCGTGCACGCTCAAGCTCGGCACCTCGTCGTGGACGTTCGACGCGCCCTTTGGCTTCGCCCCGATCGGCATCAGTGCGTCCCTCGCCCTCTCTCTCGACACGACGACACGATCCTGACCATCTCCCTCGCCCTGTCTCGCGCGAAACAGACAAGATCTACCACCCACTCGGCGAGCTCAAGTCTGCGCGCGTCGCCGGCGAGCTCAACCTGCCGTACTGCCTCTCGACGGCAGGCTCGCAGCCCATCGCCGACGTCGCGAGGGCGCACGACGAGGGTGCGAGGGGCGCTGGTCGAGTCGAGGGCGAGCGAGCGAGGGCGCAGAGGAGGCCCTTCCAGCTGTACTGGCCCCATGTGCGTCCCACTCTCGCCCTCTTCCTCCTTCTCTCTCTCTGTGGGGCTTGACCTTTGACAAGGCGTCCACTAGCCGATACTGACAAACCTGCTTCACCCGCAGAACACCGACCTCACGCGCTCGCTCCTCGAGGACGCCGTCAACAACGGCTACGAGGCGTGCGTCCTCACGACCGACTCGTGGCAGCTCGGCTGGCGCCACGGCGATATTGTGCGTGTACTGCTCGCTCCTCTCTTTCGTCGTCAGCTCGCTCTCGCCGGCGGGCGCGCTGTGGCGTGCGTCGAGCGGAGCGCTCACGCCCTTTCCTCGTCCTCTCCCCTCGTGCAGGCTGCAGCTAACTACGCCTTCTACGTGCGTCGTCTCTTCCCTCCCATCTCCCATCGTGCCCACCCTAGGCATTGGCCCCTCTTACATACTCTCGCTCGACAGCGCGGCGTCGGGCACGACCTCAGGCGCGCCAACCCGGTCTTCAGCCGCATGTGCGCCGACAAGGGCGTCACGGACCTCGATAGCCCTGAAGCGGGCCAGTACCGGATCAACAACGTCTGGTCCGTCGCCTTTTCTCTGCGTCTCGTGTCCTGCGCCCAGTGTTCGACAATCGACTGACGCTTTGACCGCCCTGCTCTCTCGCAGGCACGGCCGCGCCTGGAGCTGGGCCGACCTGCCCGAGCTCGTCAAGCTGTGGAAGGACCTGAGCGGCGGCAAGGCGTTCGTCATCAAGGGCATTCAGAGCGGTGCGCCCCTCTCCTCCTCCTCCCCTCCCTCTCGCCGAGCGACCTTCCCAAACTGACCCTCGTCCCTCCCGGCTCCGGAACACTCAGTCGAGGACGCCCGCCGCGCCGCCGACACGCCGGGAGTCGACGGCATCGTTGTGTCGAACCATGCCGGGCGCCAGGTCGACGGCGCGACCGGGTCGCTCGACGCGCTCGAGGAGATTGTGCGCTCGGGCGTCGGCGAGAGGTTGACGATCATGTTCGACTCGTGCGTCGAGCGTCCTCCTCTCTCTCTCTCTTTCTCTTTCGCGGGCGAGGACCCGGGACGTGACACTGACCACGGCCGGCGGTGCGACGATGCAGCGGTGTACGCTCGGCGTCCGACGTTTTCAAGTGCCTCCCTCTCCCCTCTCGCCCGTCGTCCACACGGCGTTCTGCTTCTCGGTTTCCGATACCCTGTACGTCCTATAGAGCCTGACCGTCACTCTCTTCCCTTCCTCGTGCCCCTCCCCTCCCGCTCGGCCCTCTCTTTCCTTCCTGCCTCTTCCCCCCTCCCTCAATCTCCCTCCTCCCTCTCGCCCCTCGCACTTCACAGAGCCCTCGCCCTCGGCGCCCAGTTCGTCTTCCTCGGTCGGCCCTGGGTCTACGACATTAGCATCAGCGGCGAGGCCGGCGTGCGCCACGTCATGCGCTCCGTCCTCGCCGAGTTCGACATCCTGCTCAACGTCGCGGGGTGGACGAGCACGGAAGAGGTGAGGTGGGAGGGGGGGAGGTACCTCGTCAGGAGTGCGGCGGGAGGAGGGGCCAAGTTGTAGAGCAAGGGCGGGCAAGCTGGCTTTCAAACTCTCTGCGCCGGTCCTTGCTCGCGTTCGACGAGCTGCGGTTGTGGAAGAGCGGCGACATCCTCAGTCTGTGCGAGAGCGGTATGCGACCACGACTGCGCGCGAACTAAGCGAGCGCACGAGAGCGGCCCGAGCGCTCTCTCTCTGTCTCTCTCTCTCGACGCACACGCTCGCGGTCTGCGATCAACGGGCTGCAATGCAAGTAGGGCGTACAACAAGCACGTTCGGGGCGAGAAAGACGTTGCGGCGAGCCGCAGGAGGGAAGCTCGCGACGCTCAGTAATCATCGAGGGGGACGCACTGCAGGCTCGAGACTCTGGTCAGTCTCAGCCCGATCGCACCAAGAGCCGACAGAGAGCATTCGGGACGCACGAGGAACTCGACAAAGCCAATCTTGCCCTCTGCGACGCTCGCCCTCGCGCCGCGAGGCGAGAGCGGGATCATGAACTGGAGCGAGATGAGGCCGCCTTGGTCGGTGCGGATCGACTGGGACGGTAAGAGAGTGGGTTTGCGTCGAATGCGAGGGGAGAGGAGGGGCAAGGGAGAAGGGTTAGGTCGGCGGGAGAGAAGGGTAGGAGGGAGGAAGAGGGGACGCACGACCTTGATGGCCGACGCGAGCGCGTGCTTGGTGAGCTGAATGTGCGAGAATGTGTACCTGCAGACGAGCAGGTATTCAATACGACGCTCGACAGGAGGAGGGAACGAGCCGGCGCGGGACGCACGTATTGCGGATCGGGTGCTCGCACTCGAACGCCTCGAGGACGTCCTTGTCGTCCGCGTAGTCCATCTGCGCGTCGGACGCTAGCCTCAGTCGTCGTCGCTGAAAAGGGGAAGCGAGAGGCCAGAGAGAGAGAGGCCCGACGCACCTCGGTGCTGCCCATCGTCCCGACGCTCTCGATCCGAAAGACGGGCACCTCCTCCTCCTCGTCTGCCCCTCCCGCACCGCGACCCGCAAACGACCCGTACCGCGCGTTCGAGCCAGCGCCGGCGTGCGTCTCGGACGGCGGCGAGAAGGAGAAGGTGAGCTTTTCGGACGAGGGCGGCAGCTCGGCGAGGGCGTCGCGCAGGCCGTCCGACTGCGTGCGGGCGAGAGCAAGGGGGTCAGTCGGTGACGGCGAGGGGAGAAGGGAGGGAAGAGAGGGACGCGCCTTGATGATCATGCGCTGGACCTTGTCGCTGTCGGGAAAGGCGAGGTCGAGCAGGCCCTCGGGCTCGTAGGTCGTAATCTCGCACCGCGTCACGATGCCGCCCTCCTCAAGCCTGCGAAGCCCGCGCTCATGAACTCGGTCAGGCGACTGTGAGAGACGAAGGAGAGAGAGAGACGTGGGCGACGCACAGCATGACGAGAGGCTCGCCCTGGCCGGCGTACGACACCCTGAGCGACGTCGTCTTGCCGTCGTCTTGCGCGGCACCGCCCCTCCTGCCGTACCGCCCTCCCTCCTCGCCATCCTCACTGCCGCGCCTGCCTCTCCCACGCCGGCCCCGCCACCCTCCACCTGCCGCCCCCTCGTCGTCGCCGCCGCCGTCGCCACCGGCCGGCCGCTCGCCCTCGCGCTTGAACGGGTTGGCGCTCCCGCCGGCGTTGCCAAAGATGTTGAGGCACTCGAGCACGGTCGACAGCGAGACGGTGAGCTGGCAGTAAGGTGCGCCGCCGCCGGCGGCGGGAGGGGGCGACGAGGGCGGTTGCGAGGGCGAAAAGGGCCCGGGCGAGGCGGACGAGCGGGGCGCCGGAGCGTCGACGTAGGCGGCTGGGTTGTCGGGCGAGAGGAAGAAGTCGTAGGTCGAGAAGGCGTCGCGCGAGATGTAGGCGTGGGCTGTCGGTGCGAGCAGGGCGTCAGTCGTTGAGGGAGACGGGGACAGGGAGGTGCGCACCTTGGAGCGAGCGCCCTTCCTCGACGGTGACGACGAGGCCCTCGACGCCGATCTTGACCGTGGCTTGCTGTCGAGCGTGAGTGCCGCAGAGAGCGAGAGGACGGTGGACCCCACATGAGCCGGGCGAGGAGGAAGGACGAGGAGGAGAGGCGACGAGATCAGCTCGACGTCCAAGGGCAGCTCGAGGAGGGGGAGAAGGCCGACGCACATGCTTGAAGCTCACGCTGCGCAGGATGGACGCGAGAGGGCGCACGTCGGGCATAGTTGCGACGAGGATCGGCTGATGACAGTTCGAGGCGGGTCAGTCTCGCTCTGTGCGGGCGAGGCGAGCGGACAGGGACGTACTTCGACATCTTGCGCGGGCATGTGCTGGGCTCGACTGGCAGCCAGAGCCAGAGCAAGTGAGCAGGAAGGAAGAGAGGGCGGTGACGCCGAGTTGAGCGAGCCGGTGTCCTCTCGTCTCTCGCCTGAGCGCGCTTGGGTGGTGCTTGTAGCTTCTTCAGCCTACTTGGTCATCCATGCTGCACTCGCTCTCGCTAGTGGAGGAGAGGGCGAGCTCGTCGCCGTCTCCCCACCTCGGCGTCCGCCTCTCTCGCTCCGGCACCTCGCGCGCTCTCCAAACACCGCCATGGAGACCAGTCCAGAGCTCGACAAGCCTGCTCGAGCTCCTGCCGACCCCGCACCAGCCGCCGTCGTCGCCCCCTCGCCGTCCATTCACCTCCCGCGCTCGCTCCTCGCCCCGACCTTGGGCGACCTCCCCGCCGCTCCAGAAGACCAGCAGCGCTTCTACAAGGTCCACGACGCCCTCAAGTCTATCGGCGCCCACCGCGTCAGCACCATCGCCGAGCTCCAAGGCGAAATCGACGACGCCCAGAGGGACGACGACGACCGCCGGTGCGCCCCGCCTCTCTGCCCACCTCTTCAGCGCCTCTCTTTGCCCGATGGACGAGAACTGATGCGTCGAGACGTGGTGGTACACAGGCTCGAGGAAGAAGACGCCGCCGCCGCCGCCCTCGCCTCGTCCTCAGCCCACTCGTCCGACATCCCCTCCGACTCGGCTCCTCGTCCTCGCCGTCGCACCTCGCTCCCTCGCCCCGCCCACAACGGCGACAGCACCGACGACGACGACGTCGCCGCTACGCCCCTCCGCAAGCCCGACTGGGCGCACCTCGCCTCGGCCGAGAGCGTCCTCGCCGGTGCGGCGACGGCTGCGGCAGCAGGCCCGGTCGATGAGGACGCGGCTATGGCGGAGCCGGACGACCGCGAGGACGAGGACGCCGACCTCGAGGAGAACGGCGAGGACGAGGACGAGGTCGTCGGCGTGCCGGTCAAGCGCGACTTGACGACCGCGGTCGAGGCGTCAAGTGCACCCGCCAGAACGTCGGCGGGCTCCGGCGGTCGCCGCAACACGTTCAAGGTCGCTCAAGGGCACAGCTCCGATGTCGACAAGGCCGGCGAGAAATCGTGCGTCTGCGTCGTTCCCTACCGTCCAGCCGCGCTCTTCGAGTCTCGCCTGACCGGCTTGGGCCGTCTTGCTGCCCCGCACAGGTTCGCCCGCCCGTTCGAGCAGTACTGGAACGAGCACGTGTCCAAGCTTCACCACCCGCACGTGTGGTACCACCAGTCGCCCGTCGCCCCATCCTCGTCCGCCTCGACCGCGACCACGACGCCCGCCGCCGACCCTCTCGTCGGCTGCACCCTCACCCTCACCCTCCCCGACTCTTCCTCTCGCATCTTCAGCGCCCCGGCGACGCACCCCTCGCGCAAGGCCGCCCGCGACGCCGTCTTTGCGCTCGCGTGGGCCGCCAAGGCGCACGAGGGCGCGCGCGCTTTCCGCGACCAGGTCGGGTGGGACAGGGAGGCGGCCGAGGAGCGCGAAGATAAGGAGCGTATCGGGGCGATGGCGGGAGGGGAGAAGCCGTGGGAGGCGTTGCGGGCCGAGGGCGAGAGGTGGATGGCCGAGCCGGTGAGGTGGGAGTTCGAGGAGGACTCGCTCAGTGCGTCGTTCGGCCCGCTCTCTGTCTGTCCGTCGTCTTCTACCGACGGACTGACTGCAACCTCGCTTCTGGCGCACAGACACGACGCACGCCTGCCGCCTCACCGTTCCCGTCTCGCCGACCTCGACCCTCACCTTCCTCACGCCGACGACTTTTACCTCGCACCGCTCGGCCAAGGACGCCGCCGCCCGCCTCGCCCTCGAAGCCGGCGTCTCGAGCCAGTACGAGCGCGCGTTCAAGGAGCGCCTCGAGCGCGAGTCGGGCGGGTACCTCCAGTTCGACGCGACGGGAGGTCAAGGCGCCGTCCTCCTCAAGAAACAGGCCGAGGGCGCCGAGGCGAGCGACAAGGAGGCCATGGACCCGGTCACGCTCCTCCAGGCCGAGGTCAAGAGCGCGTTCGGCGGCGTCAACAAATTCGTCGACTGGTCGTTCGGCACCTCGAGGGACAACAGTGCGTCCGCGCTTCTCGCTCTCCTAGTCTCTCGTCGTGCGCTCATACTTTGCGTCACCTGCAGGCTCGTCCAGCAACCCGCTCCTGTCGTGCACGTTCAAGCTCACCTTCCCCGAGCCCGCGCCCGTCGACGACCCGTCGACCTCCTCCACCTCGACCGTGCCCGTCGCGCCCGAGCCCTTTACCTGCTCGGTACCGGCCTCGTACCACACCAAAGCGCACGCACGCACCTCGTGCGCCGCCCTCGCGTTTCGCCTCGGCGTCGTCGAGGTCCTCAAGCCGTACCAGGTCAAGCGCGCCGACGAGCTCCGGGCGAGGAAGACCGACCGCGAGCGGCGCGAGCGCGAGAGGCGCGAGGAGAGGGAGGAGGGGGGCGTCAAGAGCGCGCCGAGGGCGGGCACGGTGCCGTACGAGGAGCTGGACTCGCTCGACAAGTGCGTCCCCCCTTCTCTCTCTCTCCCGCCGATGATGGACCTTGACGAACCTTTCGCTCTGCAGCCCGGCGGCATACCTCAACCTGTGCGTTCAGCAGTGGACGGGCAACTCGGCGCCGCTCAAATTCGAGTACAAGACCGCCGAGCAGCCGGGCAGTGCGTCGTCCCTTCTCTCCACGTCACCCTCGTCGCCGTCCACTCACCCTCGTCGCCTCCTCAGGCCGCACCAAGCAGCACGGCTGCACTGTCGACGTGCGCATCGACCACACGTTCCGCAAGGCGTACACGGTCCCGCCCTCGAGCTCGACCCTGACGCGCGCCGCCGCCAAGGAGGCCGCCGTCCGCCTCGCCCTCTCTTCTCGCGTCCTCGACCTCATCAAGCCCGCCGACGTCGACCCGCCGAGCAGGGCCAAGGCCGTCAAGCGCGCGCGCAGGACCGAGGGTCCCGAGTCGGCGGCGAGCAGCGGCGCCGAGGCGTCGAGCGGGCCGAGCGGCGGGGCGGGCAAGCGCGCGAGGAAGGCGGCGCAGGTGGTGCAGGGCGCGCTCGAGTCGCCGTGGGCGGCTGCCGAGGGAGCGGGCGGGAGCGCGGGCGCGCTGAGCGTGAGGGCGCCGCCGCCGGGCGAGAGCGCCGTCGGGTTCCTCGACCAGGTCTGCCTCGCGCAGCTCGGCAGCGGCGGCCTGCCGCAGTACGACGTGTTCCAGGACTCGAACTGTACGTCCACCTCTCTCTGTCTGTGTCTTGCGCGTCGTCGCCGAGCCGGGCAAGCCACTCACCTCGACATGCGCGTACAGCGAGCTTGTTCGGCGCCACCCTGCGCATCGCGCTCGGCCCTCCCTCGTCTTCCTCCTCCTTGTCGTCCTCGTCCTCGCCTGCCGTCATTTCCTTCTCCTCCGACGCCGTGCACCCCTCGCGCACGCACGCGCAAGAAGCCGCGGCGACCATCGCCGTCCGCGACGGCCTCGTCGACCAGCTACGGCTCGGCGGCGCTCACCCTCGCCCGCCTTCGTCGGGCTCGAGTGCTGCTGTCGGCGTCAGGAACTCGCAGGGGATGCCGGGACGAGCACGAGCGCGAGCGCTGCCGCGGTGACGGCCCCGAGGGCGAGCTCTGGCGGCGCCGGCGAGGGCAGCGACGTCTCGCAGGCTGGCGGCGAGGGCCCTGTTGCCCCCGTCGTAGCTGCTCATGACGTCGATGCCGCCGTCGCTGTCGTTGGGGCGAAGCGCAAGCTCGAGGAGGAGGACGAGGAGGAGCAGGTCGTCAAGGAGGGCTACCTCGGCGGTGCGGGAGCGGCGGTGCAGCAGCTGAGGGACGGGTGCGCGGTGGTCCTCGGCAAGGACGCGAGCGTCGTGCCGAGGTACCGGTTGGTCCAGAAGGGTGCGCTCGTCGGCGCCGTCCTCGTCCTCGACTGGTCCCGTCCACCTCGGCGGCCTCGAGCAGGACAGCCACTGACTCTTTATGTCCCTCGCAGGCTCCTTCTTCTCAGCTTCCGTCATCGTTACCCTCGATACCCTCTCATCTGCGACTCGCGCCTTCGGCGTTCCCCCTTCCTTTGCGACCCACGACACCGCCTGCGACGCCGCCGCTCAGGCCGCTCTCTCTGCCGGCGCCCTCGAGCTCGTCCATGCCCGCCACCGTCCACCCCCACCTGCCGCCACCGACATCGTCTCGTCCCACGCGTCGTCGCACTCGGCCACCGCGTCGTCGAAGCCTCGGCGCGGCAAGCAGATGTCGACGGCCCGCTCTGGCGAGGAGCAGGCCGCGCTCAGCAGAGCCACGTACGGGGGCTTCGGCGCCGCCACGGCCGCGACCTTCGCGAGCGCCGTCGAGCAGGACAAGGCGCGCGAGAAGGAGAAGCGGGACAAGGAGGCGAGGGCCGAGGTCGCGAGGAACCCGCTCATCCCGTCTGCGGCGCCGGCTACGGCACAGGTCGCGCAGCGGTCGCCCGTCGCTCCTGGTGAGCAGGCGGCTGCTGTGGACCCGTCGAGGTCGGCGGGCGTGGCGGGATCGGCGCATGGGTTGGTCATGGACGGGCCCTCGGTTTCGGCGCTCAAAGGTGCGCCCGCTCTCGTTCCCCTCTCCCTCCCTCGTTCCCCTCGAGCGCTCGTCACTGACTCTCTGCGCCATCACGCAGCCTACTGCCTCGCCAAGATGCTCCCGATCCCGCTCCTCCGCCACGAGCCTCTCGCCGACGGCGCGTCGCACAAGGTCCACGTCGTCCTCCAGGGCCTGCGGTTCGAGCTCCCGTCGGTGCCGGGCACGGCAAGCGCCGCGAGGGAGCGCCTCGCCGTCAAGGTGCTCAAGCATCTGCGAGCGCAGGAGGCCAAGGAGGCGAGCGCGGCCTGACGACGGTCGACCGGGCTCGAGGCTCGAGGACGAGGAGGAGCGCGCCTGAGGTTCCAGGACGAGCTTTCTCGCGCCGGTCGCGGGTCCCTCTCGCAATGATAGACGCACGTTCTCAGTCTCGCGTCGCTGCGTCGCCGAGAGCTGCTTGCAAAATGCGCCGGCGAGCCCGCCAGCTCCTCAGGCTCAGCGGCGCTCGCGATTCTCCCTCTCTTTGCCGCCCGGCAGCCTCGGGCGCGAGCGGGGACATCGCTGCGCGTACGTTACGAGGAGAGCACGTGCCGGCGGGGCACAAACGGCTGTGCCGGGCGGTCAAGGAGAGTTCGGAAGCTCGAAGTGGGGGCGCCGACCAAGGGTTGCGGGGAAGCCGACGAGCGCTCCTCTCCCTCTCTCCACCATCAACGCGCAGCTCCACCACCTCGCCACACACGCACTCGCACGCTCGACATGAAGGCCGCCATCTACCGCGGCGCCAAGGACATCCGCATCGAGGAGGTCGACAAGCCGACCGTCAAGGCCGGCCACTGCCTCGTCAAGGTCGCGTAGTGCGTCGAGCCGTTCTCTGCGACCCGCGAGCAGCACTTACCAAGATCGGCGTCCCGCAGCTGTGGCATCTGCGGCACAGGTGCGCCCACTCTCCCTCCTCGGGTTCGTCGACCTTCCCAAGTTGACTTCCCTCGCCTCTCCCTCTTGCAGACTTGCACGAGTACGAGTGTAAGCACCTCTCCTTGAGCGACACGTTCGTTTCACCTGGACCCGGGCTGACTCGAGCGCACACACAGCCGGCCCTATCCTCGTCCCCGACAAAGTGCCGCACCCTGTCACCGGCTGCTCGCTCAAGGACGGCATCTGCCTCGGTCACGGTGCGCCCGTCTTTCCCCCGCATGAGTCCATGCCCACTGACGATCGTCAGGTCGCAGAGTTCTCGGGCATCATCGAGGAGGTCGGCGACAACGTCGAGGGCGACTGGAAGAAGGGCGACCGCGTCGTCATGTGCGTCTCCTGCTCCCTCCTCTCTCTCTAGAGTCGAGAACTGACCCTCGAGCCCGTCGTCATCCACAGCGAAGCCGTCATCAGCTGCAAAGAGTGCTACGCCTGCCGGAGCGGGTGCAACAACGCGTGCTCGAAGCTCGGCTTTGTCGGCATCTCGGGCCTCGGCGGCGGCCTGAGCGAGTACTTCCTGTCGCCGGCGGCGTACCTGCATCGCGTCCCGGACGACGTCTCGCTCCGGATCGCGGCCATGAGCGAGCCGCTCGCGGTCGCCGCTCACGCCGTCCGTCGCAGCGGGTTCCAGAAGGGCCAGTCGGCTCTCGTGCTCGGCGCCGGGCCCATCGGCTGCTTCCTTGTCAAGGTCCTCATCGCGCAAGGTGCCTCGTGCGTCGAGCTCTCTCTCTCTCCTCTCTCGTGACGAAGGACCCGCACTGATCCTCTGTGAGGTGCAGGACCGTCATCATCTCGGAGCCGTCGTCCACTCGCCGCAACAAGGCCAAGCTCGCCGGCGCGCACCACCTGTTCTCGCCGCTCGAGGACGACATCCCTGCGCGTGTGCGCGAGCTCACCGGCTCGGACGAGGGCGTCGACGTCGCATTCGAGGCGGCGGGCAACGAGCGCGCGCTCGACGCCGGCATCCGGTCGCTCAAGGTGCGCGGCACGCTCCTCAACGTGAGCGTGTGGTCGCGCCCGCCCAAGGTCGACCTGAACGAGGTCGTGTTCAAGGAGCGCCAGCTGTTGGGCTCGTCGTGCTACTACATGGACCACCCTGCCGTCATGGAGGCGCTCAAGACGATCGACCTGTCGGCGTTTGTGACGGGCGTCATTCCGCTCGAGGACCTCGTCGAGAAAGGGTTCGAGGAGCTCGTCCACAACAACGAGGCGCACGTCAAGATCCTCGTGTCGCCCTCTGGCGACATGAGCCTCTGAGCGAGTCGGGCGAGCTGCAGCACAGGGTCCGAGGGCAAGCTGCGGCAGGGGGCGTGGACGACGAGCGAATTGCAGTACAAATCTGTGCCCAAGTCGATCGTGCGAGGACGAGAGATCCGGCTGCGAGTCGAGCGAGGACGTCACGAGGGCTCGAGGAGGCGGAGAGAAGCGAGAGCAGCGCGAGCAGGAGCGGTGCGCCGCTCGGTAGCTGCAAGCGCAGTCAAGCTGGTGCAGCAAGCGAGAGACAGTGGAGCCGCACAGAGCGCGAGGACAAGGGGAGCTTGCGCGTCGTCGTCGTCGGCGGCGGCGGTCGAGGAGAGGGAGACGAGATCCAACTTGCTCTCCACTCCGACTAGCTCGAGCGAGTACAGCACACGCTCAGCAGCTCTCTACCACCGGTGCGCACCCTCTCGCCCCCTGTCTGTCGCGCTCGAGCATGAGCTGACCCCTCCTCGTCCTCATCTCCCTCCAGCTCCACCTCGAATCAGCTCCCCACCTCGAACGACTCCGCCAGTGCCCGAGCCATGTCGCGCTACGACACGGCACTCACCACCTTTGCGTGCGTCCCACTCCCTCTCTCCCTCCCCCTCACAGCCGTCGTTCCGAGAGCTGACCTCGTCTCCCCCGCTGACGACAGGCCCGACGGCCACCTCTTCCAGGTGCGCACTCTCTCCCGAGCCAGACCGCACAGAGCCTCGCACTGACTCGCTGCCACACAGGTTGACTACGCCCTCGAGGCCGTCCGGAAAGGCACCTGCGCGGTCGGCGTCCGCGGCAAGGACTGCGTCGTCCTCGCGGTCGAGAAGAAGAGCGTCCTCCAGCTGCAGGACCCGCGCACGGTGCGCAAGACGGCCATGCTCGACGACCACATCTGCCTCGGCTTTGCCGGTACGCCCATCTCTTCTCCTCCTCCCTCCCCCGTCGTCCTGTCCCAAGCTGACCTCGCGCGTGCCCTCTTTGAACAGGCCTCACCGCCGACGCCCGCATCCTGATCGACCGCGCGCGCATCGAGTGCCAGTCGCACCGCCTGACAGTCGAGGACCCGGTCACGGTCGAGTACATCACGCGCCACATCGCCGGCATCCAGCAGGTGCGTCGCCCTCGTCTCGCCCGCTCCGGCGTCCACGCAACGCGTGTCGCTGGATTGCGCTTCTTGGCAGAGTATTGACGCACACTCCACGTTTCGCAGAAGTACACGCAGTCCGGAGGTGTGCGTCCGTTCGGCATCTCGTGCCTCATCATCGGCTTCGACCACGACGACCCTCGCCCTCGCCTGTACCTCACCGAGCCCAGCGGCATCTTTTCGGCATGGAAGGTGCGCCCCCTTCCTCTACCTCTCCATCCTCCTCCTCGTACCAGCTTCGTCTCTTTCCCGCCCCGCCTCCTCGCGCCTCGAGAGCCGCACGAGCTGACCCCTCTCCTGCACGCAGGCGAACGCGGTCGGTCGCTCGTCCAAGACGGTGCGCGAGTTCCTGGAGAAGCAGTACAAGGCCGACCTCTCGACCGACGAGACGATCCAGCTCGCCGTCAAGGCCCTCCTCGAGGTCGTCCCGACCGGCGCGGCAAACATCGACTTGGCGGTCATGGACGGGTTCGGGAGCGTGCGGGTGCGTCGTCGGCTCTCTCTCGGTCTCTCTTCCGGGCCGCTGCCTTGCGGCGCCGGCCAGAAAAGATGAACGCGCCGGGGCCAAAGCACTCACCTTCTCTGCCTCTCCCGCCCGCAGAACCTCACGGCCGACGAGCTGACGGCGGTCGTCAAGAAGATCGAGGAGGACAAGGAGGCCGAGGCTGAGCGCAAGCGCTCTCGCCTCGCGCAGGCGGCGGCGTCGCGCGACGCCATCTTCACCGGCGACGGCGCGGCGCCGAGCGGTGGTGCGGGCGCGGCGGCGGCAGAGGAGGAGGCTGGTGCGGGTGCGGTCTAGATTGGCGAGGTGCTCGCTCGACCGAGTGGAACGCAGAGATGTACAGCCTCGCAGCCCGCTTCTGCTTCTCTTCGCTCGTTCGCAATAGTTAGCGCGTCTCGCTCGACTTCCGGGCTCGCGTCGCTCGCCGCTTTGGCTCGATCGTCCGTGGCTGCCTCGTCACGCTGTCCGTACCGGCGCTTCCGCGATCGTGCGCGCCGCGAGGAGATTCCGAGAGGAGGCGGGGGAGCGGTGCGTGCGCGGACAGGGGCTCGACGTTCGACGCTGGTTCCGCGGACCTGCGCCTCGTCGCTCCCTCTCTCGTCCTTGCTCTTCGACACCTAGCGTGCGTCGAGATGCTGGTGCACGAGTCGCCGGCAGCAAGGAAGCTGCGCCTCGAATGTGCGCCCCAGCTCTTCCTCGTCTCGCCCTCGTCGTGCGCTGACTCTTTTCCCCCGTCCGTCCCTCGCCACCCTCCCGACCTGTAGATCTACTTCGTGAGTCGAGCTCCTTCTCAGAAGACGGCCTGTCTGAGTCGTACACTGACGACGGCCTGCGCCCGCAGTCTGCGACGAGCATGAACCGGCCCGAGCGGACCTTGTCGTGCGTCCCGACTCTCGCACCCTGGCTCAGCAGGACGAGCTCTACCTGACTCGTTGCCTCCCCGCGCAGCTGCCACAGTACCTGAATCGTCTCAGGACAGACCTGCGCGACAATTACGAGGAGTACCCGAGCGTCAACCTCGCCGCGTTCTGTGCGTCGGCACTTTCTCGCCCTCTCGTACTCAGTCCGACACTGACTCGCAGCTCCATAGGTCACTATTGTGCGCTGTCCTCGACTCGTCGAGGTCCAAGCGCCCGCTCACCTGTCGCACGTCTCGCAGGGCGCGCCCAAGAGGATGCGCATGGCGCCAATCCGTCCTACAACATCTACCGCTTGACGTGCCACTACTTCGTGCGTCCGACCATCTCTCTTCGGTCGTACTGCGCCAGCCTGGACTGACGCTCCCTCGGCGCCACGCAGGACGACACGCTCCACCGCCGCGCGCTCGACGCTCACGATCACGTGGTGGCCCGTGCGTCCTCGCGCGAGTAGCACAGCCATCACAGAGCGTGATTGACTGACACTCCTCGACACTCTCGCAGTGTACGACGACCTGGCACGTGGCGGCCCGTCGTCCTCGGAGCGCAAAGAGCTTCAGGCTCAGCTGGCTCGTCTTGTGTGTCCCACTTTCTTTTCCTCTCTCTCTTTCTTCCTCGACGCCGACTGACACTCGTCCCGCGCCTAACGCAGATGCAAAGCTACAAGCGAGCTGTCGAGCTGTACGCAGGGCTCATGTCAACCCGCATGATCCGCGATTTCAGTGCGTCCTCGCGCTCTCTCTTTGTCGGCCTGTCGACACTCCTGCTCACGCTTTCTCTGTACAGTACGCATGGACGAGCGAGACGGTACGTCCACGTCTCGCTCACGAGGGAACGTCGGACCCTCCTGACCGCCCTCGCGCCCTCGCGCACGACCCGCTCGCAGGCACGCCCCTCCCCGTCGACAAGGTCGCCCTCGCCGTCTACGTGCGCTCCCCTCTCTCGCTCTCGCACAGCCGTCCAAGGACCTGACGATGGCGCTCGAGGACCCGCAGAAGGCCGAGCTGGCGCGGCGTCGGCCCGAGAGGAGCGAGGAGACGTTCAGCCTTGGCGGGCGCAGGCCGGCGTCGAGCGGGTTGATGGGTCGCCGGGGCGAGCGCATCTACTTTGGATGACGTAGCTGGAGAGCAAGTGCAGCTACAGGTCGATGCGAGAGTGGACGGCCGAGCGAGGAGGAGAGCGGCGCGAGAACGGGTCGGCGATGAGCGGAGGTGGTCGCCTGCCTCGGCTCGTGCGGCCTCGAGCGCTCGGCTAGAGCAGCCAGCGAGGTACCAGTTCGAGTCGCTCGAAGCGAGAGACGGCTTGTCGCGCGAGAAGCCGAGGCGGCGCCGAGAGAGACTCGAGAGGGAGGAGGAGCAGCGAGGACGAGGAGCGGGAAGCGCAAGCGCAGGCGGCCCAGCCGGACCCGACACAGCGAGCGAGTGCCAGGCTAGCTGCATGTAGGCTCCCCGCGCCTGCAAGCGAGAGCGTGAGGGCGAGAGGAGCTGGCCCGGTCCACCGCTCGTCCGCTCGGCTCGGCTCTGACCCGCACCAGCTCGCGCGCCTTGCTCTACAGCGCAGCTTACCACCAGCGAGTGCACCTGTCGAGCCTCGCCGACCGCGCCAGCACGACCGCGCCCCGCAACCCGGCGTCGCCCCCTTCCCCTCCTCGTCACTCGCCTCCGCATCCTCGACCCGACAGCTACAGCTCGCGCGAGGACCAGCACCAGCACAGTGAGTCTCGCAGCTCCTCACAAGGTCTCTCGCGCTCTCGGAGGCGCCCATCGGTGCAGTGCGGTGGTCGGCCGACACGGTGGTTTGGGCGATGAGGGTCAGGCGGGGTGTGCAGCTACGCCGACTCGCCGAGCGGGCAAGGGAGGTGTCCAAGACACATGTCAGAGCTCTAGAGGAGCTCTCTGTCTCTCGAGACTCCTGCCCGCGAGCCTGTGACGGCCGCGAGCCCGGTCGAGGGGGACCTGCTGCCCCATGTCGGATGATTCGCCCGGTGCACCAGCTCGTGGGCGAGGGAGGGCACCAGTAGCAGCATCCTGCCTTCTAGCCTCGACACGAGCTCCCCGATCCTGTATACCGAGCAGGCCATTGACCCTCTCCCCCGTCTCGCAACAGCCACCTCGACCATGCTGCCTTGGAATCCGCCCTCGGCCTTTTCCCTCACGGGCGACCAGCAGCAGCAGCGCTACGGCTATAACGACGGCGGTTCGACTATGCAGTCCAGCCACCAGCAGCAGCAGCAGTCGCCGACCGGCAATCAGCAGCAGCAGCAGATGTCGCCCCAGCAGCAGCAGCAGCAGCAGCTCGCTCCCGGCGCCATCCCTCCCCCGCCGACCAACCAGTCGGCCTACCCGCCCATGACGCTCGCCGCCACCCTCCACTTCCTCCAGAGCGAGCACCGCCGGTACGCGCGCGATCGCAACGAGTGGGAGATCGAGCGCGCAGAGATGCGCGCCCGCATCGCGCTCCTCGAGGGCGAGAAGCGCGGCAACGAGGCGGCCCTCAAGAGCTTGGGCAGGCGGTGCAAGATGCTCGAGATGGCCCTGCGCGGTGAACGGTACGTCGGGCCGGTTCCTTCTCGTGCCCTCGAGCCTGCTCTTCTTCCGAGCGAGGTCGGGGCTCATGTCGAAGTCCCTTGGCCTGACGTCGTCTCCCTCTCGCAGCTCCAAGTTCCTGTCGACGACCAACGCGCTCGGCGGCACCCCGTCCGTGTCTGGCACCGCCTCGCCCATTCCTGGCGGCACGCCCGCCCTCGGCAAGGACTCGCTCGCGGCGGTCGGCGGCATCCCGCCGCACAAGCTCGCCGCGCTCCAGAAGGACACGCCTGCTTCGTCGGCCTCGGCGCCCGTGTCGCCGGGAGGCGAGCAGCTCAAGTCGGCGCCCATGGCCGCCTCGTCGAGCACGCCCGGGCCGTCGGCGAACGTTCCTCCGCCGTCCACCTCGACGTCCACCTCGACGGCCTCGTCATCGGTCCCGGCGCACGCTCGCGGCGACAGCCTGTCGGTCCCGGCGGCGGCGCCCAACGGGCACAACACGGGCACGTGGTCGAGCGCCGCGAGCGCCGCCGCCGCGTCTGCCGGTGCGCGCGACCCGCGCGGCAAGGCGCGCAGCCGCGAGTACCTCAAGCAGTGCCTGCAGGAGATCACGTACCTCACGAGCTCGGCGACGCTCAACCCGCTCGCGGCGCACTCGTACGCGGCGCCGAGCGTCCCGAGGCCGAGGAAGGTCCTCCCCGACCAGGTCCCGCCGACGAGCGCCCCGGGCGTCATCAACCTCGCGCCGCCGCCGGCGGGCAGCGCCCAGACGGGCGAGGTGCCGCCGCTCGCAGCCGGCGGCGAGACGTCCTCGGCGCCCTCGTCTTCTTCGGCACCGACGCCGAGCAAGAGCGCGCCCGCCGTCCTGTCGCCGGCACCCGCCGCCGAGTCGAGCTCGTCGACCAACAAGCCGGCGCCGCATCACGACCTCCTCACGTCGTTCCCGTCGGACCCGCCCTCGGCGTTCGTCCCGCTGCGCCGCCAGATCTCGCAGCCCGGTCAGCAGGGCCCGGGCGCCCTCTCGCGCTCGTCCAACCCGCACCAGCTCCAGGGCCAGTCGCGCAAGCAGCGCCACGACGCGGCGCTCGACGCCGAGATTGCGCGCCTCGCGGCCCCCGAGGCCAACGAGGACAAGCCCGACGACGTCAGCGCCGCCCTCGCCGCCGAGAAGGGCGCCCTCATCAGCCAGCGCGAGCTGCCTCTCGTCGCACCTGTCGTCGCCGAGCCCGAGCCGCTCGTCAAGGAGGACGAGGTCGTCAACGCTGCGCCTGGCGCCGCGTCTGAAAAGGGCGCCGGCCCGTCCTCGTCGTCGTCGAACGACGTCGAGCCCTCGACCGACCTCGACTTTGACGGCGAGCACGACGCAGAGCCCGAGCCCAAGGCCGAGCCGGTCAAGTTTTCGCCCGAGGAGCTCGCGCTCCAGGCGGCGCACGCCGCGCCCGAGGCCAACGAGGAGAAGCCTGACGACGCCGTCGCGCTCATCGCGACTGCGGGCGAGGACGGCGAGGACGAGTCGCAGGTCGAGGACAAGGACGTCGCGTCGCAGGAGGACTCGGACGAGGTGCGTCTCCTCTTTCTCGCCTCGTCTCGTCCCTCGACTCGTGCGCGCGTACTGACTGCTCGCGGACAGTCCAGCCCGCTCCCTCAATCCTCGACGCCTCCCGAGCCAGCATCGGCCGAGCCGGCGGCACCCTCTCGCGCGGTCGAGGGCAGCGCAAGAGCCTCGCCGCCGTCCTCGCCTCGTCGGGCCTGAGCGGCGAACCCGGCGCGGCGGCGGGCGCGCCCGAGGACGAGGGCGTCGGCGAGGAGGAGGGCGACGCGCCGACGGCCATCTTTGCGGCTGGTGGCGCGGCGGGACGAGGCGACGAGTGGCGCAAGAAGCTGCAGGAGGCGGGCAGGCGCGCGTACCCGGGCTTTGCCGGGCGCGCCGGCGCCGGGGCGGGCGGCGACAAGGAGCTCGATGCCATGGAGTGGGACCTCGAGGCGGCGACGGCCGACGACGAGGAGGGCGAGGGGGTCGGCGAGGGCGGCAAGAAGCAGAAGGAGCGCGTCGGCAAGAAGGGCGGCGAGGAGGACACGGTCGGGTTGAGCGAGGGCGAGCGGCTCAAGCCGAGGCGGGTCCTGCGCAGCCACCTCGACGCCGTACGCGTCGTCGCCTCCGTCCGGGTCGACGGTATCGAGCTCGTCGTGACGGGCGGCGACGACGGCGTCCTGAAGCTGTGGCCCAACGTGGTCGGCAAGCCCGGGTGCGTCTGACTGCGTCCCCTCGCGCCTCCCTCTCTTTATTTCTCTTGTCGTACTGACTCTCAAGCTCGTGCGCAGTTCTCGCGGCGACCTCGAGCCTGTCGTCACCCTGCGAGGGCACATCGGGCCCATCACCGCCGTCGCCGTCTCGCGCCCGTCCTCGCCCGGCGCCGAGCCCTTCCTCTTCTCGGCCTCGCTCGACTCGACCATCCGCGTTTGGGCCTTCCCGTCGCCCTCGCACGACACGTACGACCCGGTCGACCCGTCGCTCGCCCAGGGCGTCCTCGAGCCCGGCGCCGACGCCGTCTGGGGCCTCGCGTCGCTCTCGCGCGACCGCCTCGCGTGCATCACGGCCGACGGCTCGATCCAGGTGTGGGACTGGCGCCGTCGCGCTCGCCTCGCGAGCTGGACCTACGGCGTCGTCGAGCCCGCCAAGGGCTCGCTCCGCAAGCGTCCGGCGCAGGTCCCGACGCCGACGGCGCTCGCGGTCGCCGAGGCCGAGCTCGAGCACTCGCAGGGCGACAAGGAGTACCTCGTCGTCGCCTTCCAAAACGCCGTCGTCAAGGTGTTCGACGCCGAGGACGGTCGCCAGGTCAGGCGCATCCAGGCGGACGAGTCGGCCGGTGCGTCCTCTCGTTCTCTCCTCCCTTTCCCCTTGCCTTGAGCTCGCAACCTGACAGCGTACCCCTCCTCTCACGCAGATGGCACGCCCGAGACGCAGATCAACGCGCTCGCCGTGGACGCGGACCTGTCGCTCGTCGCCACCGCCCACGAGGACCGGTTCATCCGCATCTTTGACCTGCAAACAGGTGCGCTCGCTTCCTCCTTTTCTTCTTTCTCATCGACCTCTCGTACTGACCGTTGTCGTCGTCGCCCGCAGGCGAATGCCTCGTCTCGTCCCTCGCCCACCTCGACGGCGTCACCTCGCTCGCCTTTTCGCCCGAGGCATCGACATCGTCCTCCGCCTTTTCGCTCGAGTCGCTCGAGGCATTGTCATCGTGCTCCGAGATGCGCATCGCCCTCGCCTCGGTCTCACACGACACGTCGCTCCGCATGTGGAACCTGCGTGTCGACTGCACCGGCGCCGGCAAGTCGTCGCTCACGTGCGTCCAGGAGGCGTCGACGCACCGGGTCAAGGGTGCCGAGGGCGTCCTCGCCGTCGCGTTTGCCCACGGCGGCAAGGGCGCCGTCTCTGCCGTCGTCACTGCTGGAGCCGACGGGACTGCGCGCGTGTGGGAGCGGTAGCTCTCGCTCGCTCGCCGCGGCCCTTCCTTTTCGTACCCCTCTTTCCTCCCGCCACCTCTCTCCCTCCTCGTGTCCCCTCCTCTGTCGCACCCGCCCGCCGTAGACCTATATACCCCCTCGTCGCTCGCCCGTCGATATTCCCCCTCGTTGCCCCTCCTTTGCTCCTCGTCTCCCTTTCTTGCTCTCGTCCTGCATGCCTCGCAGCCTTTCCTTGCTCTCTCGGTCCTCTTCCGATAATTCTCGCGAGAGTGCGACGATGAGAGAGGCGATCGTTGCACAGAGAAAAAACGCTAGAGAGAGAAATAGAAAGGGGCCAAGAGTCTAAGGAGGCGCGCCGTGCGCACGGGCCGCTTCGGCCGCCATCTGCTGCGCGAGATCGTCGAACTCGGCATTGCCGTCGATGCGCAGCGAGCCGAACTGGCCGTGGCTGCCATGCGCATACGATGCCGGGTAGCCGAACGAGTCGCTCGCCGCCGACGACGACGGCGGGCGCTGCGCACGCTTGCCGGCGGCGACGCTCGCATCTCGGTGCAGCTCGTGCGACGAGTTGTCCGAGTAGCTCGTCATGACCGTGTTGGTCGATGCGCGCAGGGCGTGGCGGTCGAGCTGCGCCGGGTAGGCTGGCCCGGCGGCGTGCGAGGGCTCGTACGTCGGGACGGGCGAGGCGAGGGGCGAGCGGTCGAAGGTCGCAGCGCCGTGGTGCGACGGCGGAGCAGGAGGCTCTTCGCGTTGAGCGTCGACGGCGGCTTTGGCTGAGTAGTCTGGGCGCAAGGAAAGGGAGTGAGCGGGACGTCCACGCTGACGAGGCGAGAGAGAGAGAGAAGAGGACGCACAGCGCTCCAGCTCGGCCTTCTCGGCTGCGGCACTCGATGACGAGCCACCCTGCACCGGCGGCGCCGGGTACGACGGCGGCGCCTCCTCGTCCTCGACCGGGAGCGCCGGCTGCTTGCCGCGAGCCTCGTCGGCGCGGCGACCAGCGGCGGCGGCGTCCTCGGCCCGACGACGAGCGGCGGCCTCCTCCTTCTCCTCGGCGGCCGTCTTGTACGTGCTCGTCGAGCTCGTCGCCGCGGGAGGGTCGATGGCAGCCGAGGACGCCGTGTGCGGAGGAAGAGGCGGCTTGGGCGGCAAGTTCGGCGCCGAGGTCCGTGCGGCGTCGTACGCCGGGTGGACGGGCGGCGGCGGCGGCGACTGCGGGTGCGGCGCGCGAGGGTAGCCGTTGCCCTGCGGGTAAGCCGGCTGGAGGGCGGCCGGGTCGTAGTGCGTCGGCGGCGGCGACGGCGAGCCATAAGGGCCGGGCGAGCCGACTTGAGCGCGACGCTCGCGCAGCTGCGCGAGATACCGCGCCTTCTCGTCGCTGAGGCCCGACTGCTGCCCGATGGCCTGGGCGTAGAACTCGGCGGTCGCGTTGGCGGCCGACGTGCCCGGCGCGAACGAGGCGACGGAGTGGACGGACGGCGCGCGGTGGACGCCGCCATACGAGGTCGTGCGGCCGTTCGACGGCGGCGTCGGGTAGGCCGGGCGGTCGTACGAGTCGGAACGAGTGTCTGTGAGAGTGAGAGGGTTAGTCATAGGTGGAAGGAGAGACGGCGAAAGAGGGAAGAGGACGCACAGGTCGACATGCCCTCGCTCGACTGCTGCGCCCGCCTCGCTGCCGCCGCCGCTGCTTCGGCAGCTCGGTGACGCTCCTCTTCCTCGTACCTGCGCCGCTCGTCCTCCTCGCGCTCGTACCGCTCCTCCTCCTCGGCCCGCCTCCTCGCGTCCTCCTCCTCGGCCGCCCTCGCCCTCGCACGCTGCTCCTCGTCAAACCTCCTCTGCGCCTCGGCCGCCTCGGCTTGGCGCCTCGCGACGTCGGCAAGGCGCGCCCGCTCGCCCTCGAGCCGGCGGCGCTCGGCGTCGGCCCGCTGCCGCTCCATCTCGACCTTGCGCGCCGCGGCCGACTTGCGCTCGAGCTCGTCTCGCTTGCGCTCGTCGTCGAGCCGACGCATCTCGTCGGCCATGGCGCGCTTGGCGTCGTCCTCGCGCTTGCGCTCCTCGGCCTGGCGCTCCTCGGCCTGGCGCTCGATCTCGGCCGCACGGACCCGCTCGGCCTCGAGGTGGTGCTGCTTGAACCGGCGCAGCTCGTCCTGCATGGCCTGCTCGGCGCGCCGGCGCCTCTCGTCGATCTCGGCACGCGCCTGCGCCTGCCGAGCCTGTTCCTCGCGCTGCCACCGCTCCTCGTCGGCGCGGATGCGCGCGAGCCGGTCGGCCTCGAACGCCTCGCGCGCAAGGCGCTCGACCTCGCGCCGCTCGTCCTCGGCCTCGGCGATGAGGCGCGCCTCGTACGCGAGCTGGGCCTCCTCAAAGTCGAGCTCGGCGAGGGCTTGATTCTGGCGCTCGAGCTCGAGGCGGGCTTCTTCTTGGCGCTTGCGGGCCATCTCCTTGGCGTCGAGGAAGAGGCGGCGCTTCTCGGCTTCAGCCGTCGTGAGGCTGCGACCGAGGAGGGCGGCGGGCGACGTCGGCGCGTCACGAGGAGGAGCTGGCTCGACGGGAGGAGGAGCTGGCGACGGCGGTGACGAGATGGACGGCGTCGAGGTCGACACGTCCGAGCCCGAGAGGGCCATGATCGTGTTGGACCTGGTCGGCGCCAGGTGCGCCGTCGCGAACGTCGGCCCGCCCTCGACGAACTGCGACGCCCGCAGGCCCGAGCGGTCGTTCTCGGCGCGAGCGGCGCCAGCAGGCCGGCTGAGCTCGTCGCGCGACTCGCGGTGCACGATGGCGGCGCGATGCAGCGACGGCGGGTCGTCCTCGATGCTCGGCGAGTGCTGCGACGAGCTGTAGCGGTGGTGCTGGTCGTGGTGGTGGTCGACGAGGCTCGTCGGCGACGGCGCCGAGAGACTGTCCGTGCCGCGCACCGACAGCTGGAGCGCGTCGCGCTGCCGAGTCGCGTGCTCGTAGTAGCTGCGCTTCTCGTCCTCGGCCGTCGAGAGCGCGCCGAACGACGGGCGCATCGGCGCCGGCGCCTCGAGGTGGTGGTGCGGCGGCGGCGGCGATGACGAGGACGAGGGGCTGAAGCGGTCGTCCACGTCGTGCTCGCGGTCGTGCGACGAGGTCGGGTTGGCGACGTGGAAGCCGGCGCCATTGGCGGCGCCGTACGTGGTCTTGAGCAGGCGGCTCTTCTCGAGAGCGGCGTCCTGGTACGACGCGACGGGCGACGACGCCGGCGGGAGCTGCTCGCTGTCCTGGCGGACCGGCGCGCGCATGGTCGGCGCAGGCGGCGACGTCGAGCGGGTGCTCGCGTGGCGCTGCGCCTCGGGCCGAGGGGGACCGTGCGCCTGCTCGTGCTCGCGCTCGGGCGCCGAGTTGGCCGACGACGAGGGCGACAAGCCCGCTCGGTCACACAGGCCCTCGACCCAGCCGATGTCGCGCATGATGCCCTTTGCCGTGCGCGAGTCGCAGTCGCCGATGAGGACAGGCCAGTTGTCGACCGAGATCTCGTCGCCGCCCTCGAGCATGGCGCGCACCTTGAGATGGTACGCTACGTCGACGTGCTGCGGGGCGCTCGAACTCGTCAGGGCCGGTCGAGATGCCGCGAGAGGAGAGAGAGAGAGAGAGAGAGAGAGGGGGGACGCACCTTGGCCGTGCGCACCGTGACGCGCGTGTGGTTGTTGGGCACGACGCCGCTCAGGTCGAACGCGACGGGCTCGTTCTCGTACAGGACGGCGAACGCGCTCGGGTTGTCCGGGTCGGGCGACACGCTCGCGTTGGCCGTGAAGAGCGCCGTCACCTTGGGCGGCGAGCGGACGATGTCTGCGAGCGAGACAGGGCGGGTCAGGGTCTGTACGAGGTTCGAGCGAGGGAGGGAGACGGTCGACGCACAGTTCTGGTTGCTCGGCGAGGGGTGGCGGTACGTCAACGTCTCGCGCAAGACGGCGTCAAGCCGAGTAAGCTGCAGGCCGGACCAAGAGTCACTTCGAGATCGAGCCGAGAGGACGAGGGAAAGAGAGCGAGGGACGCACCTTGATCGGCTTCTCGCCTCCCCAGCCAATCTGGACAAACACGCGCACGGCGTCGCCCGGCCCGAACGCGAGCGCCTCGCGCGTCGCCTTGATCCACACCTCGCCCGCCGTGCCGTCCTGACGGCGGATCGCGAGGCGCGCCTCGCGCGTCTCGCCGAGCGTCAGCTCGCCCGAGCCGGGTGGAGCGGCCCAGGGGAGCTTGGGCGGGAGCGGCGAGGGGAGGACGGGCTGGTAGGCTGGCCAGGTCGGGAGGATGTCGGCCTTGTTGAGGAGGATGGCGGCAGAGGCGATGACGATGGTCGACTTGGGCGCGCCTTTGAGGAGGCCCCTGCGCACGCCGGTCGGGGATCAGTCAGTGAGGGCTCGACGGGCGCATCGAGAGTGAGAGAGAGACGAGACGCACTGCTTGCCCTTGATGCAGAGCGACGCGACGATCTGGTACGCGACGCCGTGATAATGCGAGTCGAGCTCGACGGTCGGCGGCAGGCCCTCGGGGAGCGGGATCGAGAACGGGTAGTTGCCGTCCGGGATGTAGTCGAACCCGTCGTCGTCGTCGTCGTCTTGGCGAGGCGCCTTGTGCGCCTTGGACGACGAGAACAGGCCCTTGAGGCCCTTCTTGCGCGGGCTGTCGACGACGGCGAGAGCGGGCCGAGGCACGTCGGCGCCCTCGCTGACGCCGGCCTCCCACAGCTTGTTGGGGCCGACGCCGATCAGCTCGACGTAGCGGTTGTCCTTGCGGGTCGGGTCGGTCGCCTTGGGTTTGGTCGTCGGGTCGGCTGCGGTCGCGCGAGGAAGTTTGTGAGGTCCTTGGGTGTCGTGCGCGCGTCGAGAGGAGGCGAGAGGAACGCACTGTTGGGCGGCGGCGGCACCACCTCGATCTTCTCCAGCTCGACCGAGAGGAACTTGCAGCGGATGAGGCCCTTGAGCGGGGCGCGCACCTCGACCGTGCCCGAGAGGTGAGCTTGCCGGCGGAGGACGTGTGGGAGCGGGTAGAGAGGGTCGGGCGTCGGGACGGCATCGGTGGACGGGTCGGACGCCGGGATGCCCGGGTAGCCCTGGAGGAAGTCGCGGTGAGGCGGTGGCCGCAAGGTGCTGTAGAGGGCGAGAAAGTGAGCGACGGCGCGGTGACGAGAGACGAGGCGGGAGGGGGACGCACATGCGCGGTTGCTGGTTCGACATTGTGCGGCAGTCGCTCGAGCACGAGAAGCAAGCAAGCAAGCGACACAGCGGGAGCAAGAAGCGAAGCGACGACACCGAGCCTGACGAGCCGGAGTCTCCTGTCCGCGTACGCAGAGGTGCGTGCGGGCGCGAACGCTCGAGCCACGCCGGCGAGCTTGCCGAGGCACGTGACTGAAGCGCGAGCCCGCCCTGAGTTCGCGGCGGACGAGGGGAGCGAGGAAGTCGGACGGAGCTGATGAGGAGGAGGAGGGGGGCGAGTCTGGTCCACACCGGCATGGGGCGAGCGGGGAGCGCTTCGAGCAGACTCACGCGCCGGAATGACACGCTGTGCATGCCTCACCCGAGCCACAGGAGCGAGAGGCGGACGCTGGAGAGCGAGAGGAGCCGCGTCTCCGTCGCGCCTCTTTCTTGCCCTCCACACCGCTCGATGCCCGCCATGGTCACGCCCAAGCGCGAGCGCAGCTTGTCCCTCGCAGACGACAACCCTCCACGCACCGCCTCGCGTGCCCTGCGCGACGCCATCCAGCTCGTCTCGACCTCGTCCCCGCTCGACATCTCGCCCGCCCTCGACGCCCAGCTCCTCGTCCTCCTCAGCGACGCCGTCACCCTCACCACCGCCCTCGAGGACCGCGAGCTCGAACACGACCGCAAGCGCGTCAAGCTCGAGCACGCCTCGGTCGAGCCCGCCGCCGCCCTCGCTCGTGCCGCCGACGCTCCACCTCGAGCTGGTCCGCCCGTCGCCAAGGCGCCCATGCCGAGCTTCTACGGGCTCGATACCGTCCAGGGCGCGCTGAGCGACGCAGAGTACGCCGTCCTCCACGACGTCGAGGCCGGCCTTCCTCTCCTCGACACGCTCGTGCGTCCCTCCTCTTCTTCCCGCCCAAACGCCCGCACCCCCTGACCCAAGTCCCCCCACAGGGCATCCTGCTTCGTCCCGTCAAGAGCCACGACGACGGCAAGGTCAACCTGCTCGAGTGGGAGGCGCTCTTCCCCGTCAAGGCGCCCGAGTCCAACTGGCGCGGCGCCTTCTTCCAGCCACGCGTCATCTTCTCCGACAGTGCGTCCTCAGCGGTCTCTCGCCCACCTCAGTACACGACCCTGACGAGCCCCTCCCCTCAGACTACCCCTCCCAGCCGCCCAAGGTCAAGCTCGCGCCCAGCTTCTTCCACCCGAACGTCTGGCCGTCTGGCACCGTCGCGCCCAGCTGGCCCGAACGCCAAGCCGTCGCCGACACATGGTCCGCAGAGCTCCTCGCCGTCTATGGCGCGCTCGGCCTCAAGGGCCGGATCGCGTCGCGCAATACGCCCCACGACGTGTTGGTCAAGGTGCCGGAGCATCTGCGCCTGCCTCTCGTGCGCCCTCGCTCCCTCTTTCTCGTCCCCAGTGCACACGTACAAGGTCCTGACGTGCCCTCGCGTCGCGACAGTACCTCGAAGCGTGCCGAGCCGTCCTCACGAGCGAGCGGTTGGACGAACCTGCGTCGCTCGAGGCGTGGAGCACGATCAAGTGCGTCCCTCTCGCCTTTTCTCCTGTCATGCACGAGCCTGACTTCTCCTCCTCTCGCGCGCACAGGAAAGAGCCAGCAAAGTACCGGTCCGTCTCGCGCTCCTTCCTCCCCCTCTCCTGCGCGCCACTGACCCTCCCTCCTCCCTCCCACCCGCCACGGACGGATGGTCGCCGTCCTCGCCGCGACGCTCCAGCCCACCTCGACCGACCTCGCCCACCTTGCCGACGCCGCCGCACGCGCCGAGTGGCGCACCGAGAACGGCCTCGACCTCCCGCTCGACCGGTGACGTGTCCATTGCAACGGGCCGCCGCGCTTTCTCTCTCTCTCGTCGTGCTTCTCTCGAGAGAAGAAGAGAGACTGAGAGAGATGCAGAGAGTGGCTGTGCAGCGAGGCGAGGCGAGACGAGGGGCATCTATCGCGAGCGGTACAGACACAGAGAGGCGGGTGCAAGGGGTTCGTGCGCCTGATTCGGGGGGAAAGCTATGCACAGGTTGCGAGAGAACGACGATGAGACCCTCCTTCCCTCCTCCTCCTCCTCTCCAGCAGCCGACGCCGCTAAGCCTCCGACGCGCGCTCGACCTCGACAAAGTCGTCGTCGCCGCCGCCGCCAAGGACAGGCGACTCTGGCGCCGGGCGCTCGAGCAGCACCGGCTCGGCATCGTCCAGCTCGGCCATGTCGACGTCAAAGTCGTCCTGCTCCGAGTCCTGGGTCGGGTCGGCCGAGGCCGAGGGCGGCGCCGCCGCCGCCGCACGACCAGGGAGCGGGACGGCCGCCGCCGCCGCTCGCGAGGGCGAGAACGGGTTGGGCACGTCGTCATCGTCGTCGTCGTCGCCCGGGTCCGACATGAGCGAGTCCTCGCCGGCCGACGAGCTCACGGCGGGCTCGAGGGCCGGGCGCGCCGGCTGCGCATGCGCCTGCGCCGCCGCCGTGGTCGAGGTCGAGGTCGAGCCGTCGTCGGCGTCGTCGCCCCACCCGCGAGGGACGGGCGCGTAAAAATCGGCGACAGGGTACCGCACGTCGCGGTCGGGCGACTCGCCGAGGACCGAGATGATGTCGCGGACAGGGTGGCGGGACGAGATGTCGGCGTACAGGGTCGCTGCGGGCACGAAAGCGGCGGCGTCAGAGCACGGTCCTCCTCGACGACGAGGGAACGAGAAAGAGAGCGAGAGAGACACGCACAGACGCGACAGGCCTCGCCGATGACGCGCGAGACGGCGATGCGGACGCTGACGACCTGATCGCGCGCGAGGTTGCCGAGCGTCGGCAGGAGGTGCTCCTCGAACAGGTCGGCGCCAATCTCGGCGCGCACGCACGCGAGCGCGGCGGCGACGTACGTGCTGCGGTTGCGGTAGCTCGAGTCGCTGCTGAAGACAAACAGGAACGCGAGGAGCTTGTTGCGCGCGACCGAGTTGCAGAGGCTCGCCTCGAGGATGGGCGGGATCTGCGACGACGACGAGGCGGGCGACGTCAGGATGCGCGACAGGCGAGAGAGAAAGAGAGAGGGAGAGAGAGACTGGGACGCACGACGAGGACGGCTTGCTCGCGCACTGCGGCGACCGAGTCCTTGAACGCCTTGACGAGGACGCCGAGGACGGCGTCGGCGCCGTCGTCCTGCACGAGGCCCGGCCCGACGTCGGCGAGCTGCTCGGCAATGTGCTCGCGCTGCCGCCACAGGCGGACCTCGCCCCACGCGTCGGCGAGGACGGCGAGGGCCCGGGCGGCGCCGCCCGGCGTGAACGACGCGAGGAGTGACGGCCAGTGCTCGAGGACGGCGGCCTGGATGTTGTCGCCGTCGTGCAGAAACCACGACAGGGGCTCGAGGAGGGATTCGTCGCTCTGCTCGGGCCCGATGATCTTGGCCACCTCGTGCAGCGACGACGCGAGGCTCTGGCGGACCTTCTCGGTGCGGTCCTGACACAGCGACCGGTGCGCGTCGCGCAAGAGGTGCCAGCTCGACCTGCCGAGCGTGAGGACGACGGCCGGGAAGTTAAACGCCGTGAGGATCTCGCGGTCCGGGTCGCGAGAGGCGGGCCACGGGCGAACGGGCGACCAGCTCTGCGACGCCTCGAGGAGCGCCGTCGGCGGCGAGTCGAGCGAGCCGTCGAGGGGCGAGAACTGGATCGGCGGCGACATGGGGGCCCGGGTCGGGTCGGACGGGACCATGGGCGAGCTGGTCGACGCCGTCTTGCCGAGGAAGAAGTCGAGGAGCTCGTCCGGGACGCCGGCCGGGTCCTCGTGGAACAGGTACACGAGCTCGCCGCACACCTCGAGCGCGCCGCTGCGCACGTTGCGGTTCTCGTCGACGCCAAAGAGGGCGATGGCCTTGACCGTCTGGGCGCGCAGGGCCGAGCGCGACAGGTTCTTGCAGAGCGACGGCAGGGCGAGGACGGCGGCCCGGCGGACGTGCCACATCTCGTCGCGGCAGTAGGCGTCAAAGAGCGGCAGCTGCAAAGAAAGAGGGGCAAGTCAGGACGGGGTATCGAGGAGGGAGAGATAGAGAGGTAGGGCGCACCGCCGTCTGCTCGACCGCGTCGCTCGGGAGGCACTTGGACAGGGCACCGAGCGCCTGGACGGCCTCCTTGCGGACGTAGAACATGCCGTCGTCCTTCATGCGGGCGACCTCGGGCAGGAACTGGTCGACAAAGACGTCGGCGTCGAGGCACTCGGCCGTCGCGATGGCGCCGACGAGGCTCATGGCCACCATCTTGCCGATCGACGCCTCCTCGTCGGCGCCGCCGCCGAGGTCGGGCGAGAAGGACGAGTAGCCCATCGGGTCCATCGGCGGCGACGGCGGGTGGAACGACAGATCGCCCGGCTCGGGGTCCTTGTCGGCAGGGACGATGCCCTCGGTGCCGGTGCTGCGGTCGCTCGCGCCACCTTGCTCGCCCGCCCGGGGCAGCGGCGCGCCCCAGCCGGCGTAGTCGAGGGCACGCACGCCGGCGTCGCCGGCGTCGTCGGTCGAGGACGAAGCGGCGTCGGCGCTCGAGCCGAACGAGCCGAGCCCGGCGAGCCACTCCTCGTCGAGCGGCTCCTCCTCCGGGCTCAGGAACAGCGTCGGATTGACCGTCTCGTCGTCTTTGTCGGCGCTGCCCTCGCGCACGGCCGAGGCGGCGTTCTTGGCGGGCGTCGACGTGGTCGCACCTGCGTCGCCGTCGGCGCTGCCCTCGTCCTGCGCCGCCGCCGAGGCGTCGCTGCCGTCCTGGTCGAGGCGAGCGAGGCCGAGGACGATGCCGCACACGATCTCGTCCTCGAGGATCTGGCGCGCCTCGACGCCGAGCTCGTACCGCGCGTGGTGGTGCGCCTCGCCGTCGGCGTCGTCGCCCGACTGCTGCTGCGGCGGCGGCGGCGGGAGCGGCTCGGTCGTGCCGAACGTGAACTCTGCGACCGACGGCTCGTTGTCGGGCGGAGGAGGCGGCAGAGGGCGGTCCTTGAGGCGGCACAGGAAGCGGACGAGGGCGGCCTCGGCGGCCTTGGCGACGAACGCCGACTGGTCGGTGAGGAGGGCGCCGAGGAGGGACGTAAAGGCGGTGGCCGAGATGGACGGGGCTGAGGGAAGGCCGCCGCCGACGGTCTGGAGGCTGGCGCAGGAGGGAAGAGGCGTGTAGGAGCCGGATGGGGACGGCTTCGAGGTCGTTGGCGGGGTCGACGCCTCGGACAGCGGGCGGTGCGACGAGGTCGGCGACGTGTCGACGGACGAGAGGGCCGTCTCGTGCGTCGAAGGCGGTTGCTGCTGCTCGGCCGGGTCCTGCGGCGAGATGGCGGCGGCCGATGCGGCGTCCCCATCGCTCGACGACGCGTCGAGCTCGGCGAGCGGGCAGTTCTGCGGTCCATGTCCCACGTCCGCATCAGTTCCTGCACGCTGAACGCACACAAAGAGAGACGGCGAGTGAAGAGTCGGCGACGCACGGCGAAAAAGTGCCACATGACGTGGTCGAGTTTGGGCGCGAACACCTCCTTGACGGGCTCCTCGTCGATGAGGCCGGCGAGGAGCGGCAGGACGTACTCGACGGCCTCGCACACGTCGACGCCGGGCAGCCACTCTGGGAGGAAGTGCGCGACGCGAGCGCTGCGGGTGGACGGGGAGCGAGAGTCAGGGTCTTGATCTCAACGTACGGGCGGAACGAGAGAGAGAAGGGAGGAAGGCAAGGCGACGCACCGGTCCTCGAGAGCGTCGCTCTTGGCGCAGACAAAGATGCGCTCGAGCGCCGAGAGCTTGTCCTCGTCGATGACGGCGAGCGCGTCGGCGTCGCTGCTGCTGTCGCCCTCGTCGCCCTCGGCGTCGAGCATGCCCTCGTCCTCGTCATCCGCCGAGGCCGACGCAGGCGCATCGTCGGCGCCCTCGCCCGCAACCGGCCCAGCATCGACCTCCATCGCGCGCCCGTCGCCCTCGCCCTGCTCCGCCTCGCCCACCCGCTCCTCGCCCTCGCTCGAGCTCGACGCGCCCGTGATGCCGAGCTGCTCGAGCAGGCTGAGGCGCTCGCGCTCCCTCCTCGCGCCGCTCGAGCGCCTCCTCGGCTTGGCGCTCGGGCCCCCCACCTCGCCCGAGCCGTCCCAGTCGTCGTACCCGGCCCACGGGTCGTCCTCCTCGTCGCTGCTCTCGCTCCCGCTCCCGCCCTGCTCCTGCTCCTGCTCGTGCGCGGTGGCGCGATCGGCGCCCCTCGCGGACGACGAGGCCGAGGACGAGGACGAGGCGTGCGAGCCCTCCCAGCTCGGCGCGCGCTCGAGGACGGGCACCGACCGGCGGTCGCTCAGCGCGCGCGAGAGCGGCGGCGGCGGCGCGCCGTGGTCTGCTGCACTCGCGGCAGCGCCGGCGTCGGTCGACGAGGCCAAGGTCGACGGCGCAGAGGAAGAAGTGGTCGAGCTCGAGGCGCCGGTGGGCGAGAGGACGGCGGCACGCGCCGGGAGCGAAAAGTACGAGCTCGTCGGCTCGGTCGGCGAGGCCGTCGGCGTCGTCTCGAGGTGCTCGGGCGTGCCGACGGGCGAGGCGTCGCCGGCGGGCCCGGTCGCGGTGCGGTGCGACAGGGGCGGGACGGGCGGCGCGAGGGCGTCCGGCGAGGTCGATGTCGAGATCGGGATCGAGGTCGAGGTCGAGAACGAGGACGGGGGCGCGGGGGAGAGGTCGAGCGCGGGTGGAGCGCCGGCGGACGAGCTCGTCGACGACGACGACGACGACGCCTCGAGGCCGGCGAGCATGCCGTCCGGCAGCCCGCCGAGGCCCAAGCCCGGGCTGTGCACCGGTGCCTCGCCTCGCGCGTGCGGCGCGCGCTCGTCCTCGTCCATGCGCGGCTGGTGCTCCTCGGCCCGTTCCCCCTCCCGCTCTGCCTCGCTCTCGCCGTCCGTCTCACCGCCCGCCGCCGCTCCCGCGACGCACACGGCGCTCGCGAGCGCAAGCGGGCTGTGCACCCTCGGGCGGTGGTCGCCGTACCCGTCTCCCGCACCGAGGCGCGCCTTGCCCTTGCCCTTGCCCTTGCCTTTGCCCATGGGCAGGGCCACAGCCGGCTGCTCGTCCTCGGCGGCGCCACCTGCGCCCGACGACGACGACGACGACGACGACGGCGCAGCGCCCACCGCCGCCGCCGCCGCCGCCGCGCTCTCGGGCTCAGGGCTCCTGCTCCGGCTCCTGCTCCTGCTGCGACTCCTGCTGCGACTCCTGCTGCGACTCCTTGCGCGCACAGCAGCCCGCAGCGAGCTCGTGCGCGCTGAGCGGCAGCGGCGGCGAGGGTGCGCCGGGGAGGGGCAACGGGTGCGGGGGCGGGAGGGGCGGGAGGCCGACGGGCGCGTGCCGCGGCGAGTGCGGGCGGTCGTCGAGCGCGAGGGCGAGCTTGGCCGTGCGCGAGGGAGAGCTCGGCGCCTGGGTCGGGGCGGCCGGCGCGGCGTCGTGAGGGTGAGGGTGAGGGAGCGGGAGCGCTTCTGCGGCGCGGGTGCGCGGCGATGCTGGGCTCGCCGGACGTGCCGAGGGGAGCGTCGACGCCGACGACGAGGGCGACTCGCCGGGAGGAGGGGGACCGGGTGGCCCTGGCGGCGGCGGCGGCAGCATCGCCCCGCCATGCGGGTACGCCGCGTCCGCCGGGCCCATCATGGCGCCCGCGGCGCCCATGCCATCGAGCACGAGCGCCGGCGGCGGGCTGAGGCGCATGAGCGCGTCGTCGTCGCCTGCGCCTGCCCCTCCTGCCGAGCCGGCGCTCGACGGCCGCTCGCACAGGTACAGGCTCGCGGGCGACGCCGTGCCGCCCAGGCCCGGGGAGCACATGCCCCCTGCAGCAGCAGCGGCAGCGGCGGTGGCGGAGCGCGACAGCGAGCCGCTGCGGGGCCTGGCCCCGCCACCACCGCTACCGCCGGCGGGGCTCGGTGCGGCGGGCGACGAGGGTGAGAGCGAGCCCGACGCCGCAAGTGCGGGTGCGGCGAGGTCGAACGGCCGCAGCGGCGGGCTCGCGAGGCCGAGACCTGCGCCCGGGCTCCCACTCGGGCTCGAGCTCGCGGCGCCGTGGCTCGCTCGCCGCCTCGCCGCCGCCGCCGCCGCAGGGTGCGGAATGTCGACGGGCGCGAGCGGCGGCGAGGCGCACCTGGGCTCGAGCCCATGCCCGGGCGCGTCGTCGCCAACGTCGGCCATGCGCATCGCGTCGTCGATGAAGCCGGCGCACTGGTCGGCGTCGAGCCGGAGCGCGAGCGGCGACGGCCCGCGCGCGTGCCCGTACGCGTGGGTCGGGCTCGTCGAGGGCCCGAACGGCGGCGAGCGCGCGCCTGACGGCGAGCTGGGAGAGCCTGCCGACGAGGCGGACGAGCGCCTCGCAGCGCGCGCCGCGAACCCGAGCCCGATGCCGCTCGCGCCCGCGCCGGGCGACGACGGCGAGCCAAACACGGGCGAGCTCGTGCCCTCGCTCGCGCCGGGGATGGGGGTCCCTCCTCCCGCTCCCGGCGACGCATGCGCCGCGTGGGCGCCGCCGCCGTCGGCGAGCGCGACGGGCGACTGGGCGTGGCTCCTCACGCCGTGGAGGAGCGCAGCGTGCGACGCCGCGTGGTCGTGGTGCCCGTGAACGTGCGACGAGCTCGCGCTCGCACCCGCACCGGCGCTCATGCCCGCGCCCACGCCCGAGCCCGAGCCAGACGCCGAGCGCGAGTGGGCGCGCCCGTGGCCGTGCGCGTGGCCGTGTGCGTGCGAGTGGACGTGGCCGTGCGCAGGGCTCGACGCCGTGCGCGAGCGCGGGGCGCGCGTCGGGCTCGAGGAGGCGGGGCCCGAGGCCGACGTGGGCGAGGGGGCGCGCCCGAGGTGCGACGACGGCGCGTTGTGCGCCCCGCCGGCGATGACGAGGCGCGTGAGGGCGCTCTGCGGGCTCGCTCCCGCCCCCGCTCCCGCTCCCGCTGCTCCTGGGCCCGAGCCAGCCTCGGTCGAGCCGCGGCGCTGCATCGGGAGGGCCGACGTGCTGCTCGAGGGCGAGGGCGCCGCGGTGGGCGCGACCAAAGGGAATGCGCCCGGCGGGCTGACGCTCTGCGTGCGGCGGTGGCGCCCGAGGCGGCCGGGCGAGACGGGCGAGGGGGCGACGAGTGGGACCGAGAGTGAGGTCGAGCGGGCGTGGGTGGGCGACGAGGGGCGGGCCGCATGCGGCGAGGAGGAGGAGGAGGCGGCGCCGAAGGACCAGCCCGAGGGGGGGCCGGGGAGCGCGAGCGAGGGGAGGAGGGTGGTCGCGCCTGGTTGAGGGGATGGCGAGCCGCTCGAGATCGAGGTCGAGCGCGGGCGGCCGCGCACGGGCGCGGGTGCGGCCGACGAGGACGACGGGTGCGGGTCGGCCATGAGGGGGAGCTCGGGGTTGTGGGCCGTGCCACGCGCAGTGAGGCTGTTTGAGGGGCAAGGCGAGTCAATGGGGTTGGTCTCGAAAGGGGCGCGGTGTTGGTTGGCGGCGAGAGATGAGGGAGGAGGGCGGGCGAGCTCGACGATGACGATGGGTCACAAGGGGGGGTCCTGCACTGGCTCGATGCGGTCGTCGAGGGTGTGCAGGGCAGGTGCACTCGACTGGCAGTGGCTCTGGTGCGGTGACGGTGTGTGCGAGGCTTTGGCCGAGGGACGGACGAGGTTGGCGAGGGAGCGGACGGCCACTCGGGCGAGGCGGCGAGTGGCGGGTTGCCGGGTGCGGTGCACAGTGTAGGAGAGGATGGGAGAGCTCACTCGTGGTCCCTGTGCGTGGTTGCGCTAGTGGATGTTGACGACCAAGGGGCGATGAGGAAACGGCTTGTGGTCGAGCGGGGCGGGGTCGAGCAAGGCGCGCTCGAGCTGGTGCGCTGTGGTAGGTGTGCTCTGGTGCACGTCTGGCTGTCGGGGTAGCCCTGGCTCGCACTGCGAGAGCTTGTGGTGGCGACGAACCAAGACCCCACACCTCGCTCTCGTCCCTCTTGCTCTCCCACCTCGTCGCTCGACCCACTACCCAGCTCGACAGAGCCACACGGCGCACCATGGCCGTCCCCACACCCGCACCAGCCGCCCCGACCGTGCTCCAGCTCCCGCGCATCGCCGTCCAGCCCTCGTTGCCGCTCGTCCTTGCCGACCTGTCGCGCCCCGGCTCGCACATCGCCGCAGAGGACGCGTGGGTGTCGGCCTACAACGGCACCCGCTCAGCCCATGCCCGCATCCGCGTGTCCGAGGGCGACCAACCCGGTTCATCGTGCGACCTCGACCCGCTCGACGACCTCGTCCCGGCGGCCGACCTCGCGCTCGACCCGACTCACTGCGCCGTCCGACTCGCCGTACCTTCACTCTCCATCCCTCCCACCACCGCCCTCCTCCCCTCGCCCCGCCTCAACCCCGTCCGCCCCTCGTCCTCCTCGTCAACGACCAACCCGACCTCGCTCGACGAGCCCGCACCCGCCTTGCTCGCCTCGTCCGGCCCCACCTCGCTCGACCTCGTCGTCCTCTCGCCCCAGGCCGACAAGCTCCTCCTCGGTGGGCCCGACGGCCACGCCCGCGTCGTCCACCTCGTCGGGCACGACCTCGCGCAAAAGGGCCCAGAGGTGCGCCTCAGGGGCCACGTCGGCGACGTGTGCGCTGCTGGATGGGCTGCGAGTGGAGAGGTCGTCGTCACGGCCGCGAGCGACATGACGGTGCGCGTCTTTAGTGCGACGGTGCGTCTCCCTCTCTCTCTCTCGCCTCGTGCGTGCTCGAGCCGCGAACGTCGTCCTGACGTTGCTCTCCCTCCCTCTCTCCTCCCCCCTCTCGCTCGTCACTCTCTTCCCCGGCCCGCCCTCAACCTCGCACCCCGCAGGACGGCTCCTCCCCACGCGTCGCCGCCGTCCCCCCTCAGCGCCCCACCGCGCTCATCCCGCTCCTCTCGCCCCTCTCCTCCTCCACCACCGCCACCTCTCCTCCCGCACCCGCACCCGCACCCGTACCCCACCCCCAGCCCCACAAAGGCCGCCACGTCCTCGTCTCGTCCCTCTCGGGCACCCTCACCCTCCTCGACCTCTCGCCCGCCCCGCCCGCCCCGCTCCACACCTGGCGCCTCGCCGCACCCGTCACGGCCTGCGTCGTCCTCCTCGACGTCGCAGAGCCCGAGGACCACCCGGACGACGTCGGGAGGCGCAGGTACGCGCTCGCGGCGGGCGCGGACGGGTGCGTGCGCGTGGTCGGGCTCGCGCTCGAGGAGGCGGCGGCGGCGGCGGGAGGCGAGGCGGGCACGGTGATACTACGCGCTCCAGCGTCAGGGTCGGGCGCGCGGGGGCACGTGACGGCGCTCGACGCGCTGCCGTGCCCCGGCGGCGAGGGCGGGTGGACCGTCGCGCTCGGGACGAGGGACGGCACGGTCGCCGTGTACGACGTGCCGCGCTCGGCGGTACTCGCCGCCGCTGCTCCTGCTCCTGCTGCCAGTGCGGGTCCGGCGGCGCAGGACGGCGACGAGCACGAGCTCGCCCCGCGCGTCGCCTGGCGCCGCACGCCGCCCGAGCCCGAGCCCGGCGCAGCCTCGTCGGGCGCCGCGATCCATGCGCTCGTGCTCTCGCGCCGGGAGCGCACGTGCGGTGCGCTCGAGGAGCGCGAGGGCGAGGGCGGCGAGCGCGCGAGGAGCGTGCTCGTTGCGCCGGGGGACGGGCTCGCGTACCGGGCGGGGCTCGGCGGCGATGGCGATGCGCGATCTGGCGAGGGGGAGCAGGAGCAGGAGCAGGAGCAGGGGCAGCGTCGCGCCGTCGTGCACGTCGAGGAAGAGCTCGTCGGGCTCGACTGCGAGCCGGCGCGCTCGATCGTCGAGGACGGGCACGGCCGCGTGTGGGTCGTCGGTGGGGGCGCCGTCAGGGTGTATGAGCGCCGGGCGCTGTGAGGAAGGTGCAAGGCCGGTTTGCGGCTGCCGCGAGTCGGAGAAGGAGAGGGAGAGGGGGAGGGCCGGCGCTCGGACCTCGAGGGAGGGAGGGACGACGGGCTTTGGCTTGGGCTCTCGCTTCTGGTCGGTCGTCTCTCTCGCTGTGTCTCCTGCGCTCGCTCGAGTCGACCTCTCGACCTTGAGCCGCCATGTTGTTGTCGATGGCGACGTGCTTTTGCTTGGGCTCGCGCTTCTCGTTCCCCCCTTCTCGCTTCTCGTCTCTCTCGCTGTGTCTCCTGCGCTCCCTCGACACGGTATCTCGTCGACCGTCCGGCGTTCCCGCTCGTCCTCCTCGAGCGCACGGACGTCGGGCGTCGCCGGTCGCTTCTCGTCCGCGCCGGCTACAGACCGGACACATCCTCGGACGTCGTCTGAAGCCGGTGCAGCGCCGTTGCTCACCGCGCGCTTCGACCTCGCTCTTCCTTCCCTTCTCGCTCTTCCCCTCGTCCTCCCCGTCTTCGTCCCGACCGTTACCTCCTCCTCACGCCCGTCATGGCCGACGCCTTTCAGACCCAGATCGAGCGCACCGCCTCGACCTGGCGCGCCGCCGCCCGCGCCGCGAACGCTCGCGCGGGGCTCTCCGCAGAGCAGCACATCGAGCAAAGGTCCAAGGAGTGGCTCGACGAGATGGAGCCCCTCGTCGCCCAATTTGACTCGTGGTCGTCGTACGAGCACCACGTCGCGCTCGGGATCATGAGCGAGATTGAGCGGCGCGCCGAGGCGAGGCAGGCGGGCGAGCCCGGCATCGACTTGGTGAGCAGCGAGGGCGTTCTTCTCTCGCTCGGACGGGCAGGCACTGACTCTCTGTGCGCCGCAGCCGTCGGAGGAAGACGTGCACAAAGAGCTGGACAAGCAGGAGAAGGTACGCACGCGCCCCCCTCTCTACCTTTCTTTCGTCCCTTCCTTCCTCCTCCCTCTCCCTCTTCTTCGCCCGGCGGGTCACTGACTCTCGTCCTCATCCCCCCCTGTTGCACGCCCTGCACCAGACCTACGACTACCTGCGCTGGCTCGGCCGCCAGATCATCGCCGCGTTCGCCGGCCCCCGCACGCGGGTCGGCTCGGAGGCGCGTAAACACACTGCGAGCGAGTGGTTCCAGCACGGCGTCCTCGCGCGCGTCGACCAGGCCGAGTTTGATGGTGAGCGCTCTGAGGCGCGCACGGGCGCCATCGCGGAGCTCGACGCGGTGTGGGCCGCGCTCGGGGGCAAGAAGCCCAGGAACCCGGCGACGGGGAGGCGGGTCGCGGCGAGCGGGTCCGAGCAGCTGGTGCGCCCCTCTTTCTCTCTTGCCCTTCTCTTCTCGTCCTCGGACGTGAACTGACGTCCCTCGTCGCACGCAGCCGAGCTTGTCCGACACGGAGCACTTCTCGGCGCTCGACGCCTTCCTGAAGCGCGTCGACGACCAGCGTCGATGGGCCGAGGATGTGAGTCCTCCTCTTCTGGGGTTTCTTCTTCATCAAGGTACTGATTAGCTGCTCCCTGCCACAGCGTGCTATTCGTTGGGCGCTCCTGGCCGCGTCTGAGGCCGCTCGAGGGACCGCCAGTGTCGAAGCCGAGAGCGTGAGTCCTCCCTTTGCCTTTTCAGCTCTTCTCCCCCTTCTCCCGCGGTTCGACGTCGACTGACTTGCTTCCTGTCCATGCGATACAGGAAGCGGTCAAGGCGGCGATCGGCAAGCTCGCCTGGTGGGCGATCAAGGCCGAGCCGGCACGAGTCGTCGTGCGTCCCCCTCTGTCTCTCTCTGACCCGGCCTCTTCTTGGCCGCACGCTCACGCTAGTCCTCGCTTGCACCCACAGGACACGGTCCGCCACGCGCTCGACAAGCTCAAGACGCAAGAGTCGGCGCCGACGGCGGACGAAAAGCGTGTACGTCCTCTCTTTCGTCGCCTCGGCATCCTCTCTCTCTCGCCCACCTCAGTCGACTCACACTTTCCCTCCTGGTCCTGCCACAGCTCGCCATCATCGCCGCCTTGGGCCAGCTGCGCCTCTCGGCCGAACGCTCGCACGCGCGCGGTGTCCCGGCGCGCAGCCTCGCACACAGGTCGATGGGCCGGGTCGAGCTCAGCGCGAGGCAGAGCGCCGTGTACGGCCGTGCTAGAGCTGGCTGGTGAGCAGCGTCGGGTAACGTCGTTTCCCTTCCATCGTCCTTTTTTCCTTCGCCCCAGCAACCTCCCCTCTCGCTCTCGCTCTTCCTGTCGCGCCCCCTATCGCCTGCCGCGCTTTGTCGCTCGTCACCCAGTCTCGTTCTTGTCTCGTTCAGCTGTAGCGACGTCTGCAACGACGAGCGCCCAAAACTTTCGCCCTCGTCCGTCTCTAGCGACCTTCTCAAATCGCCTCGTCGGCTCTGTCCCTCTTTCAACAAGCCCTCGAGAGCTGCCGAATCTTTGCAAGCCCGCACTGAGCCTTGATGCTTGCAGACGTCTAGCCGACACGGAGCAAAAACTCTTAGAGAGCCGTCGAGGCGCCGGCTTGCTCCCTACGTAGCTGACGTGGCAGCGCTTCGGCGTCGGATTCGGCTCTCCCACGGCGGCACTTTCAATTCTGCCTCGCTCAGACTGCAGATGCTCACTCTTCTCTGCGCCGAGGAGCTTTTTTGCGCGCGTGCTTGGCGGTCGCCGCGAGCCACCGGCCGCTCCATCGGCGTCGGCGCAGGAAACGTGCTCGCAGAAGCACTGAGAACTCTTCGCTCTCTTCGTCCTGCTCTCATCTCTGTCGCTTTACCTTGCCTGTGTCAGTTCGGCTGCGAGGGGACCTCACTCGTCGTCCCACTAGTTCTGATCGAGTCTCGCGAGGTTTCGATCGACTTTCTCAAGTTGCCTCGCCCCGTCTCTCTCTCGCTGTCGCAGTCCTGCAAACGTCTCGGCTTGAACGCAACCCGCAGGAGACCGGAGCTACACTCAGTAGCGCGATTCATGCGAGAGAGCGACAGCTGTACACGAGGAGAAGCTTTGCTCGCACACCCCTGCCCTCTCGACGACGAAGGAGAAGGCGACGAGGACGAGTCGCATTGCTCGACAAGCTACAGGCTCGACGCAGAGAGCAGAAAGAGATAAGCTGTGCGACTCGATTGAGCCGCACGGGTAACGCCGACGCCGACGCCGACAAGCCTCCCTCGCCCTCGCTCGGTCCTCCTCTCCGAGCACGCTCACCCGACGAGCGCCGTCCTGCACAGCCCGACGACCCTCGCGCCGTGCGGCCCTCCCAAGCCGATCAAAGCTCCCTCCTGTTCGAGAATGGTGCGGCCGAGCGTGTCCTTGTCGCGGTCGGGAGCGGCGTGGCCGGTGAGGAGGTTGACGAGGAGCTGGGCGCCCTGGGCGTGCGAGGCGATGCCGACGAGGAGAGGTGGCTCGTCTCTGTGTGCTCACGAAGCGTCAGGAGGTCTGTCGGGGAGAGGGACGAGGAGGAGGGGAAGGGACAGAGGGAGCGAGGGACGCACCCGCTCGAGGTCGTGATGGCGGAGACGAACTTGCCGATGCCGGCCGGCCCTGCGCGACTGCTGCGCATGCACTTGTCGACGACCTTGGCGCCGAACGGGTGGAGGGCGAGCTGCGGCGCGCACTGCATCGTCTTGACGCAGAACGGCAGCGTGTTGCGGTCGAGCAGGCTGCGAGCGGGCGAGGAGGGGGACGGTCAGGGGCGTTCTCGATCGACGAGTCGAGAGAGGGGCGAGACGCACTGCGTGACGGTGCTGTTAGGGGAACGAGGTCAGTCAGGACCGAGAAGGCGAGAGGGAAGAGAGGGGTGGACGCACAAAGACCCGCTCGGCGTCCTCGCGACCTCGTCTAGCCCGTCGAGGATCTCCCTCGCGACGACGCTCGACGCCGTCGGCGCCCAGTCCTCGAGCATGTGCTGCACGACGAGCGAGCCGCCGTCGTCCTCGACGATCGACGCCCACTGGCCGGTCCCGAGGTCGGCGAGGCGCTCGAAAAAGGCGGGCGAGTTGGGCGTCGTCAAGATGCGGTTGACCACGTGCACGCTCGACTTGGTCGTGAGGACGTTCGGGTGCGGAAGGAGCCTGTTGCGAGGAGAGAGCGAGGGTCACTTTGCCGGTCTGACGAGGGAAGAAGGGTCCGAGCGAGAGAGAGAGAGCGGGGACGCACTCGGCGATGACCTTGTCCTTGGTCGTCGAACCGCCGCAGTCGAGCAGCTTCTGCACGACGTGGCACCCGAACGAGTCGAGGCTGAGCTGAAGGAAGTGGCCGACGAGCGCGTCCTCGTACGCCTGGGCGAGGGCCGAGTCGCCCGTCTCGAGGCAGCGCGAGACGAGGAAGTTGCCTGTCGAGGGAGAGAAAGTGTCAATGACGAGCAACAGCGGCACTCGCCACGCTCTCGCGCCGGCGCAGACCCGACACGAGACCGAGAGAGGACCGACTCGACGCACCAAACTTGCTGACGCTGAGCTCGAGGACACGGCGCCCGACGGCGTCAAACAGCTCTTGGCGCTTCTCCTGGGACGTGCCCCGGACCCGCTGCTGCAGGAAGAGCGAGCACTGCTGGTCGTTGTGCGCGAGGATGCGGCGGACGAAGCCCTGCAGGACGTGCGCTCGTCCAGTTCTCGTCAGTCCTCGTCGACCGTGGAGCGCAAGGAGAGAGAGAGAGAGGAGGACGCACCTCGCGGTCGATGTCGGCGTCCGTGTCGAGCAGGTCGCGGTAGTTGGGCAGCGGTGCCTGGCGCAGCAGAGGCGGGCGAGGGTAGACCTGGGTGCCGAGCGAGATCGAGCGGTGGTGCAACGCGGTCTGCGACGACGCGGGCCCTGTCAGAGTGAGAGAAACAGACGGGGGGCAGAGAGAAGCAGAAGCTGGGCGCACCTGCTCGGCCTGGAAGTCGACGCCGACGCCCTCGCGCCCGGACCCTCCTCCGCTCCCGCTCGACAAGTCCGCCATGCTCGCGCTCCTCTCCCTCGACCCACCTCCTGCCCATCCACCCATGCTTGACGACGCTGAAGATGCGAGGCCGGGGTGGAACGGCGGCTGACGGGCGGGACCGAGGCCGACCGGCTGCGGCGCCGACGACGACGAGTGCGCCTCGAACGGCGAAAAGTGCAGTGGGCCGAACGAGGCGACGCGCTCGCGAGGCGCGTGACGACCGAGAGGCGCGCTCGACGACGAGGAGCTGAGGAGCGACGACGCGCGCGACAGGGTCGGGCTGCCGTGCGGGTGGACCTGAGGCGAGGCGGGAGGCGTGAACTCGTCGCCGTTGGGGCTGACGCGGTGGCCGTGCGGCTCGGCGCGATGACTGCCATCGGGGAAGGTGTGCGGGAACGGGGAAGGGAAAGACTGCATCGAGGGCGGCATCGGTGGGGCGAAACGTGGCACGAGAGAGTGGTGGCGAGGGAGGAAGGTCGTCGGCGGACCGCCTTGGGCTGCCACTTGGGGCGCTGTCGTCTCGAGGACGTGCAGTCGGTGCGAGAGGTCGACCACAAAGCTCTCGAGCTCGTCGACGCGCGAGGCGAGGGCCGTGACGACGTTGGCGAGGTCGAGCGGGATGACCTGTTTCAGGACGAGAGACCGACGGCAGAGGTCAGTCGAGCGCGCTCTGACGCGCAGGGTAGTGGGAGCTCGAGCGCACCTCGGCACCGTTGCGAGCGAGAGCGGCCTCCTCGACTCGACGACCCGGACGACCTGCGACGCTCGGTCCCTCCTCGGCGTAGAACCGCGGCCCGCCTGCCCCATCTTGCTCCCTCGCGCCGTCGTTCTCGCCACCGCCGCCGAAGCGGAGCGTGGGCCCACCGACACCGCTCGACGTGCCACCGCGACTCGCCGACCGTCCCTCGAGCTCCTCGTGCTGCTCGAGCCCGCGCCCTGACCACTCGTCGTGCGGTGCCACCATGAAGAACGGCGTGCGGCGCCCGCCGAGACTCGTGACCGGGTCGTCGGGACGACTCGAGGTGGACGTGGTGGGCGAGGCGGGCACGTCGAGGTGGACGAGCGAGGTTGCGCGCGAGGGCGGCACGAGGTGGCGGTTCGAGGGCGAGGGACCGCCGTTGATCGCTCTCGGCGGGGCGTGCTGGACGCCGTGCGAGTAGAGGAGGCTAGGCCGCACGGGCGCCTGGTGCGAGCTGGGCGAGAGCGAGGACGAGGGGGAAGGGGAGGAAGGAGGCGAGGCGACCGGGCCCGACACGGCTCGGCGGACGACGACCTGGGACGGCTCGAGCTCGACGAGCACTGGTGCCGCTGGACGAGGCGCGCGCGAGGTCGGCGTGGGCGTCGTCGAGGTGGAAGGGAGCGAGGTCGAGTCGGGAGGGGGAAAGGGTCCGGGCGACGGCATGGCGACGGCGCGCTCGCTGTAGAGGACAGGCGAGTAAGCTAAGGCGGCTCAGGTGTGAACCTTGGTGGCACCGAGAGGCGCTCGGTGGCTCGAGGCGGGAACGAGAGGGAAGAGGGAAGAGGAGAAAGTGGGAAAGGCGAGCGAGGACAACGACGCTCGCCCCGAGTTCTGCTCGAGCTGGACCTGCTGCACGCGCCGAGTATGCCTCTCGGGTCGAGGGTACCACGTCTTCTTTGCTGCAGCTGGGCACGAGGTCTACGACGCCGAGCCCGCCGACAGCTCTGAGCCCCCTCTTCTCTCACTCCCCGCTCGACCCTCCTCAGTTCGGCTGGCTCGCGAGCCCGCCGCTCATGAGCACGACCTTCTGCCGCCCCTTGCCCTTCTTCTTACCGCCGCCGTTGCCCGCCGCGCCGTCCGCCGCGCTCCCGCTGCTGCCGCTCACCGCGCCCCACGAGTCGTCGTCGGCCGTCAGGATCGTCTGCGCAGCGCGCGCTTGCGGCTTGGCGAGCGCAGCGCGCATGCGCGCCCGGCTGTCGGACGCCGAGGACGACGTCGGCAAGGAAGGGAAGTCGAGGCCCGAGGCCGGGCGACGGGCGGTGCCGCCGCTCGTCGACGCCGGGCGCGAGATCGAGCGCGGCGTGACGCTCGCGCTCGAGGCGCGAGAAGCAGGCGCCCCCGAGGAGGAGGCGCCCCCGAGGGAAGGGAAGGCGCCCGGGGAGGTGGCACCGCCGCCGCCGAGCGAGGGGAAGGCGCTCGGGCCGGCGAGGCTCGCCGTGGCGCCTGCGGCCGACGCCGACGACGACGACCAGGGCGTCGAGCCGCCGACGGCGCGACGCGCCGTCTGCTGACCGGCCTTGGCCAGGCCCGGGATCGACTTGGTGTTGGACGCGCTCATGAGGGCCGGGAACGGGTTCGAGCGAGGTGCGACGGGCGCCGGGCCCGACGAGGTCGCGGCGCGCTCGACGCGGTCCCAGGTCGTCGACGGGTTGTGGCCGGTGCGGTGCTGGGCCGAGAGGGCGCGGTGGGACGTCGCGTGGACGGCGGTCGGCTGGCCGTGGAGGGTCGGGGCGAGGGGCGCGAGCGAGGGGAAGTTGTTCTGCAAGCGGGCGGCGAGGTCAGTCTTGCTGTCGAACAATAGCCGCAGCACGAATAGAGAGAGGAGAGAGAGAGAGAGAGAGAGAGGACGCACCTCGCTGCGCAGGTCGCGCCAGGCGATCTGGACGGCCCGTTTCTTGTCCGGCTGGTCGAGCAAGTCGGCGAACCCGAGGATGACCGTCTCGGCGTCGTCGGTGCGCTGGTCGAGGACGTTGTACAACTGGTCGACAAAGTCGTGGGCGTTGAGCTCGCCGTTGCGGAAGCTGCGCGCGGCAATCTTGAACCCGGCGATCTTGCCCTCGTGGCCGTGCGTCAGGTCCTGGACCCGGCGCAGGAGCGCCGCATGTCGCTCGAGCGTCGCGACGTCGCGAGCTGCGGCGCTGTCGCCGGCGCCGAGGGGCGTCGTCGCGCCGCTCGAGGTCGGCGACGGGTCGCCCGTGAGCTGGCCGCCGAACCGAGCTGCGCGGCTGCCGCCGGCGGCGGGCGCGCCGAGGCCCGGGATGCGGCGCTCGCCCGACGGCGTGGCCACGGCCGACGACTCACCCGAGCCGCCGCGAGCCTCGACGAAGCTGGCGGCGGGAGCGCGGCCGCCCTGGTTGCCGCCGCGTCGTCGGCCGTCGCCGCCGGCGCCGCCGCTGCGCGTGTGCGACTCGCCGTTCGAGTAGACAAAGTTGGTCTCGATGCGGCGAGCCTCCTTGCGCGACTTTTGGTCCTGGACCGAGCCGATGCCGTGCACCTCGAGGGCGTGCGCCTGCAGGTCGAGCTCCGACTCGAACACGACGAACTTTTGCGCGAGGCAGTCCGGGTGCGGGCACAGGAAGTGGTCGTTCTTGTAGTGTTGCTCCTGCGAGAGTGGGCGAGAGAGGCGAGGTGAGCGCGGGGACGAGGAGGGAGAGAGAGAGAGAGGAGGAGAAAGGTCGACGCACGAGGCGGTCATAGTTGAGGTGGTACTGGTGGCGGACGCCCTGGCGGACGCAGATGAAGCACTCCTCGTGCTGCTCGCGACAGTGCTTGTACAGGCCGTCCGAGTCGTAGAACCACCGCTTGCAGAAGCCGCACATGGCGTGCTGCTTCTCGAGGTGCTGGTCGAGCTCCGTCTCGCGCCTGCCGCCGCGCCCGCCGCCGCCGTTGTGCCGGTCCTGGCCCGGGTTGGCGAGCGCAAACAGCTCGTGCTCGTGCGCAAAGATCTTCTTGTTGCTGCAGCACAGGTCGCACAGGGTCGTGTGGTGCGTCGCGCGCACGTGGCGCTTGAGGTCGGACCAGCCCGACAGGATGTGGTCGCACGCCTGGTCCTCGGCGTCGGGTGCGGCCGAGTTCGGGTCCGACAGGCCGGGCTTGTACGGGCAGTTGAACCGCAAGAGCGACAGCGTGTCCTCGAGCTGGGCGCGCGACTCGAACAGGATGCCGAGCTGCGAGGGTGGAAGCCGGTCAGTTTCGCTCTCTTTTGACGGTCGAGAGAGAGAGAGAGAGAGGCGCACCTTGGTGTCGCTGAAGGGGGTGCTCTCGGTCGTGTAGTCCTTGAACAGCTGGTCCTCGCTCTCGGTAAAGATGACGGTCGGGCAGTCGGTCTGCGAGCGCGGCGACGAGGGGTCAGTTCCCGCGCACAGAGAGGGCGAAAGCGTGGCGGCGCACCTTGCAGAAAGTGCACTCCTTCTTCTTGTACAGGGCGCGGAGGCGGATCGAGCACGTGTGGCACGTGCGGTGGTCGCACGCCGACACGGACCAGTAGACGACGGGCTCGGCGCAGATGAAGCAGATGGCGTCGTCGTCGGTCGTCTCGCCGGCCTCGTCTGCGGCTTTGGCCATGGCGCGCGCGTAGGCGTTGACCTCGAGCACGCGCTCCGAGTTGTTCGTGTTGCGGTCGACGGCGGCCGAGTCGTTGCCCTGGGTCGAGTGCTGCTGCTGGAGCTGGAGGTGGGGCGGGCGGTTCTTGCCCTTGGCGGCCGCGTTGCCCTCGTTGTTGCGGCGGTTCTGCTGACCGCGCTGGCCCTGGCTGGCGCGAGGTTGACCCGGGTTGGCCGTGGTCGAGGTGGTCGACGAGGGGGACGAGGTCGAGTCGTCACCGCCCGTGAGGCGGCCGCCGAAAGCTGCGCGGCGCGACATGTGCTCTGCTGGAGTGCTGGTGCGGGTGCAGGCTTGCCCAGGCGGGAGCAGCGACGAGCGCGAGGTTGGTCTAGGGCAAACCCGCCCTCGCGCGACTCACTCTCCCTCTCCTCGATCCCGCTCGCTCACGCTGCAGCGAGAGCCTTGTGCTAGCAGTCCTGGCTGTGCTCTCAACAGCCTGCGCGAAGCTGACAGCGCTCGATCGCGCCCTGTCGCTGTCTCCTTCCCCTCCTCCTCCCACCTCCTCCCTCGCCCGTCACGGACGCTGCTCGCAACTCGTCGCGCCGCTCGCCAGCGCGTCTTCTCTGCGCTCGACTGGGTGCTTGGTGAGCCCCTCGGAGCCCAGCTTGCGCGCCTTGCGCGGGTCGGGCTCGCTCGCCGTCGTGTCTCTCGGGGTAGCCGCGTCCGCCGGTCCGCCCCGCGCGACCCTTGCGCTCGTCTGCGATCTTGCGCCTGCTGGCGAGCGAGACGTTCGGCCGGACCTCCTCAACTGGACCGGACGAGGAGGTCTGCACCCGCTCCTCGTCCTCCTCGCCAGTCCGCATGCCTCGTCTCTCGCAACGCTCTGCTTGGCTCGAGAGGTCCTCTGCAGGCCTCGGCCTCGTCGCCGGATCGGCTTCGGTTCCGCCGAGACTGAGCTAGTCGGCCGGTCGTGCTCGCCGCAGCCCGGACGACTCGCCGTCGACCGACTTGGTCCTCCTCGACCTTCGACTCGTCTGCTTCTGCCTACCGGTCGAGCGCACCGCCATGGGCTGCGCGCAGTCGACCACCTCAAGCGTGAGCTCGTCGCCGCAAGAGGCGGCGGCCTCTCGCGCCATCGACGACGACCTGAGCCGGGCCAAAACGGAGCACTCGAAAGTCATCAAGTGCCTCCTCCTCGGGCCAGGCGAGTCGGGCAAGAGCACCATCCTCAAGCAGCTGCGACTGCGGTGCGCCCCAACTTCCTCTCGCCCCCTATCGTGCTTGAGCGCGCGGCCTGACCTCCTCGCCTGGCGCGCAGCTACGGGTCGCCGTGGTCCGACCGCGAGCGGGCCCCTTATCGCGAGATCGTCTTCGCCAACACCCTGCAGAGCGCTCAAGTGCGTCCCACCTTCTTCCCGGACTTGTCCTGCACGTCGCCCTGACACTCGTCGCCCTCGCAGGCCGTCCTCGCAGCCTTTCCCTTCCTATCGATCACGGTCCCGGCTCACCTCGAGGAGACGACCAAGTACCTCGAGCACCTCGAGGTCGACGACGCGATCGACCCGTTGACGAACGGCCTGCGCGAGGAGGTCGCCGAGGCGCTCTCGGCGTTCGTCAAGGACGAGTCGGTCAGTCGGGTCGTCGCGCAAAGCGGGCGCTTGCAGCTCAACGACAGCGCCGACTAGTGCGTCCCTCTCTCTCTCTCTCTTCTTTCGTTGTCCGCTCGGTAGTCGAGGAACTGGCACCGACCCGCACGCAGCTTCTTCACCTCGATCGCGCGCATCTGCGAGCCGTCGTACCTGCCGAGCGTGCAAGACGTCCTCCGCTCTCGAGTCCGCTCGACGGGCATCGTCGAGGACAAGTTTGACGTCGGCGCCGGCAAGAGGCTGCTCGTCGTGGACGTCGGCGGGCAAAGGAGCGAGAGGAAGAAGTGGTGCGTCCGGCTTCCTCGATCTGCGGTCGCTGCGCTCCTCTGAGCAGCGACCGCTTGATGATGTGCACGAGGACCGCTCACCAGTATCCGATCCCGCAGGATCCACTGCTTCGAGAACGTCGACGTCCTCATGTGCGGCGGCTCGCAGCTCTTCCCTCGTCCTCGGCGCGCGCACTGACCTCGACCTCTCGCGCAGGTTCGTCATCGCCATCAGCGAGTACGACCAGATGCTTTACGAAGACGAGCGGGTCAACAGGCTCGACGAGAGCATGCAGGTGCGTCGTCTTCTCTCTCCGACGAGGCTCGACCGCACTCGTCCGCTCACGCTCTCTCCTCGCCGCAGCTCTGGGAGACGATCGCGCAGAGCCGATGGTTCTGCAAGTCGGCGTTCGTCCTGTTCCTCAACAAGCGCGACCGCCTCGCCGACAAGGTCCTGTCGGGCCACTCGCCGCTCTCGTCGTTCCTGCCCTCGTTCACCGGACCCGACGGCGACGTCTCGGCGGCCGAGGCGTTCCTTTCGCAGCTCTTCAAGGACCTGTACCGCCCTTCGCCCGCTCGGCCGCTGTACACGCACCTCACGTGCGCGTGCGACCAGTCGAGCACGCGCGTCGTCCTCGGCGCGGTCCTGCAGAGCGTTTTGACGCGGGCTCTCGCCGACATCGGCATGCTCTGAGCGTGCCCTCTCTCTTCAATGTCCATCCTCTCGAGCTCGTCGTCGTACCCCATCTTCCCTCGATTCTGCAATGCCAGTTCGCGCGCCCGTCCATTGTTGTCGCTCGTGCGCTTGGCGGCCCCGGCTTCCCTTTGTCCTGCTCGCTCGCGTGGCTCCACCCTCGCGGTTGGCCAGGGAGCGCACCCTCCCTTCCGGCCGGTGCGCATCGCAGCCGCTTCATTGGGCGCGGCGTGCAGCAAGGTGAGAGTCCACCCGGGGGCCTGAGCGCGGGGAGCCGACTCGGAAGCGAACTCGCTCGCTCTCCCTCTGCTCGTCGCCTCTCTCTCCTCCCCTCTCACACCTCTCCGTGCTGCAAGCTCGCCCGTGACCTGTACTCGCAGTGTCCAAGCCCACCCTCCTTGTGCGTCCCGCCGCTCTCGCCCCGATCCACACCGGCCACAGCCCTCATCATCGGTCTGCTCGCACCGCCTCAGTCGGACAAAGGGCGCCGACTCGTCGAGTGAGCGGCCAAGGAGTGCGCCGGGGCGACTGTGTACAGCACTCTGACCTCTACTGTGCCCTGCAGCACACCGCGCCCAGCTTTCGCCCTCCCTCTCGCTCCTCCTCGAGTCGTCGCCGTCCGTCGGCCCCACCCCGACCTCCCTCCCTCGACTCGACGCGGGCAACATGGGCTGCGGCCAGAGCATAGACGCCGAGGCGGCGCAGCAGAACAAGGCGAGCGCGGCGATCGACGCCGAGCTGCGACGAGCGCGGCAAGAAGAAGGGTGCGTTCGAGCGGTTCCTCCTCGTCTCTCCCACAATGACAAGCTGACCTTGCTCTCCCCGGGCAGGAAGACGGTCAAGTGCTTGATGCTCGGAGCGGGCGAGTCGGGCAAGTCGACCCTCGTCAAGCAGATGCGCCTCATGTGCGCCCATCTCCCTCTCATTCCCTCCTCCTCGAGCTCTATGAAGCTGACCGTCTCACTCTCGCAGGTACGCCCGACCATACACCGACCGCGAGCGCGCCGAGTACGCCGAGGTCGTGTACGCCAACGCCGTCCAGTCGATGCAGGCCGTCATCCGCGGCTCCGAGGTCGTCCGCATCGCCATCCCGACGCACCTGCACGACACGGCCGACTACCTGTCGTCCGTCTCGTCCGACGAGGCCGTCGACCTCGGCACGGGCAGCATCTTGCCGCACGTGCGCGACGCCATCGTCGCGCTGTGGGCCGAGCCGGCCGTCAAGGAGATTGTGCGGCACAGTGCGGCGTACCAGCTCAACGACTCGGCTCGCTAGTGCGTCCCACTCTCTCCTTTCTCCCTCCCTCTTTCGACGTCGAGATAGTGCGGCAAGCGGAGCGTCTCGATTGGCGCCGCACGAGCCCGGCGCCCGGACCTTCCCAAGTTCGAGCCCGCCCCCTCCTGCTGCGGCATCGAGCTCTCGAACGCTCGCTCGACGCACTCGCACCTCGTCATACGTCCCTCCCACCTCGTCTCGAAGGCGACAGAGCATGTCTCCCTTCTCCTCAAGCCCGCACTGACCTCTTCTGCCCCCTCCCCCTTCTCGCCCGCAGCTTCTTCGACGAAATGGGTCGAGTCGGCCAGTCGGGCTACGTGCCGACGGACCAGGACATCTTGCGCACGCGTGTGCGCAGCACGGGCATTGTCGAGGAGACGTTCGACGTCAAGGGCCAGAAGCTGCGCGTGTTTGACGTCGGCGGGCAGCGCAGCGAGCGCAAGAAGTGGTGCGTCTGCACCTTTCTCTCTCTCTGTCGGCGTGGCGAGCCCCGGGGCATCTCGCCGACTGGGTAGAAGTACGGCAGGCGTACTTACGAAGACGACGTCCGCAGGATTCACTGCTTCGAGAACGTCAACGTCCTTGTCTTCGTCGCCGCCATCTCTGAGTACGACCAGGTCCTGTACGAGGACGAGACCGTCAACCGTCTTGCAGGTGCGTCTGCTCTCTCTCGGGCGAGACGGTGGGCGCGCAGACCGAGAACGAGACTGACTTTTGCCCTCCTTCCCTCTGCTCGCAGAGGCGGCCATGCTGTGGGAGAGCATCGCCGGTAGCCGGTGGTTCGTCTCGAGCGCGTTTGTCCTCATGTGCGCCCTACCTTTCTCTATCTGCCGGAGTCGCAGGACAAGAGAGGGGCTGACCTCGCTCGTCCGCGTCGTCGTCGTCCCGCAGGCTCAACAAGATCGACCTCTTTGCCGAGTGAGCCACCAAGCTGTCCTTCTCTTGCCCAGCGTGTCCATAACTTCTTCAAGGCCCGATTACTGACGCTGTTCTTGCCCCTTCCTCCCCTCCCCTCCTGCCTCGTCCGCCTCGCCTGCTTCTCCTTCCGCCCCGTCGCCCTGCCCGCTCGCCGTCACGCCTGCCTTCCTCGCTCTCCCCCTCCTCGTTGACCTCGACAGCAAGATCCTCGGCGCCGGTCCGCCACTGATCGACTACTTCCCACTACACGGGCCCGCCGCGAGAGCTCGAGCCGGCAAAGGCGTACATGCGCGCCAAGTTTGTCGCGCTCAACTCTCGGCAAGGGAGGGGCCTCTACGTCCACCTCACGTGCGCGACGGACTCGAGCCAGGCCCGCGTCGTGCTCGCCGCCGTCATGGACCAGGTCCTCACGCGGCTCCTGTCCGAGGTCGGCTTGATGTGAGGGCGTCCCTCCCTCGCTTTCTCCCTCTCTCCCTCCCGCTCCTTCTTCCTTCGTCTTTCACCGTGTCTAGACCTTTGTGGTACCTCTGTGGGGCCGGATTTTCTGCAGCGCGTCGTGGTGGACTCGCCCGGGTCTTGCTCGAGAGCAGCTGTGCGGCGAGGAGGCGAGAGCGAGCCTCACAGCTCGAGAGAGCAGCGACGGCGCTTCTCACGAGTCCTGTTCGACGTTATCGAGCTACCGAGAGTGCCACTCGGCCTAACGATGGAGGTGGACGAGCGAGTTGGAGAGCTCGCCGCCGCTCCGAGTCGAAGCGAGGTCTCCCTCTCGCACCTCGCTCGCTCGGGCATTGCAAGCCTTGGAGCCTGTCCAACCTGCTCTCAGCTCCTTCAGCACCGCCTCGACCCGACGCCATGGCCAACAGGGGGCGCGCCACCCCGCTGCCGTCGCCGGGCGGTCGCTCGACGGCCAGCAGCGACGCCTTCGAGCTCAACATTGAGGCGTGCGTCCCACTCTCTCTCGAGGCTCACAGTCGTCCCAGAGCGGCACGCAGTCGAGCTCCACCCCCTCCCCTCGCGCGCGCCCCGGCAACAGCCAGATGCTCGCCCTCCTCGGCCAGAACGAGGAGCGCAAGGCGGCCAAGCTCGACAAGAAGCGCGACGCGATCCTCAAGCGCGCCCACAAGCTCAAGGACGCGTATGAGGCCGAGTGCGCAGAGGCGGTCGGGACGGAGGAGGCGAGAATGTGCGTCGACTGTTTCGCTGCGTCGGCTCGCGAGGGGGGAGGGCGCCTCGCGCTCTCGCTCTCGCTCGATGGTGAGGGTCCTGACGACGCTCGATACCCTCGCAGCAACAAGCGCCTCGAGGAGCACCGGCAGGAGGACGCCCGCATCGCCGCCGAGGCCCGCAAGTGCGAGCGTCAACTCCTCGCGCTCCTTCGCCAAGCCGCCGTACGTCCCAGCCTCTCCTCGATTTCTCTACACGAGCCTGACACGTCTCTCTCCAGGGCGACGTCGGGCAGGCGGGCGTGCGCGTCCAGGCCGAGAGGGACATGGTCGCCCAGAAGGTCGACACGGTCGGGGTCTCTCTGTTGCGCCTCGCCGACGGTGCGTCGCCAGCCGCCCATTCTCCATTCTCCGCCGACCCGCACTGACGTCGTCGAGACCCTGCAGCGCACAACGAGGCGGTGGACGGTGCGCTGGTCAACATGTGGGCGGGCGAGGCGGCGGCGGTCAAGCTGGAGGAGAGGGCGGGAGAGGAGGGCAATGTGGCGGCTTGAGGCTGTGGGCGTGCGTGCTTGTCGTACTTGTCTCACGCTTGCAAGTCTGTCTGTGCGGTCGTCAACCGTACTGGAGAGGAGAGCCTCGCCCTTGTCCTCGTCGTCGCCGGGCTCGCGACGAGCCGCGCTCGCTCTCTCGAACCTCCTCACCTCCCGCCGCCCGCACTGTGAGTCTGCCCGCCGCATGAATTGCCGCGGTCTGGCGCACCTGTACGCGCCCGCACCGCCGCTGACCACTCCTGGCCCTGGCGCCCACACAGCGTCACTCAACGCCCACCACGATGACCACGGCCAACCCGACTTCTGCGTTCCCTGCCTCGGCCGACACCAGCCCCAAGACGGTCACGGCCCCTTCGGCCGCCAGCAACGCGGCCAGCGTCGCCAAGCGGTGAGTTCTCGAGTCCGGGGGCGGGCAGCGACAGATGAGGCGGCAACGGCACGAGGGGCGGACGAGCGAGCGGCGTGGTGGTGCGAGGGAGGAGACGACATGCTCTGGCATGCAGGGCGAGCCGCACGACGAGCCAAGAGCAGCACCCACCTCCCTCTCCTCGACCTCCCTCACTGACCCTCTCTCCACCTCACGCAACAGCCTCCAGTCGGAGCTCATGTCGCTCATGATGTCACCTCCTGCACCGGGCATCTCGGCTTTCCCGGAGAGCGACTCGGACTTGACGTACTGGGTCGGCAGGCTCGAAGGACCCGAGGTGCGTGGCTCTCCGTCTCTCGGCCTTCCGTCTGCGGGGCGGCGTCGTCGAGTCGCTCCACGGTCGGTAGGTTCCGCCGGGGTGCCTCGCACTCGGACTAATCCACTCGTCCCCGCCGCAGGACACGCCCTACGCCGGCCAGACGTTCGCCATCTCGCTCCGGTTCCCCTCGTCGTACCCGATGAAGCCGCCCCAGGTCCGGTTCGAGTCGACGTGCTTCCACCCGAACGTCGACCTGCACGGCAACATCTGCCTCGACATCCTCAAGGAGAAGTGGAGCCCGGCCCTGAGCGTCTCGACCGTGCTCGTGTCGCTCCAGTCGCTCCTCGGCGGTGCGTCCTCTTCGTCCCCTCTTTGCAATGTGCGCCTTAGCGGCGAGCACGTACTGATCGGAACGTACGACGAGGACGCAGAGCCGAACAACAAGTCGCCGCTCAACGTCGAGGCCGCCGACCTTTGGGACGACGCCGAGGCAGTGCGTCCACGCTCTCGAACGCCTCCTCCCCGGCTCTGCCTCCTCGCCCTGACGATCTCGCTCACCTGCAGTTCAAGAAGGAGGCCGACAAGCACTACAAGCCGCTCGAGGACGACGAGTAGAGCCTTTTGCTCGTCTCGCAGCGACACGAAGGGCCGCCGCCCTCCCTCTCACGTCCCCGTCGTCGCGCCTATTCCTCCCCGCCGACGTCGCCCCTCGTTCATCTGTGCCATCACTGCAGCATCTCGCGCGCAGCTCTCGTGTACGAGAGCGCCGCCCTCTTTTGCCTTTCTTCCCTTGCCTCGTCACGCCTCGTCCACCTCGCCCTCGCCCTCTTGCCGAGTCGTACTTTTCCCTGCCTGCAACTCTTGCACGTTGCCTCACAGACAGCGTGCCTGCCCTGGTCGAGAGAGCGCAAGCCGAGAGGATCTGCGACAGACTTGCACCGCCCACGACGGACCGAGTTCATCCTCTTCCTCATCACCTCGCCTCGACCTCCCAGCACACGTCGACAGCGAACACGATGGCCACCACGGTCCCTTGCCAGTGCGTCCCCAGTCTCTCGCTTGCCTGCCCTGGCCGTGCAGCCGGAGCAGAGCCTCGTCGTCCCCCCCGCTCGTCGTCCCGCCGAGGAAATGACGCTCACCGCTCTCTCCCCTCGCCCGCAGGTACAAGACCGGCCGCGTGAGTCCCCTCTTCACTGCCCGCCAGAGCCTCCTGGACGCCCCTCAACTCGCCGCGAGCGCTCGTCGCTCGAGCGCCAAGCTGATCGAGCATCTTCCCCTCCCTCCCTCTCCTCTCGTCGCCCTCGCCCCATCCGCAGACGCTCGGACAGGGCACGTACGCCGTCGTCAAGGGTGCGTCCCCTCTCTCCCACTCTGCACGGCGCGGCTTCCACGAGCTGCGCGTCGCCCACCTCGCCCGGCGGAGGCACCGCACCTCGCCGACTCGGGCTGACCTTCCCCTCCCCCTCTCTCCCTCCCTGCGACTGCCTCCCTTGCCTCGACGACTCGACCTCGAACCCGACCGACACTCGCCCCGTCGACAGAGTGCGTCCACATCAAGACGGGTGCGTCGCGCGCTTCCCTCTGTCCGTCTCCCGCTCTCTCGCGAGCAGGCCACTGACTACAAACTGGCGTCGACGTCCCACAGGCAAGTACTATGCGTGCAAGGTGCGTCAAGGTGCCCATCAGCTCTCGCGCGGCTGTCGTGCCCGAGTGGCAGCTCCGGCGAGTGGGGTGCAGCGGCCCTGACGCTCTCTCGCACCCGCAGGTCATCAACAAGCGCCTCATGGCCGGCCGCGAGCACATGGTGAGTCGCACTCGTTCCTCTCATCGTCTGCGCGGACCCCGACCTCGCGTCGGTGGACTGCGCTCGCGTTGAACAGCGCGAAGAGCGTGCTCACCCTCCCTCGCGCGCCGTGAAACAGATCCGCAACGAGATCAGCGTCCTCAAGGCCATCTCGCAGGGCCACAAGAACATCGTCACGCTCTGGGGTGCGGCGCGAGCTTCTCTCCTCTCCTGGAGCGCGAGGCGAGCACGAGGACTGACGAGCTCTCTTTCGCGCAGACTACTTCGAGGTGCGCCGAGAGCGGTCGCGAGCTGCGAGGGGGCGAGTCGATGACTGACCCCTTCTCTCTTGTTCTGCCTCTTCTGGGAGCACAGACGCAGAACAACCGTGCGTCCCACCTCGCTCGCCCTCTCTCCCCCCCTCCTCCCCTCCCCTTCTCACTGGCCCGCACATGCTCACCCTCCTCTCGCCCGTCCCCAGTCTACCTCGTCACCGACCTGTGCCAGGGCGGCGAGCTGTTTGACCGCATCTGCGCCAAGTCGTACTTCCTCGAGGAGGACGCGGCCAAGCTCGTGCGGACCGTCATGGGCGCCGTCGACTACCTGCACTCGCACGGCATCGTCCACCGCGGTGCGTCCCGCAGTTCCTCTTTCCCTCCGTTGAGCACGAGATAGCCAGAGCTGTCTCGCTCTCCCGGTCCCGGACGAGCGCACGACTGAGCGACCCCTCCTGCGCCCCTCCCTCGCGGCACAGACATCAAGCCTGAGAACCTCCTGTACCGCTCCAAGGACGAGGAGTCGGACCTGCTCCTCGCAGACTTTGGCCTGTCCAAGGTCATGGACGATCAGCAGTTCTCGGCCCTGACGACAACGTGCGGCACTCCCGGTGCGCCCCTCGTCCCTCCCTCTCCTTCTCTTCGCGGTCTTCCTCGCGGAGAGCTTGCACGCCCCTTCAGCGACGGGCGAGCGCTCCTGTCTTGAGCGACAGTGGCTGACGAGGAGCGGTCGCGCCCGCAGGCTACATGGCGCCCGAGATCTTCAAGAAGCTCGGTCACGGCAAGGTGCGCCTCGCGCTCTCTCTCTCTCCTTCCTCGTGCGGCGATTCCTCCTTACTGACGACGGTCCTCATCTGCCGCAGCCGGTCGTGCGTCTTCTCATTTCGCCTGGTCTCGCCGTCCTCGCCCTCACTGACCTGAGTTTTCCTGCCTTTGCCTCGAACAGGACATCTGGGGTGCGTCCCTCCTCTCTCATTCGGGCCTCTCGCACGCCTCGAGGCGTCGGACAGCGCCTGACTGAGGTCGTTCGTCGCGCGCAGCCATGGGCGTCGTCACCTACTTCCTCCTGTGCGGCTACACGCCTTTCGGTACGTCCTCTCGCTCCCTCTCTCTATCCCTCTCTTCTACCGCACACGCTCACCCTCTCGATGACGCTCGCCCGCAGACCGCGACAACCAGGTGGACGAGATCCAGGCCATCTGCAACGCCGACTTTGCGTTCGAGCCCGAGGAGTACTGGGTCGGCGTCAGCGACACGGGTGCGTCTCGTCGCTCCCTGCACCCCCCTTCGCTCAGATGCCTCTGTCGAAAGATGGCGGGTTGTACATGCGAGCCTTGACTGACACAGGCGCTCTCGCCCCCTGCAGCCCGCGACTTTATCCGACGCTGCCTCGTCATCGACCAGACGCAGCGCCTCACTGCGGCGCAGGCGCTCGCGCACCCGTGGCTCGCCCAGGGCGCCCCGTCGACCAACCAGCCGCAGCGGCCCGACCTGTTGCCGTCGCTGCGCAAGAACTTCAACGCCAAGGGCACGTGGCGGCGCGCCATCATGGGCGTGCGCGCCGCGAGCGCGCTCAAGCTCGGTGGCGAGCACCGCCGCGCGACACTCATGGCCGGTGCGGGCGTCGGCGAGGAGGAGCAGGCGAGGGTGAGGGAGGAGGCGGAGCGGGCCAAGCGGGACGCCGAGGAGGAGGCGGTGAGTCGGCGCGCGCGCTCTCTCGACTCTCTCGACCTTCAGCAGCTGCTCGAGCGGCTACTGCGGGTCTCCTTGTTTGTGACGCCGGCGCTGACACGCCTTTCGGTACGCCCCCTCGCGCAGGCACACGTCGACGAGTCGGCGTCCGTCTACACCTACAACTGAGCGGCGTCGTCCTCCCCTTTCCTTTTCCTTTCCCTCCCTGCCTTTCTCTCCCTCTCTCTCGCGCTCGACCGTGCGCATACTGCCACGCTGTACCACTATACCGCCTCACGCAATGTCCTTGTCCTCGTTCGTTGTCGCGCGCGAGGTGTCTCGAGCGAGGCCGAGAGAGAGCGAGAGCCCGACTTCCCTCGTTGCGACGCTGCCTTCGAGCGCCGAGACGATGAGCATGTAGACGAGGTGCTCGACTGCACAAAGGACGAAAGCGCGGCCGAAGCGAAAGCGGTCGCTTCTCACTCGCTCGCTCGCTCGCCGCCTCGTTCCTCCACCTGCGTCAACGACCTCGCCTCGCCCGCAATCCGCACTCGAGCTCCTCTGTGAGGCCCCAGCTCGTGTGCGCCTCCTTCTCGAGACCATGGCCGCCCCATCGCCCGGGCCCTCGCGCCAGCCGACGCCGTCGTCGTCGAGGTCGCTGTCGGCGTCGGCCGCCGCTCACGCGACCCAGGCCAGCAAGCTCAACCCCAACGTCGCGAGCTTCTCGTTCGCCCACAACGACCCTCAGCACTCGCACGCCGCCCACCAGGTCCACTTCCAGCCGCACGCCGTCCCCTCGTCGTTCGCCCCGGGGGCTTACGACGGGTCTTTCCCCATCTCGTCGACCGCGCAACACGCAGCGAGCGCCCAGGGCGGCATGTACGGCATGGCAGCAGCAGGCGGTGGCTACCACCACTACCCGATCAGCAGCAGCGGCAGCGCGTACGGCGCCGGCCCGATGCAGCAGCACCAGCAGCCTCCTCCTCCTCCTCAAGGGTGGGCCGCAAAGGGTCCGCAGGGCGGCTGGGGCCAGCAGCAGCAGGGCGAGTACGGCCAACAGCAGCAGCAGCAGCACCACACCATGCACCACCACCACCCGCAGCAGCACCCGGCCCACGCCCAGTCGCCCTACTTCAGCCAGCACCCGCCACCTCCTCCGCCGCCGCCGTCCCAGTCGAGGCTACACGCCGGTCCAGGCGCTCCGCCCAACGGCATCTACCTCCCGCTGCAGCACAACGGGCCCCACCATCTCGCCGCCGCCGTCGCCGCCGCAGGCTACCCGCCCGTCGGCGCCGCCGGGTCCGCCGTCTCGCCCGTCCCTGCCGCGCTCCACCTCCCGCCCGGTGCGGCTGCCGCCCTGTCGCCTCACCTGCAACATCAGCAACCCCCTCCCTCGATGCACCCGCACGCGTCGGCGGCGCTCCTCCCTCCCTTCTCGCCGCAGCGACCTCACCCGTCCTCGGTCGCGCCCCAGATCCTCCCTGCGCCCTCTCTGCCCGTCTCGCCCGCCTCGCCGCTCCCTCCACCCTCGCACGTTCCCCTCGTCGTCCCGCCATCGCCTCTCCCGCCCGCCTCGACCTCGTCCACCGCGTCGCCCGCCTCGTCGGTCGCGCCCATCCGCGACGAGCCCATCACCGTCGCGGCCGACGTGCCGCACCCCGCGCCCTCGGCGCTGTCGGGCACGCCGCCTCGGCCCACCCGCCGCAGGAGGAGCCGCCTCCCGCCGCCGGCCGGCCTCCCGGCGCTCACGTTCGCGCCGGGCCTGCGCCGCCCTCGCGGGTTCGCCGCCGCCTCGTCGGCCTCGTCGTCGTCCAAGGCGCACGACCAGGCGCAGACGACCCGGTTTCGCGTCGCCGACTCGCTGAAGAAGAGCGTCGGCGGCGGCGGCGGCAAGAGCACGCCATCGACGCCGAGCAAGCCCGAGGCTCGCTCGCCGACGCTCGCGCCGAGCGCGCCCGCAGCCCCGGCGGCGGCGTCGTCGTCGGCGCCTGCGCCCGTGGCGGTGCCGCAGACGCCGAAGCAGCCGGCTGCCGAGGTGTCGGCGCCGGCAGAGCCCGCGGAGCCGCCTCGTGAGCCTTCGACGCCGGCTGCCGCTCCTGCGCCTGCGACGCCCGCGGCCTCGTCGGCGCCCGCACCTGTACCTGTCGCTGCAGCCGAGCCTGCGACGCCGAGCGCGCCGACGCCCCTGTCGCCGAGCGCCGCCCCGGCGACGCCCAAGTCGCCCGCCGGCCCGCCCGTACGCAAGTCGTGGGCCGACCTCGTGCGCCCTCCTCCCGGCTCGGCGCCTCCCTCGCTCTCGAACGGCCTGTCGCCCATCTCGGCCTCGACCTCGTCCCTCACGTCGCCGCCGACGCCGCAGCCCCCCGCAGGGTCGCTCGCCGCGCTCCTCGCGCTCCCGCTCGCGCACGCCCACTACCCGGCGCCACCCGTCCCGCGCGGCCTGATCAACAACGGCAACCTGTGCTTCGCCAACGCGATCCTCCAGGCGCTCGTCTACTGCGGCGACCTGTGGAACCTCATGGGCATGGTCGAGCGCGGGAGCAAGAAGGACCTGAGGGAGGCCATGGGCGCGAGCGTGACGGGCGCCAAAGAAGGCAAGGGCGAGAAGAGCGTCGTCGAGGCCATGTGCGTCCCCTCTTTCCCTCTCTCTCTCGGCGTCGTCTGGCGATGGAGACTGACTCGTCGTCGTTTTCGCTCCTCCAGGATCGCCTTCCTCGCCGAGTTCCGCAACGCCTCGTCGTCGACCGCGCCCGCGTTCGACCCGTCGCAGAACACGTCGTCGTCCGCCTCGGCCTCGGCGTCGGCGTCGGCGTCGACCTCGGGTGCGACGACGCCCAAGAACAACAACGTGCACCCGCTGTCGTCGTCCGTCTCGTCGTCGTCCGGCGCCAACCACCCGAACCTGTCCGGCTCCGGGTCGGGCTCGACGCCCGCCCCGCTGTCGCCGACGCCGATCCACGACGCGCTGCGGCACAACCCGCGGTTCGACGCCATGCGCCGCGGCACGCAGGAGGACGCCGAGGAGTTCCTCGGCTTCTTCCTCGAGACGCTGCACGAGGAGGTGCTCGGCATCCTCGAGGAGCAGGAGCGCAAGGAGAAGAAGGGCAAGGCCAAGGAGGAGGCGGGCGCGGGCGCCGGCGGCGGTGGGGACGAGGGGTGGAACGAGGTTGGGAGCAAGGGTCGGGTCGCGACGACGAGGACGGTGCGTCCCTATTCTTCCTCTCGTCGTCTTCTCCAGCGCTGCGCCAGGTCGGTACTGACTTGGGCCTCGCCGACGTCGCGCAGACCGAGACCAAGGAGTCGCCCTTGGGACGCATCTTCGGCGGCAAGCTCCGAAGCGTGCTTCGGTGCCCGGGCCAGAAGGACAGTGTCACCATCGAGCCGTTCCAGCGCCTGCAACTCGACATCCAGGTGCGCCCTCGCTCCCTCCCTCCTCGCCCTTCTCGTCGCGCACGCTCGACGATATCGACTGACCCTCGTTCTCCTCGCCCGCAGCCCGAGCACGTCCTCAGCATCGAGGACGCCCTGCGCAACCTGACGGCGTCCGAGTCGCTGCCCGACTTTGTCTCGTCGCGCGGCGTGCGGACCCAGGACGCGACCAAGCACGTCCAGCTCGACGCGCTCCCGCCCGTCCTCATCCTCCACCTCAAGCGGTTCCTCTTTGACGAGGTCGGCGGCGTCCAGAAGAGCGGCAAGAAGGTGGCGTACGGCACCGAGTTGACGATCGACGAGCGGGTGCTGTCGGCGCCATTGCGGCAGCAGGTCGGCAAGGACGGCGCGCGGTACGAGCTCTTTGGCGGTACGTCCTCTCGCTCTCTCCTTCTCTCGGTTCTCGGTCCCCCCTGTTACTCAAGACGGCGTACTGACGAGCCCTTCCGCCTCGCGCTCGCAGTCGTCTACCACCACGGCCTGTACGCGTCGGGCGGGCACTACACGGTCGCCGTTCGCCGAGGGTACCACTCATCGCAGTGGGTCGAGCTCGACGACACGCACCTGTACCCGTTGTCGCCCGCCGAGGTGTCGGTCTCGCTCGCGCATGCCAAGTCGCGGCGGTGGGAGACGGCGGGCGGCGGGCCCGCACGGAGCGGGATCGAGGACAGCGAGGGCGGCGACCACAAGTGCGCGTACTTGTTGCTGTACGCCAAGGTGGACGACGGGCACGGGCTCGGTCCTGCACGGTGAGGAGCGCGAGGTCGCAGCGAGGATCGAGAGGGTCGAGGGGACGTGCGAGCCTGGTTTGCCCCTCCTCTCTCCCCCCTCTCCTCCCCTACACGCATGAAATAGATCGTCAAACACGCATCCTGTCCGTGTAGCCCCCCTTGCGACGCTAGCCCCGCCAGCTCTCGTGAGCGCTTCGTCGTTTGCGGTCGCTCGTCGCGGTCCTTCCTTTCTCTCTTCCTCCCTCTTCCCTCTTCCCTCTCGTTCCCGCCTCGAGCCGCCGAGCGCCTCCCAGTGCCACCAGGGCGCACGCCTGAGCCACCTTAGCTTACTCGCCCGTCCTCGACAGCGAGCGCGCCGTCGCCATGCCGTCGCCCGGACCCTCTCCGCCTCCCGACTCGACCTCGCTCCCTTCCACCTCGACGACGCCCACGCCGACCTCGCGCGCACCTCGCCCAGTGGCACCAGTACCCGTCGAGCTCGAGCCGTCCCAGGTCGCCGTCCGCCGAGCCGTGTCGGGCCCGGTCGCCTCGTCGCCTTCCTCGCCTTTCCCCTCGTCCTCGCTCTCGCCCATCTCGCACCCGGCGCCCGTGCGGCCTAGCCCCCTCCACCCGCACCGCGTCCAGCAGCACCCGCCGAGCCCGATCAACGGCGGTCCCTCGCCCTCGAACCGCCACCTCGCGCCGCCTTCGCCCGCAACCTCGCTCGCCCACCTCGACGTGCCCGCCTCGCCCACTACGTCGACCCCGAGTCGTCCCGACGACCCGGTCACGAGCCTCGGCGGGAGGAGGACGCCCTTCTTCATGATCGCGCCGCACGTCGAGTGGACAGGGCGCGGGCTCGAGCGGCACGAGGAGCTCGAGGGACGGTCGGCGAGTCGCGGTGCCGGGTCGAGCGGTGTCGGCGGGCCTGCGCGCCGCTTCGGCGTCGGTGGCGAGAACGACCGCCCGGGCGAGGAAGGCGAGGCGAGCGGGCCGCGGTTCGACGCCGAGGAGGGACCGAGCGTCGCAGGCCGTCCGGGTCGTCGAGTCGAGCCCGCCGCTCTCGCTCGCAACGTTGCCGAGGTGTGCTCGGCCTTCCACTGCCCTGCGCGTCAGAGCACGCACGACTCACCCCTGCTGTCGGTTCCTCGCCCTGAAACAGGTCAACCCGCTCGACCTCGCCAACCTCGTCACGGCCCTCACCTCGCGCGTCGACGAGCTCGAGAGCTTTGTGGGCGACCTCTCGCACCGACTGCACGTCCTCGAGACGACAGCGCCCCAACTGGCGGCCCAAGGCGGTCCGCCGACGACCTTCCTCCCTCGCCACCACTCTCTCGTGCCACGTTTCGCCTCGCCGATGCCGCGCTCGATGCCGCCTTTCCCTCCTTCATTCCCGCACACCTTCCCCGACGGCAGCTATCGCGCCGAGCAGCACCACCACCGCGTCAGCCCCAACGGCGACGAGTTCACGCCTCCTGCCTCGCCGCAGGTCCACCCGCAGCAGGGCAGCCCGGCCTTGTCGCGCACGTCGTCGCTCCTCAGCTCCTCGTCGTCGAGCGCGCCTCTCGGTCGTCACGCGCCTCGCGAGCGCGTCGCCTCGTTCGGCCCACTGCACTTTTCGCCGTTCGAGGCGCACTCGTCGTCGTCGGCGCCGCAGCCGGTCGGCCTCGGTCCCGCCCGTCAGCCGCCGTTCCACCCCGGCCTCGCATCTTCAGCGTCGTCAAGCATGGGTGGATGGGCAGGAGGTGGGTCGAGGGAAAGGAGCGCGAGCATGGCGGACTTGTCGAGCGGGAGCGGAGGAGGGTCCGGGCGCGAGGGCGTCGGCGTCGACTTCCAGGCCGAGCAGGTGCGCCCAGCTTTCTCCTTCCCTCCTCCTCGCGTCTGTCTGGGTCGCTCTGACGAGCCCCTCGTCGTCGCAGACCGCGTTGCACCACCGCTCGATCTCGCTCGGCGGCCCGTTCTACCCTCGCCCGCCTCTGCTGCGCCAAGCCCCTCTGCCCAACTACCGCGACCTGCTCGACACGGACGCCGACATCGACTGCGAGGTGCGTCCTCCTTTGCCTCTCTCTCCTTGCGCTACACGGTCGAGGAGGACTGACGAGAGCTGGACGAGCGCACGTTCCGCAGGGCTTCGTCCGCCGCATCCTCGCGCACAACGACCAACAGTGCTCACTCTTCCTGCAGCAGCGGGTCCGGGGCACGTCCCAGGAGAAGCGCCAAGAGCTGTTTGACGCCATCGGGCGCCACGTCCTCGAGCTCAGCGTCAGCAAGTTTGGTGCGTCGAGTCGGTCCTCTCTCGGTCTCGTGTCGGGTCTGCGCTGGCGCGAGAGCGTGGCGAGTGCCGCTCTTGCTCGTCACTGACACTCTCGCCTCCTCCGCAGGCAACTTCCTCGTCTCGCGCTGCCTCGAGACGGGCGACTCGGCCCTCGCCCAGGCGTACGAGGACGCGCTCGTCGATCACTTCCTCCAGCTTAGCCTCGACTCGTTCGGATGCCACGTCGTGCAGAAGCTGCTCGACTGCGGCGGGTCGACGACCAAGGACAAGGTCATCGCCGAGTGCGTCCCCGCTCTCTCTCTCTCGCTCGGACCCTTCTTCCCTCGTCAGACCGGCAAACTGACCCTCGCTCTCTCCTCGCAACAGGCTCCTTCCGCACCCGAACGTCCTCACGACCAAGTCGAGCGTGCACGTGGTCAACCGCATCTTGACGACGCCCAACTCGCCCGCCTTTTTCGAGCGCCTCGCCGACCTCGGGACCGGCCAGTGGGCGTCGATCGTCAAGGACGACGGCGGCTCGCTCGTCGTGCAGCACATGCTCGAGGACTGGGCGCCGACGGCGTCGAGCGTCGTCGCGAGGGAGATCCTCGACGGGCTAGACGAGGTCGCGAGGACGCCGAGCGGGTCTTTGTGCGTCCACCCCTCTCTTCCCTCTCGCCTTCTCGGTCCTGACTGACCTCGTTCCCCTAACAGCATCGTCACGCAGTGCGTCCCGCCTCTCTCGACTCGTCGATCGAGAACGCCCCTGACCGTCCCCCTCCTCGCCCGCTCGCAGCCTGCTCGACCGCAACACGCTGCCGTTCTGCGTCAAGACGATGCAGCACGCGCCGCAGCTCGCCCTCCACCCGTTCGGCGCCAAGGTCGTCGACAAGTGCATGCGCAGCAGTCGCGCAGGGCCGGCCGGCATCGGCAAGTTCGTCCGCGACATCACGACCTCGAGCGGGTGCGTCCCTCGCTCCGTCTGTCACCCCCTTCCTCCTCCCCCTCTCTGCGCAACCTTCTGACGCTCCTCGAACACACAGAGACAAGCCACCTCTCCTCGTCGGCATCGCCTCGCACGCCCAGGGCGCCCAGCTCCTCGTCAACCTCCTCACCGGCCACGCCGCTCCCGACCGCGACAAGGACACGCTCGGCCGCACCATTCTCGAACAGGAGGGAGCTTTGATCGGCTTGGGAGGCCCGCACGGCGCGAGGGTCGTCCGGCTGTGCAGGACGGCGCTCGTCGGGTGAGCGTCCTCGGAGAGGAGGACCGAGCGAGGGCGAGGGAGGCTTGTCGGCGTCGGCGTTACTCGTGCCGCTCAATCGAGTCGCACAGCTTATCTCTTTCTCTTCTCTGCGTCGAGCCTGTAGCTTGTCGAGCAATGCGACTCGTCCTCGTCGCCTTCTCCTTCGTTGACAGACGGGGAGAGCTCCTCCTCGTGTACAATTGTCGCTCTCTCTCACGAATCGCCCAAATGAGTGCAGCTCGGGCCTCCTGCGAGACTTTCAAGTCGGGACGCCCAAAGGACTGCGACAGCGAGAGAGAGACCGGGCGAGGCAACTTGAAAAGGTCGAGCGAGCTGGCCCGCGCGACGAGCCGGATTGAAAGAGGGCACAGGTTGTCCGCGAGCGCTCAGGAGCTGTACAGAGCAGCAGACCCTCCAAAGCTACCCCTCGGCCCACGTACAGCCGCGCTCATCCTCTCACAATCTTCATCAGTCCGGTGACCGTCGGACCTCTCGTCCTCCTTGTCATCGTCTAAGGATGACGTAGAAGGAAGGCTTAGCGACTGCAATACACCGTATGTCACCGCCGACGTGCTGGCTCGGCCGCAGAGAGAGTGAGAGGAGGCGACGAACGACTGCAGACAGGGCGGCAGCTGCGTGCGGCAGCGGCGATGTTCGATCCGGCTCTCGCGCTCGAGGCTTTGCGTCTCTCGTTGCCGAGGAGCCATAGCAGACACGCGTGATTGCAAGAGAGTGACTAGGGGGAAGATTGGAGGAGATGGCGGTCGGGGAAAGGAAGCACGAGGGAAGGAGGCGGGGCGGGGTGACAGGCTACGGCCGAGCGCAGTAACGCGATCGAAAGTCACGCTATAGCCCTGCGTAACGAAGACCGTAACGAGCCTGCTGCCTCGGGCTGAGCTCAACGCGGCCGACCGAGGTGTGCGCCAGGCTGTGCGCCGATCCAGAGGCCCTGTACTTCACTCGGTACGCTGCGAGCGCTGCGATGTGGTCGACCTGCGTTGGCGTGGGGCAGAGAGGAGCTTGGTGAGCTTGTGGCCCTGCCCGAGAGAAGAGGAAAGAGGTCGCAGAGAAAGAGGAGGACGCACGCCTTCTTCCAGCCACTTGGTCTTGCAGACGGAGACCATCTGGAAGACGGCCCAGAGCTTGTTCTCCCGAATCGGCTTGGCGCCCTTCTGCTCGAGGAAATGAGACGAATCAGCGATGCTCAGAGTGGAGCTGACGAGAGAGCGGACGACGCACGAGGTAGTTCCGGACCTCGTCAACGCCCAGCTCGCGGCGGAGGACGCCCGGGTAGACGTTGAAGAGCTCGCCGCAGACCTCGCTCTTCTTGAAACCAGGCTGTGTGGCATAATGCTGCTCGTCGACGTACGTGAGGATGTCCTCGGCGAACCATTCGCCGACGATGCGCGAGATGCACCGGACGTAGTGCTCGAAGCGGCTGAAGGACTGCGGGAGGGACGGGCAGATTAGATCGAGGTGCCGAGCGCGACGACGTACGGTCAATGTCGCCCCTGGGTCGCAAGAAAACGGAAGGAAGAGGGAGGCGTCGACGCACGTGGAGCATCCTCGCGAGGGTTGGCATGAGGGACTGGATTCCTGCGCCAGGCTGCACCGGGTGGCGAGTCAGTGACAAGGTTCGGCTTCTCGTTCAGAAGTGGTAGAAAGAGGGGAGCCGAGACGCACCAGCGACGCGCCCTTGTCGGCCAAATTGCGCTCGAACACTTTCCGCACCTCGCTCAGGTCGTGCAAGAATCCGGCCTGCTCGTGACTGGGCCAGCACAGGTACCAATCTCTCGGGATGAACTCGTTGAGGCTGCGCTGCCAGACGTCGCGGTCAGACGAGGCGCCGTCCTCGGAGCCGCGGCGCGTTCGCCAGTCGACGTATGCGTCGCCGGTGGCCTTGATGGCCCCGATGGCTCGCACATAGGCGTCCATGGCGGCAGCTGTGACGCCTTGGAGGAGAGAAGCGAGAGGAGAAAGAGCACGAGGGCGATGATGGCTCGGGGAGGACAAGCTCCTCGCCGCGCCCGGACGAGCGCCGGCTACAGAGTCTCGTGCGTACGATCGAGGCAATGACTCAGGAGACAGGCGGACAGACAGCGGTCCGTCGCGAGCGACAAAAGCTCGCCGAAACGAGCGGGCGGAGGGGCTCGTGCGCAGAGGGCAACTTGGGAAGGCCGTTTGCGCACAGAAGCTCGAAGCCGTGTGCGGCGACGCAAACATTCGGGCGCTCTCGACTGAACAGGAGTGGACACTTGAAATGCAAAAGGTCGCTAAGAAAGAGATAGGAAGACGTCCGACTTGAGCGGGAACGAGTCGAGGGACGGAAGGGGAGGAAGGCCAGTCGAGCTTCTCGGCGGCTGAGCATCGTCGCCTCGAGTGCTCAGATCCCGGCAAACCGACGCCCGTACCGCACCTGCTGCCTCGGGCTGAGCTCGACCCGGCCCGTCGACCTGTGCGCGAGGCTGTGCATGTCCAGAAGGGCGGCCGCGGCGTCGACCTGTAGCAGGCAAGAGGGCAAGGCGGTCAGTCACGCTCGGTCATCCTGTCGGTGCCGCGAGGAGGCCGAGAGAGAGAGGGACGAACAGTAGCGCCACCTTCGTTGACCCGCTCGATCATCTGCACGAGCGAGAGCAGATGGGTGTTGTTGTGGCTGCGGAGGCGCCCCTGCGCATGCGGTGGACGGCTCAGTCAGTCAGATGCGCTGTAGGGGAAGGCGAAAGGAGAGAGAGAAAGAGAGGCGAGGCGACGCACGAGCATGGCCTTTTGATGGGCGTCGAAGGCGTCATCGTGGAGCCCGTCGCGCACGCGCTGCAGCTGGCCCGTCACGGCCGCCTTCTGGTTGTCGGGCTGCTGGTTAAAGTCGGCCTCCTGGAGGAGGGGCCGACCGCGCACGGCGCCACCGAGTCCATCGACGCCGACGAGGACCGAGCTAAAGCCCGGGATCCAGTGAGAGATCTGCTTGGCGAGGTACACGACACGGGCGTACGACTGCGAGCGGACGGAGCGAAGAGAAGGAGAGAGGGCTGGGTCAGTTGTGGGGAACGAGAAAAGAGAGGCGAGGAGGACGTCGAGCGCACCTTCTGCATGCCCGACAAGGTATGCGAGCTTGCGTCGCCGTACGACGGCTGCAGCAGAGAGGGTACGTGAGCTCGCGTCGACCCGGACAGAAGGAGGGAGAGAGCGACGCACGAGGGTGGTCCTCCTCATCGGGTTCGACTGGTAGTGGAACACGAGCCTGGCCATGTCGCCCAGGAAGTTGTCCTGCTCGCGCTTCGGCCACAAGAGCCACCACCCACCAGGCAGCGCCGTCTGCATGCCTTTGACCCAGAACTCGGCGTCCCTGCGGGTAACGGCCGTCGCGCCGATCTTCTGTTCGAGGCGCCACGTGACCCAGGCTTGCGCGGCGGCGTCGATGGCGGCGGTCGCCGTGGCGTACGAGTGTTGGTCGTGCTGCAGGTTGGCGTCCATGGTCGTGGCGGCGAGAGCGCGGTCGAGGGGCGGGATGCGGGAGGCGAGAGGTTGAAGAAGGGTCAAACGAGGAGGCGCCGCACGCGCCGAGCGAGTCGGCCGACGACGGCCGCCGACGGACGAGCCGCGGAGCGCGGGGAGAACGAGACCCGGTCCGGCGGCTCGGACAGGAGGCGCGGACGAGCGGAGGAGGTACGTGCGCCGCTCGCGAGGTCGCAGCGGTCGACGCAGCCCTTGCGCCGACGGGGCAGCACGTACAGCTAGAGCGGCGGGTCGTGTGAGACTCGAGAGAGAAGAGGAGCGCGATTGCTGCGTGGGCGAAGGAGGAGGAGGAGCACGAGTGCCGGGGAGAGCTGGCCGCGGCGAGCCGACGAACAAGCGGCGCACACCGTCCTGCGCAGAAGCGCGCCTCTTGCCCACCCTGAGGCAGATGCAGGGAGCGAGAGTGTCGAGAGCAAGGTCGAGCGGGCGCCAGTCCCTCTCGCGGCCGGTCCCTCTCCTCGTCCGACTCGACCATCGACTCTTCTTGCAGGACGCGACGAGGCGGGAGAACGACGGCGCCGACGGCGTAAATAATCATTTTTTTCCACTCTTCTTGATTCCTGCAGCGCCGCGAGGGCTGTCAGTGACGTTCGGGCGAGGAAAAGGAAGCGGGAGGGGACGCACCGCCGCCGAGGAGGGGGCCGCCCTTTGCCGCCTTGGCCTGCATGTCCTTGAGCTTGGCCTGCTCGGCCTTCTGCTTCGCCTTGAACTGTGTGCGCGGACGAGGCCTGGGTTGGTTGCGCGCGAGACGGGAAGAGAGGGCAGGGGAAGGCGGGGCGCACGGCCGCGTCCTCCTCGTCGTCCTCGACCTTGGCCTTCTTGGGTGCCTGCGGGTGAGAGCCAAAGTCAGTATACGTTCCTTGATGGAGAGCGAGAGAAGCGAGCGCACCTTCAAAGGCTTGACTTTGCCCTGCGTGGTCGACGAGGAGAGAGAGTCAGTGAGAGTGCTCGAGGGAAAGTCGCGTTGGTGGGGAGCGCTCCTGGGCTGCCGCCGCCTGCCCCAAGATGCCCGACAGATCTCGCTGAACCCGCCTGAGCATGCTTATGCGCCCTCCCGGTGGCGGTTCGAGCCGTGCCGCCCGCGAGGCTGTTTCTGCACCCGGCCGTCCCCCCCTCTCTCCAGCCGCTCAATCTGACTGTCCGTCCGCTCAGGATAGCCCAAGAAGCCCACAAGCAGAGGTGTGGGGCCGTTGAGCCCGCAGAGGTCGTGATGGTCGAGTTGCGAGGGTTCGAAGGTTGGGCGCTGATGAAGCGGGGGCGAGCCGATTGCGAGGTGGCGAGGGACGGGGGAGGTGCCGCGAAAAGGGGAGGGTAGAGCGAGAGAGTGAGCGTACGCCTTGACGTCCAGACATTGTAGCTTTGTCTAGTGGGTGGACGAGGGAGAGCGAGGGCGAGGGAGCTCCTCCAAGGGAACGTCGACCCGCCCCCGCCCGCTCCAGCTCACGGGCACTGCTGCCAGAAAGAGCTCAAAGTCGCACATGCATGCCGGCCTCTAGCCGCACCCGCGACCCCTCGCGCAGCCACATCCACAGTGCGTCGCCTCGTCCCCCCCTCCTCCCTCTCCTCGCCTCGTTGGCTGACCCACACCTCGCAACACACAGTCTCGATCCGCCCAGGCGCCTCGCCAGAGCGTCCACCGACGCCTAATGTCGACCCACGCATCAACCCGGCACCTTCACCGCTCGCCCCGCGAGCCTCGCTCCACCCTTCCCCACGCCTGCACTCCCGAACCACCTCGACCAGCGCATCCCCGTCCCTCGGTCGATGGCGCGACACGCTCGCCGCCCAGCTCGACTATGTCCAGCGCCGCGCATGGCCGGCCTCGCTCCTCGGCCGCGGCGCAACCTCGTCTCGCACCCTGTCGCCCGGTCGACCCGCCGACCGGAGCCCCGTCGAGCAGGCCCTGCGGCGCGGCATGCAGGGCTTTGCCGCCCTCTGGGTCGCGCAAGATGACGACACGGTCAGTGGTGCGGGCCCGGCGCATCTGCACGGCGACGACGACCTCGTCCCGGCCACGCCCGCGCTCGGCAGCGGCACGAGCCTCGCCCGGTCGTCTCGTCCAGCAGCGCAGCAGCGCATCCCGCCCCTGAGCCGTCTCGGGCAGCTCGTCGTCGTTTTCTTGTTCCTCCTCGGCCTGCGCGAGCTCGTGTCGGGCCCATCTCGCCTCGCGCCGTCCCGTCGAGCGCGCACGTCCCCGCCGCCGGTCAAGGGCCGCAACCCGTTCGCCGTCCTGGCCGACCTCGCGCCCCCGTCGTCCTTCTCGAAGCGCTACTCGACGCACCTGCCTGGGTCCGACAGCCTGTGGAAGACGAGCGCGGCGCCAGTCGACGCGTTCACCGACGCGAGGGACGCGGGCGACACGACGGCCGTCGTGCTGCACTGGAAGCGCACCGACAACGTCGGCGTCATCGTCGCGCACCTGTGCCGGTACACCTTCTTCGAGACGGTCCTCGTGTGGAACAACAACCCCGACGTCGTCCTCAGCCCGAACGTGCGTCCCGCCTTGTCTCTCTCTCTCTAGCCCTCGCTTTCTCGCCTCGCGTACTTACACCCTCGGTTCGCCCTGTAGATGTTCGCCAAGTCGCATTGCCCGGCTGGCAAGCTGCGCATCTACAACTCGCCGCGCAACCTGTTTTTCTTCGCGCGGTACCTCGCGTGCGCCCAGTCGACGACGACGGCCAACTGCTTCTTCCAGGACGACGACTGGGTCGTGCAGCCCTTGCGGGCCCTCTACTCGCAGTTCTCGAGGGACCCCGAGGGCCCTGTCGTCGTACATACGAGCCGAGACGTCGCGACGCTGTACGGCCTCGAGTGGTGCTTCTTCAGTGCGTCCCGCCTCTTTCTCTCCCTCGTCGCGCGCGCCGCACTCACTCTCCCTCGGCCCGACAGACAATCCGCTCCACACGTGCTTCTCCTGGGTCGGCACGGGCGCCTTCACGTCGCGCTCGCACGTCGAGCGCTTCCTGGCCCTGACGGGCTCGGGCGCGGGCGAGTCGGCGTACGGCCGCGACGAGCTCGCGCACGCCGACAACTCGTTCACGACCATGCTCAACGAGCCGCCGTACGTGCTTCAGAGCGCGCTGGCTGGCTTGCCGAGCCCGGGCGGGCACAGTGACGGCGAGGGGATCGCGAGGAACAAGGCGTTCATCGTGCGTCACCCTCTCTCTCTCCCTCTCTCGAGCCCTCGCAGCGGATCGAATTGACACCTCATACACTCGCAGTTGCAAGGCGTCGCTCGCCTCTCGTCGCACCTCAACCTCACCTTCCCACCCGCGCCACCGCCCTCCTCGCCGCTCACGACCCTGTCCCTCCCCCCTCTCTCCTCCCCACCACACCGCCTCTCGCCCTCTCCTCCTCTCCCCGCCCACCCGCACGCTCACCACGCTCGCGCCCCGTGCACCCCGAGCGACGCGTGCGTCTTCCTGACCAACCTCGCCCTCCTCCCGGCGCCCGACACGGCGCGCTTCCCGGGCGTCGCAGCCGTCGGCGAGGGTGCGCAGGGCCTGCAGCGCTGGGAGGAGCACCTGGGGCATGTCGCGAGGGGCTGGAAGGAGGGCGGGGAGAGGTGGAGCGACGAGGAGGACTGGGCGAGAGAGTGGGCGTACGAGGGCGCGGTGGATGGAGACTTGGGGACCGTGTTTCGCAGCCCGGACGGTGCGTCGCGTCTCTCTTCCTCCCTCTCTCGCTCTCTCGTGCTCTCGTCGACGGCGAGCGCTAGGGTGCGTAGATTGACGCCGCTCCTCTCGCCCTCGCCCGCAGTCGTGCGCTCGGGCGACTACCTCGCGCTCGGCCTCCTCGAGCCGCTCGACGCGGCATGGACGCCCCGAATCACGCTGCACGTCATCCTCGCCCACGCCGACGAGGTGCTCAAGCGCGTCAGGGTCGAGGTGAGCGGCGACGGGTACCGCTGGGTGCGTCGGCTCGTTCTCTCCCTCTCCTCCTTTCCTCGCTCGGCCGGGCCTTCCTCGTCCGACCTTTTCCTCCACTCAGAACACGGCCCTGACGCTCCTCGTCCTCGCTCGCCTCGCCTCATCCTGCCCGCAGGTCCGCCCCTCGACGACCCCGCTCCGATGGACCTGCCGCCGCGCCCCGCTCAGCGCCTCTCGCGCCCTCACGCCGCCCGACCTCCCCTTCCCCAACTCGGTCCTCCTCTCGCCGACGGCGCGGCGCGTCCTCGAGCGCGCGCGCGCAGACGATGAGCGGCGCGGCGTCGTCGCGAGGTGGTACGCGAGGCAGGCGCGCCGGCGCAGGGCCGGGAGCAGGGAGTGCGAGGTCGAGCTCGGGGCGGGGATGCCGCTCCCTGCTCATGCCGGTGCGGGTGCGGGCGACGCAGGAGGAGGAGGACACGGCGAGGGCCCGCTCGGCGTGGCCGGGTGGCGCTTTGTGCGGCTCGTCGTGCCGGCGACGCAGCGGCAGCGGGACGAGGGTGGGACGGGGCAGGGCGAGGCGCGCGAGGTGCTCGACGTCGGGTGGGCCGTCGCCGAGATGTGGCTCGCGGCGGCGAGGGCGACGAGAGGGTGAGCGAGCGAGCGGCGCGAGCGCCGGTCGTTGGGACGCGCTCCCGAGGAGACTTGCAAGAGCGGGTCGCTGTCGTTGAGAGCTGTCGATTGCAGTACACACACGCCGTGCTCTGTGCGCGGTTCGGTTCGAGAGGGCGAGGAGGAGAAGGGGAGCGAAAGCGAAAGCGAAAAAAGTAAGGAGGCGAATGGTAATCGAGAATAGGAAAAGGGGCTAGTTGGCGGCTGGCGGAGGCCGAGACAGGCGCGACGAGCGAGAGAGAGGGAGGTCGACCACCCGCTTTCGAGTTCGCCCACCCGTCCCGCCAGAGGCCGCAGCTCGAGCACAGTCACACCAATAGCAGTCGACTGGCGCTCTTGCACCGTGCCACTCACCCCGCCGTGCCCGTCGTCGCCCGCCTCGCCGTCGAGCACCTCTCGCCTCCCCCTCCTCCTCCTCGACCTCGCGCGTCACGCGCACCTCGTGCCGCCTAGCTCCGACCGTCGCGCGACCTCCCAGGCGCACTAGCCCAGGACCCGCCACCCACTTCCCTCTACCCGGCAGCGCCGCGCCGTCTCGCGCCGCGCCCAGGTCACGGTGGCCCCGGTCGGTCCGCCGCCGGGCTTGTGGCCCTCGATGGGAGGGGGCCAGCAGGCCCACCAGCAGCAGCAGCAGCAACAACAGCAGCAGCAACCTACGCACGCGCTGCAGCAGTCGGGCGCTTCCACTTCGCTCCTCACCATCGTTCGCGTGCGTCCCCCCCTCTTCCTCTCTCTCTCTCTCTTTCTCGCACGAGTCGGACTCGATCAACTGACTGGTCGGTCGCGTTCTGCAGGCTCAAATCGTCTTCCTCTTGAGCACGCTCAGCGAGGACAATTTCAGCAAGAATCGAGACGAGATCCGCTCGGTGCGTCCTCCGCTCTCACAGGCCGGCATACTTGCATCCGCGCGAGCCGAAAATTGACAGGCTGCCCCCTTGACCGCAGCTCCTTGAGCACCACGCGCCGGCGCACGCCCACCTCGTCCGCCGACTCGTCCAGGGCGCCGCAACCCTCCTCACGACCTCGCCCGCCTCGCCGCCCTCGGGCAACCAGGCGCCGTCGCCCGAGCTCCATCTGCGGCTCCTCGCGTCCGAGGTGCAGCGCTGCTCGCGCGACCCGACCCTTGCCGAGCGGTTCCGCGACGCCGTCCTCGAGGGCGCCGACGGCCCCGCTGCGTCCGACCAGGTCCTGCGCTCCTTCTCTCTCCCGACTCTCCTCGCCCACCCGACCCTCGCCGAGCTCAGCCCCCTCGAGCGCCTCGTCTTCTCTACGCCCTTCCTCACCCTCCTCTTCCCCTCGGCCAACCCGGCCACGGGCCTCAAGCGCGCCCTCGGCCTCGACGCGGCCCGCGTCGTCCGCCAGGTCCTCCCGCCCGCCCTCGACCAGCTCGGCGCACCCGCAGCCACCGTGCACGACATCGCCGAGCTGTCGCCCCTCCCGCTCTCGCGCCTGATCGCCATCCTCCTCTCGGACCTGTACGTCGCCGACGCGCCTCCCCCGCCGCCGACCACCTCGTCGTCGACCGGCGCTGCCGCCGACAACTCGTCGTCCGACTCGTCCGCGCCCGAGCAGGCCCTGACGGACGACGACCGCCGCGCGCTCATCCTCGCCGCCGTCCGCGGCCGGCTCGGACCCGAGGTCGGCGCCCAGGCGCTCGCGCACGCCTTCAACGAGGTCGCGTTCGACGAGCACCGCCCGCCCAAGCCCATCGCGGCCCTCGCGCGCCTCGCCCCGGTCCCGGCCCTGTGCTCGGCAGAGCTCGCGCGCGCCGTCCTCGCCAAGTTTGGCAACCTCGACGGCGACGGCGCCAAGGGCAACGGCGGCGGCGGCGGCGGCGGCGGTGGCGGCGTCGAGATGCGCGTCGCGCAGCAGCTGTACGAGCTCCTCGACCTCGCTCAGCGCGAGGGCGATGCCGGTCGCGCCGGCGGCGGCGTCGACGTCGGCTCGTGGTTGCGCGCCGTGCACGAGGTGCACCCGGCCCTGCGGTGGGGCGACGTCCTGCGCGCCATGTCCGACTCGCCCATGCGGGCCCTCCCCGAGGGCCCGCTCGCCCTGCGCGCACTCGGCGTCGCCCTCACGCTGTCGCCCGCTCCGGCCCCGGCCAAGGACGACCCGCGCGCCAACGCGCCGCACCCGCACGGCCTCGTCAGCGGGCCGGGCGGCTCGAGCCTCGTGTCGGGCCTGTGGACCCCGTGGGCCAACCCGGCCGCGCAGGCCGCGCTCCTCGAGCGCCTCGTCTTCCTCGCGTCGACCCCCCTGCCGCCCGCCCCATCGTCGGCCACGTCGGCGCTCGGGCCCGAGGCAGACGGCGTCGGACTCGCGCTCGCGAGCCTGCCCGGCGTACACCGCGTTGTCGCCGTCGAGGACGCGGCCCAGTCGGGCCCGGCCATCAAGGCGCTCGCGGCGCAGGTGCAGGGCAGCTGCTGGAACGCGCAGGAGCTCACGGCCGCGCTCGTGAGGCTGTCGGGCGCGGTCGAGGGAGGAGAAGTCGCCGCGAGGGTGCACGACCTGATCGACCGAGGGTGCAAGACCAACCCGGAGCTCGTACTCGTCGCGCTCACCCAGATCGAGGTGCGTCCCTCTCTCTCTCTCTTTTTCTCTCTTTCCTCGCCGTGTCTCGCGCGCGAGAAAGTGACTGACCCAGTCGTCCTTTCACGCCCTGCAGAAGCCCTGGAACGCCGTCCACGCCGAGTTGACGGCTCGCCTCCTGTCGACCTTCCTCGCCGGCCACCCGGCGCATCAGCTCGTCTTCCTCCGCCTCCACCAGGTCGACCGTCAGTTCCTGTTCGCCGCCCTGCGTGACTTCTACGCCGAGAGCGAGATGAACGTCACGCGCATCGTCGACATCGCCCAGGACCTCAAGGCGCTCGACGACGTCCTGTCGCTCCGCCCATTCGTCCTCGCCCTCGACCTCGCCGCGCTCGCGAGCCGTCGCGAGTACCTCAACCTCGACAAGTGGCTCGCGACGCAGATGCAGCAGCACGGCGCCCAACTCGTGCGCGCCACGCTCGAGTTTGTCGGGCACAAGGTCCAGCACGAGCTGCGGCGCCAGGAGATGGACAACGCGCCCGAGCCGACGACGCTCGCGCTCAACGCCGCCACGATCGCCGTCTTCATGCGGGTCCTGCGTGCCCAGTGCGTCCTCGTTTCCCTCTCTCTCCTCCTCCTCCTCCTTCCCCCGTCGTCGTCGCCCTCAGGCCACCCTACTGACGTCTCGCTCTTCCCGCCCTCTCGCCGCGCAGCCACGAGCTGTTCACGGGCAACGACGTCGAGCTGTTCAAGGAGGTCCGGACCCAGTGCCTGCAACTGCACCCGCGCCTCATGAACTTTTCGCCCAAGAACACCGACACCGAGCCGGGCATGGCCGTCACGTCGTTCTCGCCGTCGATCGAGGCCGAGTGCGACTCGCTGTACAAGCGCATGTACGACCAGGAGGTGTCGGTCGACAAGGTCGTCGCCGCCCTGCGCCAGGCCAAGGAGTCGGACAACGAGCACGACCACGAGTTCTTTGCCTGTTTCCTCCACGGCCTGTTCGACGAGCACCGGTTCTTCAACACGTACCCGAGCAACGAGCTCACGCTCACGGCGTGCCTGTTTGGCGACCTCATCCAGTTCCACCTCATCGACTTTGTCCCGCTCGGCATCGCCGTGCGGTACGTCCTCGACGCGTTGCGCAACCCGCCCGAGTCGAACTGGTTCCGGTTCGGCATCCAGGCCCTCGCGCGGTTCCAGGGCCGCCTCAGCGAGTGGCCCCAGCTCGCCCACTCGATCCTGTCGATCCCGCACGTCCAGCAGCTCCACCCGGACGTCGCCAACACGGCCCGCCAGGCCCTCCTGCAGCGCGAGAACGGCTCGGCCGGCAACGGCACCGGCGGCGGCGGCGGCAACGGCGCCCCGGGCGGCGCAGAGCTCGGCGACCTGTCGGCGGCGCGGTCGCCGGCGCACCACGCGCTCGAGACGCCGGCGGCGCAGCAGCAGGCGCCGCAAGAACCCGAGCGCCTCGCGTTCACGGCCATCCACGTCGAGGACGACGGCGGCGACCCCGAGGCGCCCGACGAGCAGACGTCGGACAAGATCCTCTTCATCGTCAACAACCTCGCGCCCAACAACTTCGAGAGCAAGGTGGCCGACATGATGACGCGCATCGAGGCGCACCACTTCGCGTGGTTCGCCCACTACCTCGTCGCGCAACGCGTCTCGATCGAGCCCAACAACCACGCCCTGTACCAGCAGTTCCTCGAGGCGCTCGACAAGCCGACGCTCGTGCGCCGGGTCCTGTACGAGACGTTTGTCAAGCTGGCGACGCTCCTCAACTCGGACAAGACGGTCCAGTCGTCGACCGAGCGCACGCTCCTCAAGAACCTCGGCTCGTGGCTCGGTGGCCTCACGCTCGCCAAGGACAAGCCGATCAAGCAGAGCAACATCGCGTTCAAGCAGCTCCTCATCGAGGGCTACGACTCGAACCGCCTCATCGTCGCCATCCCCTTTGTCTGCAAGGTCCTCGAGCAGTGCGCCAAGTCGCGTGTGTTCCGCCCGCCCAACCCGTGGCTCATGGCCATCCTCCGCCTCCTCGTCGAGCTGTACCAGTTCGCCGAGCTCAAGCTCAACCTCAAGTTCGAGATCGAGGTCCTGTGCAAGAGCCTCGACGTCGACCTCAAGGACGTCGAGCCGACCGAGCTGTTGCGCAACCGCCCCAAGGAGCTCGCCGCCGCCGCCGCCGCCGCCGCCGCCCAGGTCGCCCAACAGCAACAGCAGCAGCAGCTCGCCGCCCTCGCCGCACAGCAACAGGGGCAAGGTGGCGCCCCCTCGTCGGTCGACATCGCGCTCGCCAACCTCGCCGCCCAACAGCAGCAGCACCAGCAGCAGGCCCAGCTCGGCGCCCAGGCCCACGACGCCGACGAGCTCGCGCTCCGTGCCGGGTTTGCTGGTCCTGTCGCGCACCACACGCTCCCGGCCGTCGGTAGCGGCGGCGGCGCAGGCGAGCCGGGCCGGCTCCCGCCCATGCTCGGCCAGAACCAGCCAGGGTACTCGCTCTCGCTCCAAGGTGCGTCCCTCTCTCTCTCTCTCTCCCTCTGAGGGCGCCCCGACTGACTCTTTTGCGCCTCGCTCGCACGCACGACACGCAGACACGGTCTCGGCGGCGCTCGCCAACCTGCCGCAGCACATCGTCTTCAACGCGCAGCTGCCGATGTTTTCGAGTAACCCGGCGCTCAAGCGGCTCGTGTGCCTCGCCATCGACCGCGCCATCCGCGAGATCATCGCGCCCGTCGTCGAGCGCTCGGTCACGATCGCCGGCATCTCGACGCGCGAGCTCACGATGAAGGACTTTGCGATGGAGGGCGACGAGAGCAAGATGGCGACGGCGGCGCACCTCATGGTCCAGAACCTCGCCGGCAGCCTCGCCCTCGTCACGTGCAAGGAGCCGCTCCGCCTGAGCATGGTCGCCCACACGCGCACGCTCCTCCTCCAGAACGGCTTCACCGACGAGTCGCTCCCGGAGCAGGCCGTCCTCGTCCTCGTCGCCGAGAACCTCGACGTCGCGTGCAGCATCGTCGAGAAGGTCGCCATGGACAAGGCCGTCCTCGAGGTCGACGAGGGCCTGTCGCCGGCCTACCTGTCGCGTCGCGCGCACCGCGAGCGCTCGCGCGAGGCGTTCTGGGACACGGCCGCCATGGCCGCGTCGCACTACTCGGGCATGCTCCCCGACCCGCTCCGCCTCAAACTGGGCGGCCTGTCGATGCAGCAGCTCCAAGTGTACGAGGACTTTGCACGCTTGCGCACGCCGGCGCCGCCGGGCACCCTCCCGGGCCTCCCGGGCGGCGGCGGCGTTGGCATGCCCGGCGGCGGCCCGAACGGCGCCGGCGTCCTGTACGCCGACTCGCCGGCCATGGCGGCCGCCGTCGCGCCGCAGGCGGCCGTCGTCGCGCAGCAGGCGGCCCAGGCCGCCGTCGAGTCGGCCGCCATGAGCGCGCCGCAGGCCATGGAGCGGTTTGCGGCGCTCGTCGCCGACCTCGACAAGGCGCTCGCGACCGAGTCGGCGCCGGCCCTGACGGGCGTCGGCCAGGAGAGCGACCTGCGGCGCATCGTGCAGCAGATCCCGGTCATCGCCGCGAGCTCGGCCGCGCGCGACGAGACGGCGCTCGCGTGCTCGCAAAAGGTCGTCCAGCTCCTGTACCGCAGCGAGACGACGCTCGCGCGCGACGCGTACGTGTTCCTCCTCGACCGCCTGTGCGCCATCTCGCCCAAGGTGGCCAAGGAGGTGACGATGTGGCTCGTGTACGCCGAGGACGAGCGCAAGTTCAACGTGCCCGTCACGGTCGCGCTCCTCCACGCGCGCTTCATCAACGTGTCGGAGCTCGACGTTCAGCTCGCCAAGTTCGTCGTGCGCGACTTCCGAGCGTCGGTCGTCGACTTTGTCGCCAGCCTCCTCACTGCGTGCCTCGCCGAGGTGCCGCCGGTCGCGACCCGCGAGCAGTTCAGCAACGCGTTCGAGGCGCTCGGCCAGGCCGTGCGCCAGGGCAAGGCGACCGACGCGGCGCGCACGCTCCTCCAGGACGTCCAGACGCGCGGCACCGTCAACGTGCGGGCCCTGTCGCCGGGCAAGTTCCAGTCGAGCGACGAGCCGGCTGCGCGCGAGCAGCTCACGTTCTGCTTCGCCGAGTGGGTGCGCCTGTACCAGCAGTCGTTCAACGTCGAGAAGTCGTTCGTCGACTTTGTCGTCCAGCTCCAGAAGCAGGGCATCCTCAAGGGCGAGGAGATCTCGTCCCTCTTCTTCCGCGTGTGCGCCGAGGTGTCGGTCGACAGCTACATCAAGAACAAGGCGGCGGGCGGCACGCCGGCGACGGGCATCTTCCAGCCGGTCGACGCCTTTGCGCGCCTCGTCACCTTCATGATCAAGTACCACGCCGACCCGACGGGCGCCAACAACGACAAGGCCAAGGTGCACTACATGACCAAGGTCCTGTCGATCGTCGTCCTCGTCCTCGCCGCGTCGCACGAGGAGCTCGGGATCCACTTTATCGCCAAGCCGTTCTACCGGTTCTTCTCGAGCCTGCTCGCCAACCTCGCCAGCATCGAGAGCCACCTCGGCGCCGCCTACCCGCAGATCCTCATCGCCATCAGGTCCGCCCGCCGCTCTCTCTCTCTCTCTCTTCCGTCGTCGCGCTGTTACTGACGCCCTCTCTCTCCCCTCTCTCTCTCCTACCCCTCTCTCTCCCGCCACAGCTCGTCGCTCAACACGATCCAGCCGAGCTTCTTCGTCGGGTTCACCTTCTCGTGGGTGACGCTCATCTCGAGCCGGTACTTCATGCCCAAGCTCCTGATGATGGACGAGCCGCGCGAGGGGGGGTACGCGGCGTTCCTGCGCCAACTCGTGTCGCTCATGCGGTTCCTCGCGCCGCACCTCAAGCGGGGCCAGTTGAGCGAGCCGATCCGGCTCCTGTACGTCGGCACCGAGCGGGTCCTCCTCGTCCTCCTGCACTCGTTCCCCGACTTCCTGTCGCAAGCCGCGCCGGCCTTGGTCGACACGCTCCCGCACGAGGCGGTCCACTTGAAGAACCTCATCGTGCGTCTTCGTGTCTCTCTCTCTCTCGCCGCACGAGCGTCGTCAACTGACTCGGCGCCTCCTCGCAGAACTCGGCGTTCCCGATCCAGACGAGCAATGTCCTGTTGCCCGACCCGCTCGACGCGACGTCCGCCGACCCGGACCCTCAAGGTCTGCAAGTGCCCCTGTCGATCGTCGACCCGGCTGCAAGCCTCGGCGCCGCAGGCTTACGCACGGTCGTCGACTCGTGGCTCGACAAGGCGGCCCCTGTCGACTTGCCCTCCAAGCTCTACGAGCGGCTCGTCGCCGCCGGGCCCGAGGCGCCGGTCATCAACGGCCTCGTTGCGCACCTCATGCGTCACGGCACGAGCGGCGGCGGCACGTCGTACAACCACGACGCGCCCTCGGCACGCCTCCTCCGCGACCTCGTTCAGCGTGACGACCCGGCCTTGAGGTACGCCCTCCTGTCGGGCGTCGCCAACGCTCTCCGCTGGCCCAACCTCCACTCGCACTGGGCGACGACCGCGCTCCTCGACTTGTTCGCCTCGGGCGAGCGCGAGTCGGTCCTGCGAGTCGTCCTCGAGCGTGCCACCACGTGCCGGCCCGTGCCACACGCCGTAACCGCGGCGCTCACGCAGCTCCTTCACCTCCACGGTCCCGCCGTCGAGGAGACCCTCGCCGCCGCCCTTCCCGCCAACGACCCCGGCGCGAACCTTCTCAAGGAGCACCTCGCCCGTCTCGCATCGGGCCCTCGGTCCACCGCTCCTCAGTAGTGCCCCCTCCCCCTCCTTGAATACCTCTCCCTCTCCTTCTCTGTCTGTAAGCGTACCCTGTAAATTTCGTCGTCGCCCGTCCTCCTCCTCTCTCTCTCGGCAGCGAGAACGAGAGCGACAGCGAGAGCCCGCTCAGGGAGGAGAAAGGGCGAGCTGCCGCACGGACCCCCTCCTTCTCTCGCGGCGCGGCGCGGCTGTAGCCCCGAGCGAGATTTAGAAAGCGAGAGCGAGGAGAGCCAGAGACTGGGTCCGTGCGTCCCGTCCTGCTGTCCTCTGCTGGGCCGCGCATGACGTTGAGTACGAGCCTTTGTCTCTCGACAGCTGGGCGAAAGCGGGCCTGGCGCTCGCGGCGACCCTCGCCTTCCTGTCCTCCCTCTTCCTCGCTGTCTTCGCCGGCTCGCGCGACGCCTGTCGCGCCCTCGCTCGTGCGAGTCTCTCGTTTCGGACTCTCTTTCCCAGTCTCTCTCTCTCTTGCAGTGTCTTGCACCCGGACAGCTTGAGAAACTCGAAGCTCAGCGAAGAGAGAGAAACTTCCTCTCCCTCCCTTTTCTGCGCACGGTCGTATGCCCGCTCTCTTGGTATCGCCGCCCACATGGCTCTGCGCATGCTCAAACGTCTCACCGCGTCGAGTCAGGGCTGTTCCGGCTCAGGAAGAGCAGTGCTGCAAGCTCAAAAGCGGCCTGACGTTCCTGCTCTTCGTCCACCTCCGTGCACGGTCCGCGCGCGCTCGCTCTCGCGTGCGCCCTCCGAACGGCCTCCCTCGGGCTTGACTTCTGCTTGACTTTCGCTTCCGCTCGCTCGAACGGAGGGGCTCGACCGCACTCTCCAGCCTCTCTCCTTTGCGGCTACCTGCAGCGACGCTGCTCTTCTGTCACGATGGAGCGAACGTCTCAAAGGCGAGCGACTCGCCGACTTCAAGTCTGCGCCCGGGGCGCGAGGGGCAAGAACGTCCGCTCGAGCTTTGCGCGTTGCCGCTCGGACCGTCGTCTCCGCCTCGACGTCGAGGACACGTCCTCGTGGCCGAGGCGGGACCGCACGGCTGACTGACGTCGAGCCGGGCTCGGCGGCAGCAGAACCGCGAGTCGGGCGCCGCCGTCCGTTTTCAACGCGTCGGCGAAACGCTCTCGGGTTTCGTCGATGCGTGATGATGCTCGTTCTCATGGTTTCGTCGATGCGTGACGATGCTCGTTCTCAGAGGTAGTGCGACCACAGCGAGGAGAGGAAAGGATAGGACGCAGGCGAGCGCACAGCCGTGTCCAGCGTCCGCTGAGGCGACCTTCCCAAGTCGCATCGCCTGCCCGGCGATTCGCCGCCAGTCTCGCAGCCTCTCTCGGTCCCGCTCCCGGCATCGAGGTTACTCGCTTCGAGTCGCGCACGATCCTGAGGGACCCCGCGCGTCGTCGCCTGCCGAGGAGTCGCGAGACTCGAGCGAGCCTCACTCGCTCGCTCTCGGTGCCGGCACGCGGCTGGCCAGGTCGACTCGCACGGACCCATTCACTCGCTCCCGCTCTCGCTCTCGCCCTCGCTCTCGCTTTCGAGTCTCGGGCGGGGCCAGTCGTGCCGCGCCGCGCGAGAGGGCGAGCTGCCGCACGGACCCCCTCTCTCCTCGCTGAGCGGGCTCTCGCTCGCTGTCGCTGCCGAGAGAGAGAGGAGGAGGACGGGCGACGACGAAATTTACAGGGTACGCTGACAGACAGAGAAGGAGAGGGAGAGGTATTCAAGGAGGGGGAGGGGGCACTACTGAGGAGCGGTGGACCGAGGGCCCGATGCGAGACGGGCGAGGTGCTCCTTGAGAAGGTTCGCGCCGGGGTCGTTGGCGGGAAGGGCGGGGGCGAGGGTCTCCTCGACGGCGGGACCATGGAGGTGAAGGAGCTGCGTGAGCGCCGCGGTTACGGCGTGTGGCACGGGCCGGCACGTGGTGGCACGCTCGAGGACGACTCGCAGGACCGACTCGCGCTCGCCCGAGGCGAACAAGTCGAGGAGCGCGGTCGTCGCCCAGTGCGAGTGGAGGTTGGGCCAGCGGAGAGCGTTGGCGACGCCCGACAGGAGGGCGTACCTCAAGGCCGGGTCGTCACGCTGAACGAGGTCGCGGAGGAGGCGTGCCGAGGGCGCGTCGTGGTTGTACGACGTGCCGCCGCCGCTCGTGCCGTGACGCATGAGGTGCGCAACGAGGCCGTTGATGACCGGCGCCTCGGGCCCGGCGGCGACGAGCCGCTCGTAGAGCTTGGAGGGCAAGTCGACGGGGGTCGCCTTGTCGAGCCACGAGTCGACGACCGTGCGCAAGCCTGCGGCGCCGAGGCTTGCAGCTGGGTCGACGATCGACAGGGGCACTTGCAGACCTTGAGGGTTCGGGTCGGCGGACGTCGCGTCGAGCGGGTCAGGCAACAGGACATTGCTCGTCTGGATCGGGAACGCCGAGTTCTGCGAGGAGGCGCCGAGTCAGTTGACGACGCTCGTGCGGCGAGAGAGAGAGAGAAAGGAAGACGCACGATGAGGTTCTTCAAGTGGACCGCCTCGTGCGGGAGCGTGTCGACCAAGGCCGGCGCGGCTTGCGACAGGAAGTCGGGGAACGAGTGCAGGAGGACGAGGAGGACCCGCTCGGTGCCGACGTACAGGCGGGCGGGATCGTCTCGCCGGGCTTGCTCTCTGAGCGCAAGCGGGGGAAAGGAAAAAGAGAGAGCGCGTGACAGGACAACCCCGGGGAAAGGAGAAAGAGGGAAAGAGAGAGAGAGAGAGAGAGAGAGAGAGAGAGGCTACGACAAAAGAGGGGGAGCGCCACACGCCAAAGCAGAGACCCCAAGACGTCCCTGCGCCCCGTACCGACCGAGACGCACACGCGAGACAGAAAGCCGACCCTCCTGCGCCCCCTCGTCCCGCTCGACCGGGCCAACCGACCGACCGCCCGCCCGCCCGCCCTCGACCGACCGACCGACCGAACACGCCGACGCCTAGCTCGTGCGCGGGTGCTGCATCCTGAGCATCTCGAGCACGTCGTCGTCCTCGAGCAGTCCAGCCTCGTACGCAATGACCTCGAGCTCGCCCTCGAGGAAGCCGCCCTCGAGGGTCGACTCGCCGCTCGCGCCGTCGGCCTCGCGCGTGTAGGTCGGCGGGCCCGCGTGCGACTCGCCGTCGGGCGTGTCGCTGTCGAGGAGCGGGGGCGGGCGCGGGATCAAGGGTGCGAGGCGTGACGAGGGGGGCGCGAGCGGGAGTGGGAAGGGGAGGTCGAGGAGCGTGGGCGGGATCGAGGTGTGCGTCGGGCGGACGATGGTGCTGTCACGTGGTGGGCGAGGGTGGCACGAGATCGTGGACGAGGGAGGAAGAGCGGCGAGGGGGGGAGGGGGCGGAGGAAGGGGGGACGAGGAGCAAGTCAGGACAGGTTCGAACGCGCCGCCCACCGAGAGCAAGGGAGAGCGGGGCGCACCTGCGCTTGCCCCTGCGAGCCTGGACCATGCTCGCGAGCTTCATCTTTTTGACGTGCTGCTGGGCGCACCAGTCGAGAGCCGCCTGGAGGCGCTCCTCGACCCACGCCGCCTCGTCGACGGCGAGCCGCACGGCGCGCAGTGTCTCGGCGCCTTGCTGCCCGCGCACGAGGCCGGCCCAGCAGCCGATGAGGTCTGTTGCGCGGGGGACGTCAGGGCTTGAGGTTCTCGCGGTCGCTCGATCGAGAGGGAAGAGGGAAAGAGGGGCCGTGGGACGCACTCTTCTGGACGGCGTCCTTGAGGGCGTACTGCCTGAGGGACAGTGCGGCATGCCTCGTCGCCCACGAGTAGTGCGCGAGCTCGAGGCCGTGCTCGGTGAGGGTGCCCTCGAGGAACTGGGCGTCGGCCGAGCGCGAGATGTGCGGCGGGATCGGGGGCGGTGCAGGGGGCTGCGACGTGCGCGACAGCGGGATGACCGGGCTGCGGAAGTTGCTCACGCGCTCCTGGAGGTTGGTGATGCCGCCGACGAGGGCGTAGATGGCGATGTCGGCCATGGTGGACGGGACGAGGGCGGAGCCGAGACGAGGGTGCGAGGAAGAGGGGGAGGACGAGGTCGAGGGCGAGGCGTCGCGGGGCGGTGCGCGGTGGGTCGGGACTGGGTTGCAAAGGCGGTGCGAGTGCTCTGGTGCGAGTGCGCCTTGTGCCGAGGGCGAGGTGAGGGCGAGAGGGGATGCCGAAGTCGAGAGAGCGGGGGAACGTGGCGGCGAGGGCGGCACAGGTCGCGGCGAGTCGAGGGCGCGTCGGCGGGTGGTGCGAGCGGCGCAAGAGGTATCGGTGCTGAAGGGAGCGCGTCTCTGGCCAGCCAGGCGGGGTGAGGAGGGGGGAGGAGGACGAGGTCGCCCCGGCTCTCCGCCTCCGCCTCCTCGCGACGAGCTGCGAAGGCCCAGATCGCCAAGTCGACGACAGCGCTCTCTCGTCGCTCAGGCTTTGCACGCACAGCCGCACACATCGCTCACTCACTCACTCACTCACTCACTCACTCACTCACTCACTCACTCACTCGACGAACCCTCGTCGCACGGCGAGCTCTCGGAAACGAAGGAGGGACCGTGCACGCGAGAACGGCATTCTAGTGCAAGGCGAAGGACACTACCAGACGGTGAGAGAACTGCAGACGAGATGGATGAAGATGCTGAGAGAATGACGACGACGACGACCACGGGCGATGCCCCCCTCTCGGCGCTCGGCACGAACGGGCCCCTCTTGGCGTCGTTGCCCGACCTCCTCGCGCGCCCGCCCTCGCGGCGCAGCGCTGCCCTCGGGCCGCTCATGCAGGGTCTGTGCGTCGAGAGGAAACAGGTTCAGTCGCGCTCGTCGGACAGCTGGCTAGGGCCTCGCGAGGAGAGGTCCGCCGGCGAGAGACGAGGAGGACGAGGAGGACGAGAGGGACGCACAGACGACGTTGAGCACCCACAGGCCCGCAAAGATGGCCGCGAACCTTACCCTCAAGTCGGTCGCAAGCACCTTGCCCGCCTTCTGGAGCGCCCCACCGCGCCCGTGCGCGTCGAGCGCCGCGAGCGCGTCACCGGCGCTCTCCCTCTCGCGCTCCTTGTCGGCGCCGGCGCCGTCGCTCGCGCCGCCGCCGACGGTCGACAGCGCGACGTACTCTCCCGCCGCCGGGTGCGCGCTCGCGACCGTCGCCGAGGGCGGGTCGGCGGGGACGGCCATGGCGTCGCGCGACGACGACGGCAGGCGCGACGCGGCGGCGGCCGAGGGGGACGCCTGCTTGGGCACGTAGCAGATCATGGCCGTGAGGACGCCCGTCGCGATCGCCACCTGGTTCGAGACGTAGACGAACTGCGGGCGACGACGACGCGAGTCAGGGAGGGTCGTCGTGCGAGTGAGGAGGGAGGGAAGGGGAGCGAGGGGGGACGCACGACGAGCGACGTGATGACAAAGTTGAGCGGCCGCATCCAGGCACCGCCAGGGATCATCATGATGATGCCGCGAGTGCTGCAGGACCAAGAGCGAGTGAGCTCGAGTGCTCGGACCGCAACCCCGAGAAAGAAAGAGAGAGGGAGAGGACGCACTCGCCGGCGATGAAGAAGTGGAACTGGATGATGAACGTCTCGAGCGAGCACTGGCCAAAGTAGATGAAGAACCAGCTGCTCGTCGACCGGAGCCAGGGCGTCGCGTTGCGCAGGACGATAAAGGCGAGGACGGGCACGGCGCTCACGTACGGGTGGCTCGCGTTGTACACAAACTTGGACTCGCGCGTGAGCTCGAACGCAAAGTAGCCCGCCATGGCGAGCGCCGACGCTGCGACGGCGAGGCGCGACCAGGTCGGCCACCGCGGGTCGTCCGGGATGCGGTGCTCCTTGATCTTGAGGAACGCGAACGCGGTCAACATGCCGACCCAGACGATCCACATGTCGAGCGTCTGGCGGAACCGCCACTCGCCCGCGTTCCAGTTGGTCGCAAACACCGTGTTGATGACCGAGAACGTCTTTTCGAGCGGGCCCGGGATCTCGAAGAAGCACGCCGTGACGGCTGCGGCGACGACGAGCTTGACGAGGAGGAACGCCGAGTTGCCGTTGAGCTTGTGGCCGGCCCACAGCGTGACCCAGATGATGCCGAACCCTGCGGCACGGGCAGAGAGTCAGTGACGCGGACCCGAGAGAGAGAGAGAGGGGTGGACGCACAGATGGTGACGAGGGGCGAGAAGTAGTAGCTCAGGTAGTCGGTGTCCATGAGGTACGACAGGACGACCGTGAGGAGGTTGAGGCGGATCAAGATGTTGGCGACGCGCGCGAACCCAAAGTCGGCCTTCTTGAGGAAAAAGCTCAGGTGGCCGTACCCGCTCATGAACAGGTACGCGGCGACGAGGACCCGGATCGGGTTGTAGATGCCCGACACCTTGCTCGCGCCGACATAGTGGTACACGAGGATCGCGATCTGCATCCACCCTTTCCACTCGTCCGTCTGGTCGCGGTTGAGGAACCCGAGGTCCTTGTCGGCCGGCTTGAGCGTCGCCGCACCCGCCGCGAGCGCCGCGACGCACAGGACGCCAAACGTCGCCGCGTCGTACTGCTTGTTCTCCTTGAGGAACAGGTTGGTGCGGTCGGCGACAAACAGGAGCGACGTGGCGAACCCAAAGACGGTCATCGGGACGAGGTACTTTTGGTCGGGGAAGTAGCGGAACACTCGGGGCTCGGCTGCGCGCGTGCGTGCGGCGAGTCAGTCTCGCGGCGGTCGAGGTCGAGGAGGGAGAGAGAGAGGGGGGGACGCACGCTGCGAGTGGTAGTACAGGCCGAGGGGCGCGTACCCGACGAGGAAGACGAGGAGGAGCGCCTGGACCCAGTTGGGCGTCGGGTACTGGAAGCAGCACGTCTTGTCGAACGGGAACTTTTTGGGCAGGGCGTCGTTGCAGCGCAGGTTGAGGAGGATGCTCGCCTGCACCTTGCTGACCGTGTCGGAAAAGTGCAGGCCGTCGACCGTCTCGTCGTCGAGGCCGTCGATGACCTTGTTGAACGCGCGCGGGACGGCGAGTCCACCGCCGGACGCACCGGGCGCCGGGCCCTTTTCAAACGCGGCGGCGACGAGCCGGGTCGTGATGCGGTCGTTCATCTTCTGGATGTCGTCGCCGTGGACGGTCGCGGCGCGCTCGGGGCTCAGGCGCGACTCGATCGCGTTCTCGACGGGGAGGAGGATGACCTCGTCGGCGATGGCGGGCACGCCGGCCTTTGTCGACTGGAACAGGCGCTCCATCTGGCGGTCCCACGTCTGGATCCCGCCCGAGTCCGGGTGCCGCAGGTACCAGATGCCGCCGCCGACGACAGCCATGGTCGGGATCGTGCCGCCGCGCTGACCCGACTTGGTGGTCGACCCGAGGCGGCCGTCAAAGAGCTCTTGGGCGCGCGTGCCGTTGAGGAACGGGTCCCAGAAAAAGTCAAACTGGATGCCGCCCGCCGAGATGCTGCGGTCCGAGTGCTTCTCGGCCGTCGTCTCGACGTTCTTGTCGACGTGCTTGACGACGGCGTCTGGCGGCGGCGAGTGCGGGTACGGGGTCGAGGTCAGCTCGCGAGGTCGAGGGGACGAGGGGGACGAGAGCCCTCGGTGGGAGAGAGCAACAGGGGAGAGTAGGACGCACAGAAGACCTGGCGCACGGTCGAGTCGCCGATAAAGACGACCTGGCGGCCCTCGAGGCACTGGCCGACCTGCTTGGGCGAGTACGGGTGGAGCATGCAGCCGTCGGGCTGCCAGCTCGTGTGGGCGTCGTCGAGCCATCGGCCCTCGTTGAGGAGCGCCTTGCAGTGGTGGCGGTCGCCCGAGTCTGTTTTTGCCGCGGGGACACGAGAAGGGTCAGTACGAGGTGCTGGTCGAGCTCGTCGGGGTGGAGGAGGGTCTGGGCGAGGGGGCGGAGAGACGAGGTGGGCCCGTCGCGCCTGGCTCGGGAGCAGCGCGCGCCTGGACGCACGAGCCTCGAGTGTTGCCCGTGCGACTCGATGCGCCGCCCTGCGCAGCTGGCGGGCGTGATGCGGGTCGCCGTCACGGAGCGACCAGCCCTCACCCCACATGTCGCTCGCCGCGTCGCTCGTCGCGCGTCGGGGTAGCACGACCGCGTATGTGCGCTCGAGAGGGGGACACGAGGGGCCGAGAGGAAAGGAGGACTCGCCCTGGATGAAGAAGCGGAAGATGGCGAGGGCGAGGACGAGGGCGAGGAGGGAGCCGTGGAGCGAGTGGGTTGGGAACTTGCGCCGCGCGTCGGGGTCCTTGGCGGTCGCGGGCATGGTCGGGCGTGCGCGGCCACACGAGCTGTCGCGGTACGGCTCGGGGGCGACGAGGAGGAGGACGAGCGACCAGAGTTGACGGAGTTCCTGGAGCGGCCACCGCGGCCGAGACAACACTCGTCGTTGCTCACAAGCAAGCGGTGCAGCGAGTGCAGAGCTGCTGTGGTAGCATTGAGAAGCACTCCCAGTCCACTGCTCAGTAGCACCCAGAGAGAGAGAGAGAGGTGTCTCGGCGCCATCACTCGTCCTCGTCCCTCTCCAGGCTCCTCCTCGCTCTCCCCACGGCTCTCGCCCGTCTCGCTCCCACCCTACGCCTCGCCTGCCTGCTCCCGACGAGGCACCAGCGACGCGCCATGGTCACCTACAGCGACCTCGCCGCCCTCCTCCCGCTCACCGTTCCCGTCCCGACCCTCGCCTCGCACCCTCACCTCGTGCGCGTCGACCACCTCTCGACCGAGCACGACCTCCTGCGCAACCCAGACAGCCTTGAGCGCTGGCAGGCCTACCTCCAAGTCGTCCACGACGAGACCGACGCCGCCCTGCGCGACGCCCGCGGCCATGCTTCCGGCGTCGAGCGCATCCTCCTCGGCGACCGCCTGTCGACCGCCCAGGGCCGCGACTGCCTACAGCGCCTCACCGACCTGTACGAGCGCGCCCTCGCCCACCACCCGCGCAGCTACGCCCTGTGGCACAAGTACCTGCGCACCCGCGCCCTCTTCGTCCTCGGCCAGCCCGCAAACCCGCTCAAGCTCGGCGCACCCCGCAAGCGCCGCGGCGACGACGGCGTTGGGCGCACCATGACCGAGTGGCTCGAGGCGGGCAAGGGCGAGGTCGACGACATCGAGGACGGCGAGCGCGACTACGAATCCCAGTGGGACGGCGCCCTCGACGGCGTCCTCGGCTTCGACGAGTGGCGCTCGCTCGCCGCCGCGTACGAGCGTGCCCTCATGTTCCTGCCTCAGGTGCGTCCCCCTTTCCCCTCTCTCGAAACGCCCCTCTCTCTCGAAACGACGTCCTCACCCGCTCGCCGCCCGCAGATGCCCCGCCTGTGGCTCTCGTACCTCACCCTGTTCGTCCACCCGTCGTGCCCCTCGGCCCTGTCGCACACCCACGCCCGTCGGACGTTCGACCGCGCGCTGCGCACCCTCCCGCCCTCGCTCCACGAGCGCATCTGGCACCTGTACCTCACCTGGGCCTCGCCCTCGTCGCCCGCGGCCCCCTCGGCGTCGACCATCGTCCACGTGTGGCGCCGGTACCTCGAGCGCGACCCGTCCCCGACCTCGCACTACATCCGCAACGTCCTCCTCGCCCTCGAACCCGCACCGCGCCCGCTCGAGGCCGCAAAGCGGCTCCTCGCCCTCGCGCGACTGACCCACTCGGGCCAGTACAAGCACCCGACCGGCGCCGCGGGCGAGTTCAAGAGCGCCCACCAGCTCGTCGTCGAGTGGCTCGACGTGTGCGAGCAGTTCCCGGACGAGGTCGGCCTCGACGCCGACGAGAGCGAGCGGCTGCGCGAGGAGCGGGCGGCTGCCGCCTCGGCGTCGTCGGGCGAGGGCGCGCTCGAGGTCGCGACCAACGGCGCCGCCGCCGCCGCCGCAGTCGACGGCAAGAAGGCCGCCCGCGCCGAGCTGCCGCCCCTCGACGCGGCCACGCTCGACCCGACCTCGCCGACCAAGCTCGACGTCGACCACCTCGTGCGCACGCACGGCCTCGCCCTCTTTGGCGACCAGGCCGGGCGCCTGTGGACCGGCCTCGCGACGTACTGGATCAAGCGCGGCGAGTTTGCCGTCGCGCGGCGCACGTTCGACGAGGCGCTCGACGCCGTCGTCACCTTGCGCGACTTTACCCAGGTGTTTGACGCGTACGCCGAGTTTGAGGAGAGCTACATCTCGGGCCTCATGGAGGCTGTTGCCGACGCCGAGGACGAGGGCGAGGGCGACGACGAGGACAAGAAGGACGACGAGGACGAGCTCGACGAGCGCATGAGGGCGTTCGAGGACTTGATGGACCGCCGGCCGTTCCTCGTCAACGAGGTGCTGCTGCGCCGCAACCCGAACGACGTCCAAGAGTGGGAGAAGCGCGTCGCACTGTTTGGCACCGACGACGAGAAGGTGCGTCCCCTCTCCTCTCTCCTCCCTCTCTCTCTCTCTCTTTCACCTCGACTGACTCTTCTCCCTCGACGACCCGCCCCTCACTCACACACAGGTCGCCGAGACGTACACGCTCGCGACGACGTCGCTCAACCCTCGCAAGGCGGTCGGCGCCTTCCACCTCCTGTGGGTCCACTTTGCCAAGTTTTACGAGCAAGGGGGCACGACGGGCGACGCCGACCGCGACCTCGCGAGCGCGCGCAAGGTGTTTGAAAAAGCTGTGCGTGTCCCGTTTCGCCGCGTCGACGAGCTTGCCGAGGTGTGGTGCGAGTGGGCAGAGATGGAGGTCCGCAACGAGTGCGTCTCTCCCTCCCTCTCGCTCTCTCTCTCTCTCTTTGTGGCGAGTGCGGGACTGACTCGAGGGCATGTGCGCGCAGGAACTACGACGAGGCGATCAAGGTGATGCAGCGCGCGGCGGCCATCCCCAAGAACTGGAAGACGATCTCGTTCCACGACGACGTGCGTCCTCGTCCTCCCTCTCGCACACACACACACACACACACACACACACTGACACTTCGTCGGCGCCCGCAGAACCTGCCGCCGCAGCACCGCCTGTTCAAGTCGCTCAAGCTGTGGTCGTTCTACGTCGACCTCGAGGAGTCGATCGGGACGGTCGAGACGACAAAGGCCGTGTACGACCGCATCTTTGAGCTCAAGATCGCCAACGCCCAGGTCGTCATCAACTTTGCCAACTTCCTCGAGGAGAACGAGTACTGGGAGGAGAGCTTCAAGGTGCGTCGGCAGTCGTTCCTCTCGTCCTCCTTCCTGCGTCGTCGTGCGGGACGAGCGTCCTCGTGCTGCGGCGCTTCGGGGTTCTGGATTGACTGACCCACACTCTCTCACGCAGGTGTACGAGCGCGGCGTCGACCTGTTCACGTTCCCGATCGCGTTCGAGATCTGGAACGCCTACCTGAGCAAGTTCATCAAGCGCTACGTGCGTCCTCGCTCTCCCTTCTCCTCTCTCGGACTCGTCTCGAGGCGCCCGACTGACTCGCTCTCGCCTTGCGCCCGAAACAGGGTGGCACCAAGCTCGAGCGTGCGCGAGACCTGTTCGAGCAGGCCCTCGAGACGTGCCCGCCCAAGTACTGCAAGCCCCTGTTCCTCCTGTACGGCCAGCTCGAGGAGGAGCACGGCTTGGCCAAGCGCGCCATGGCCGTGTACGACCGCGCGACGAGGGCCGTCGAGGCCAAGGACCGCATGGAGGTGCGCTTTGACCCTCTCTCTCTCTCTTCTCGCGCCCTCCCCTCCCCGAGCGCCGTCCCTGACCCCTCTCGCCGCCCGCCGCAGATGTTCACCTACTACATCGCGCGCGCCACGTCGTCGTTCGGCCTCCCCGCGACGCGACCCATCTACGAGCGCGCGATCGAGGCCCTCCCCGACTCGCAGACGGCCGAGATGTGCCTCCGGTTCGCGGCGCTCGAGCGCAAGCTCGGCGAGATTGACCGGGCGCGGGCGGTGTACGCCCACGCGAGCCAGTTCTGCGACCCGAGGACCAACCCCGAGTTCTGGGCCCAGTGGAACGCGTTCGAGATCGAGACGGGCTCCGAGGACACGTTCCGCGAGGTGCGTCCCCTCTCTCTCTCTCTCACTCTCTCGCCCGACGTGGTACTGACACACACACACTCTCTCTCGCAGTACCTGCGCATCAAGCGCGCCGTCCAAGCCGCGTTCAACACCGAGTCGTCGTACCTGTCGGCCAAGCTCGCCCAGATGCAGAAGGGCGGCCAGGCGGCGCGCGAGGCCGTCGAGGGCCAGCAGGTCGTCGACCCTATGGCGGCGCTCGACCAGGCGACGGGCGTGCGCGGCTTTGTCGCGGCGAGCACGGGCGTCGTTGGCGGCCAGCAGCAGCCAGGGGCGGCGCACGAGGACGGCGAGGGCCAGCCGGCCAACGCCGACGAGATCGTCATGGACGACGATGACGACGACGACGACGAGTAGTACACTGTGCGGGTCGTGCAAAAGGCGCCGGCAGTGAGCAGAGCGCGAGAGGGTCGTCGAGAGCGCGGGTCCGGGAGCTCGTCCGAAGTACCGCACTTGGCTCCTCCCCGCTGGTTGGGCGCGCCGTTCCCCTGGCTATGCCGTGCTCGTCACGCTGGCAGAGCACGTCCCTTGTCCAGTGCAAGAGAGAGGGTCGAACCCGTGTCTCTCCCCCTTCCCCCGCCGGCTCCTCCTTCGTCCGTCGCACCCTCTCTCTCGAGCTCGCCCTCGACCAGGGCAGCGCAGGAGCTCGTTGCACCATGAGCGGCAGCGACACGCAGCACCTGCTGTCGATATTACGCGGCACGGCGGCCGGCCCGCCCCCTCCTCCTTCAGCGTCGTCGACGTCGTCGCAGGCCCCGGGACCGGCGGCCGCACCGCCGCACGGCCTGCCTGGCGTGCACGACTTGCAGCAGGACCACTCGGGACCCACGCTCGCTGCGCCCCTCGCGACAACCGACTCGCTCCTCGCCCTCTTCTCGCGGCCACACCCGTCGTCGGCCGACTCAGCCAGCCCCTCTCGCAGGCCGCACGAGGCCCCGAGCAGCATACAGCACCAGCATCCGCACCGCCAGCCGCAGTCGCACGGCCCGACGTCGCCCATGACGCGCCGCTCGAGCGACCTCCTGTCGCTCCTCCAGGGCACCCACGCCGCGTCTGCTGTCCAGCTCCAGCAAGACCAAGCCGCCGGCTCGTCACACGCACCGACCAACGGCGACATGCCAGCGAGCCCGGCCAGTCCGCCCGGCGGCAACGCGAGCCAGCTCCTCGGGCTCCTCATGGGCGGCGGCGGTCCCAGGTCGGCGCCCAACGGCTCGTCAACGGCCGACGTCGCCTCGCCGACGAGCGCACGACCTTACCCGCTGTCGTCGGTGCCGTCGCACCTCCGCCCGCTGTCGCCGGCGAGCGGCAGCGACACCTCCGAGGCGACGACCGCGGCCCCGGCTCTCGCGCCCGGTCGCCCGGCCTCGTCAGCGGGCGACGGCCCGATCTCGCACGTGTACCTCGCCGCCCAGTACCTTGTACCCGACGCGCCGCCAGCCCTCGGCGCCCCGGTCGGCCTGCGCCTGCCGCGCTCGGCGCACCCGCCGCAAGAGCCCCAGCACCTGTCGATCTCGCTCTCGGCCGCGCACGTCGAGGCGCTCGCGCCCTCGCTCCCGTCGACGACGCCCATCACGCTCTTTGCGGTCCCCGTGTCGTTCCCCGGCGCGAGGCGTGCCGCAGGGACGTGGGAGCGCGGGATCGCGTACGCGACGGGCGGCGGCAAGGGGCGCGTGCGCGTCATCGACCGCGAGAGCGGCGCGAGGGTGCTGCTCAAGGGCGGCAAGGGCGGCGACATAAGGGAGTTGAGGGTCGCGCCGTACGCGCTCGAGGGCAGGAGGAGGATCGCGACCGTCGCAGAGGACGGCGCGGTCGCAGTGTGGGAGGTCACCGACTCGTTCGAGAGCGAGGAGGACGCTCGGTCCGTCTGCTCCTCTCCCTGCGACTCTTACATCTTCTCCTGCTGCCCTGACTAACGATCTGCCTCCTCGCCGTGCAGTTCTCGCCGCATCCGCGACCTCGACTTGCCGCCGTCGGCCTCGCTCGTCCGGTTCAGCCCCGACAGCTCGGCGCAAACGCTCGTCGTCGTCGACTCCTCGTCCGCCATCCACGTCGTCTCGCTCGACGGCAAGGCCAAGCCTCGGCAGCTTCGCCACGACGGCGACATCGCCGACCTGACCTACTCGGCCGACGGCAAGCTCCTCGCCGTCGTCAACCGCGCCGGCGCGTACGCCGTCTACTCGGTCGACGGCCACAAGCTCGAGCGCTCGGGCTCGGTCCCGCTCGTCGATGGCGCCGAGGTCGACCAAGTCGCGCTCCTCGAGCCGGCGCAGCGGGACGACGACCACGTGCCGCTCGCGCTCGCCGTCTCGTCGCAGCAGGGCACCGTCATCTCGATCGTGTCGCTCGACCAGGCCGGCGAGGCGTCGGACATCATGTTCTCGGCGCCGCTGGGCACGCCCGACGCGTGGGGCGCGCTCGCGTACCACCGCGCGACGCAGAGCCTCCTCGTGTCGCACTCGCTCCGCGGGTCGATCTACTCGTTTCGCCTCACGTTCACGCCCGGCACGTCGCAAGGCGTCCGCATCGAGCACGTCGTCGAGCAGCCGACGGCCGAGCCCATCCTCAGCTTCGTCCTCGACCCGCTCGCCTCGGCCGACCCGCACGCCGCCACTGGCTCGTCCTCGACTGCCGCCGACCCTGACGGCCCACCCTCGAGCCCGACCAGAAGCAGCCCGCCGTTGCCGCAGCTCTCGTTCGGCGCCCTCGTCCTGCACCCGCGCGGCGTGTCGCACATCGGCCTCGTCGGCAGCGTGCCTCGCCCGCCCTCGCGCGCGCCGACGCCCTCGACGGCCGGCACCGGCACCGACGACGACGACGAGCCGCACCTCGCCGCCATGGCGACGGCCGCCGGGAGGAGGATGAGCCTCGAGGGCAGCATCTACGTCGCGAGCGAGGTCTCGGTCCGCGTCGACGAGCCCGAGACGGACGAGCTCAGCCTCAAGGTCGCGCTCCCGCCCGTCTCGTCGCCCCCGCCGATCTCGTCGCCCACGAGGAGCGCAGAGCCGGGCGCTCGTGACCCGCCCGTCGTCGGCGGCGCCTCGTCGTTCGGCACCTACTCGCTGTCGCCCTCGCGCGCGGCCGAGCCCGCGCTTGGCGACCTCGGCAACGGCATCTCGGGCGCCCGTACGCCGGTCGCAGAGGCGTCGAGCGGCAGCGGCGTCGCCGGCGCCGGCCCGGGCGCGAGTTCGAGCCCGAGCCCGCTGTTCAACGTCGGCAGCGGCAGCGGCGGCGGCGGCGAGCGCATCCGCCTCGCGGGCCCGGTCGTCAACGCGGCGATCCGCAGCATGAAGGCGCGCCAGCAGCACGCCGTGTCGTCGGCGGCGCTCGCGAGCCCGGCGCTGTCGCCCATCGCGTCGGCGCCGACGTCCGCGTCGGGCGGCGACAGCGGGTCCGAGCGGGACCAAGGTCCGGGAGCGGACAAGGAGAAGCGGCGCGAGGCGCGGGGGCAGCACGGCGAGGTGGGCGCGCGCGAGCTGAGGAGGCTCGAGAGCTCGCTGCCGCCCAAGGTCGCCACGGCCATCTCGCGCGAGCTCGACAAGCACTGTGCGTCCCCCGTCTCTCCTCCATTCGCCCTCAGTCACTGACGAGCTTGCACCCTGTGTGCGCGCCCTACAGTCCAGCAGCTCGAGCAGCACTCGACCGCCGCCGCCTCGGCATCGACCTCGCGCGACCAGGCGCTCCTCGCCGCAGTGCAGCAGACCGTCGCCGCCGCCGTCACTCGAGCTGTCGAGGGCGCGCTCGTCAACCAGGTCGGCGGCGTCGTCGAGCAGGCCGTGCGGGCGCAGATGGGTCGCACCGTCGAGGAGGCCATCACTCGGGTGCGTCGACCGCTCTCGCCTGGCCTTCTCTCCCCCTTCTTGCGGGACCCTGACCTCCTTGGTGTTACCCGCGCACAGGCCCTCCCTATCGAGCTCGAGAAGCAGCTCAACCGCCCTGCCCTCAGCTTTGCCCTGTCGTCCTCGATTGCGTCGACCATCGCCCCGCCGCTCGAGCGCCACCTCACCGGCACCCTCGTCAAGCTCGTCGTCCCGGCCCTCGAGCAAAAGCTCTCGGACGCCGTCGCCGGCGTCGTCGGCTCGATCCACAGCGAGATGGTCGGCGTCCGCAAGGAGATCGTCCAGGAGCAGAGCGGCGCCGTCGGCATCCTCGAGGACGAGGTGGCGAGCCTGCGGCGGGAGGTGTCGACGCTCAAGGCCATGATGGAGCAGATGCACGCGCTCGTGCTCCGGCGGAGCAACGAGTCGCGCTCGGCGGCGCCGTCGGCCTCGCCTCGCGTCCCGCAGCAGCCGCCTTCCCTCGCCCAGCACTCTCCGCACCACCCGCACCACTCGAACCAGCACCACCAGCAGCAGCAGTACCAGCAGTCGCACCAGCAGCGCCACGTCTCGCAGCCTTTCGTCAGCGCCGCACCTCCTCCTCCCGCCGCCGTCGTCGCCGCCGCCTCGAGGCCGCAGCCCGGCCCCTCGTCGGCCCTGCCCGTCGCCATGCATGCCCTCCCTCCCATCCCTCGCGTCGCGACCCCTCCCGAGCGGTACGAGGAGCTTTTCACCGAGGCGATGCAGCCGCAGCACGAGCCGTCGTTCGTGTCGCTGCAGCACCTCGTCGCGTCGTCGCCCCTGTCGCGCATCGACGCCGTGTTCCCGCCGCCACCGGCCCTGCCCAAGATCAGCATGGCCGTCGTCCTGTCGCTCGCGTACCGCCTGTCGCAGGTCGTCGCCGACCGCCGAGGGCCGCTCGACGACGAGTCCAAGAAGCTCCTCCTGTGGCTGCGCAAGGCGATCGCGGCGTGCGACGGCAAGGTGCGCCCCCCTCTCTCTTCCTCCTCGAGACTCGGAAGCACAGGTACTGGCACCTCGTTGTCCGGCCACGCGCAGCAACCGCCCGACCTGCTCGCCCTCATCCCGCGCATCCTGACCAACGTCGTCGACAACCTCGTCGTGCGCGGGCGCACCCTCATGGCGCTCCAGGACCTCGCCGGCGCCAACGACGTGCGCCTCGTGCAGCAGTACGCGCACGCGCGTCTGAGCCTGTTTGCGCAGCCGGGAGCGGGCGAGGGGTTCGAGCAGTTTCGGCGGTGAGGGCGGGAGGAGGCGGGCTCTCGGCTCTCCCTCCCCCTCTCGCTTGCGCCCGTCGTCGTCGTCGCAGTACTCTGGCCGTACCTCCGTAGCAGACAGATACCCCCTCGCTGTACATGCTCTCTGTGCAACTCGCTCGCTGTCCTCGGTCCCTCTCTCGTTTTCGCCGCCGAGAGACGCAAGCGCACGGACCCGCTCACGTCGTTGCACCCGCTCTCGCTCGCGGCGCACCCTCGACGACGTCGACGCACGGGCACGCTCACCCGCCCTCGCCGCCGCCGCCAACTTTGGGCACGGCGGCGTCCCACGGCCCGCTCAAGCGGTCCTTGTACCGAATGACGAGCCACCCTCTGACGAGGGGGGCGCCGACGCTCGTGCCGAGGAGGACTGCGGCGGCCCAGGGCGTCGCGCCCGTGTGCGTGCTGCGCAGGAGGACGAGGGCGGCGCCGGCGAGCGCGGTCGTGAGGGCGAGGGTCGGGCGGAAGGGGAGCGACGAGCGCAGGAGCGGGAGGGGCCCGAACCAGAGGGTCGCAAAGAGGAGGAGGGAGAAGACGGACGAGTTGGACGAGAGGCGAGACGCGAGGACGGTCGAGCCTGACAGGGCGGCCGTGAGCGAGATGGTCGAGGGGAGGGCGGCCCGGCGCGCCATCGTCGTCGTCGTCGTCGTCGCCGGCGAGGTCGTCGGCGCCGCCCGGTCGCGCGACCACCGCAAGGTGGACGAGAGCGGGATGGCGCGGTAGTCGGCGAGGAGCGCGTTGAGCGCAAACAGGGTGCCGCTCAGGGCCCAGATCGAGTCGGACGTGGTCGCGCGCGTGAGCGTCTTGAGTGCCGGCGCGAGGAGGTACAGCGCGACGAGCGGGATCAAGGGCGCGGCGGTCGCGGTCGTCGTCGTTGCCCTGTCGCCGCCGCCACCGCCGCTGTTGGTGGTGCCGAAGAGGGAAGTCGCCTCGCCGATGAGCCACGACCACAGGCGCAAGGCGGCGCTCAGGACGGCGCACGCGACGAGGAGGGTCGACGACGAGAGGGTGCCGTGCGACAGGCGGATAAAGACGGCGAGGAAGACAAAGGTGCACGAGAGGTGCTGCGTGATGGGCACCGTCTGGCGGAGGAGGGCCGGGAGCGACGCCGGGTGGACGTTGACTGCGATGAGAGCGGGGTGTTCAGTCTCGTTCGCTCGAGAGCCGTGGCGCCCTGCTAGACGTCGAGAGGAGAGACGGACCGTTGCGCTGGAGGTCGGAGAGGAACGAGGCGTCGACGTGGTTGTCCGGGTACGGCTGGCGGAGCCAGAGGACCTTGCGGTACGGCGCGAGCGGCGCGCGTTCTTGGTCTGCGAGCACAGGAAGCGACTCGTCAGTTTGACGGTGCGCGTACCACAGCGAGAGAGGGTGCGCACCTCGAACCATGCGGATGTGGTCGAGCGGGAGCGCGAGGAGGAGACAAAAGCGAGTACGGCCTTGGGCGAGGGTTTGCGCGGACAGCGAGCTCGATTCGGTCAGTGTCGGTGTTCCGGCTGAGCGAGCATGGCCTCTGAGGGTCGAGGTGAGCGGGCAAGCTGTCGAACCGATGAAGGCCAGACGAGGTCGAGCCGAGGGGGTTCTCGTCCTCACACCTCGCCGCGCCGCCGCTTGACTAGAGCTAGTCCCGCCGCACGCTCGTCTCGCCGCGTCCAGCCACCCGCTCGAGCCAGTCCCGCCAGCGCGCCGACGCCCGCCGCCCTCGCCGAGAGCCGCTCCACGTCCGAACACGGCTCATGGCCTCGCGACCGCCGCCAGCCTCGACGGGCGCACGCGCAAGCCCAGATGGATCGCCTGCCTTCTCGGTCCAAGTCCCCGTGCGTCCCTCTCGCCCCGGAGCTTTGCGCCCAGCGGTCGAGGCCGCCCCACCGCTCACCTCGCCTCCTCTGACAGCCGGGCAACCTCATCCATGCCGAGATCCTCACCGTCACGTCGGCCATGCGCAAGAACCAACGCTGGGCATCCGCCGCCTACGCCGCCTACCCGTACCTGAGCGGCTCGACCCGCCTCAACGGCTCGCAGGGCGTCGGCGGCTCGGGCGTCAGCTCGACCTCGTCGCCCTCCCTCTTCCGCGACAAGGACCACAACACGCGCACGAGCAAGAACGCCCAGGCCCTCGGCCTCATGGGCGGCTTTGCCGAGCTCAAGCTCCGCCTGCGTGAACTCGACGGTGAGCCGCCTCCTCCTCCTCCCCACATCTCTCTCTCTCTCTCTCTCCTTTCCCTGTCCTGCGGCCGCGCATCCACACGGAAGCTGAATCGAGCTGGCACCCACAGACGCGAGCAACCTCGATGCCGTCGCCCTCCTGCACCCGTTCCTCGAGGTCGTCCGCTCGCCCGAGACGTCGGGCCCGATCACGGCCACGGCCCTGTCGTCCATCGACAAGTTTGTCACCTACTCGATCCTGTCCCCCTCGTCGCCCAACCTCGCCCTCGCCATGTCGCAGCTGTCGTCGGCCGGCACGCACTGCAAGTTCGAGGCGAGCGACTCGGTGTCGGACGAGGTCGTCCTGCTCAAGATCCTCGACCTCCTGCGCAACTGCCTCACGGGCCACCTCGGCGAGGTCCTGAGCGACGAGAGCGTGTGCGAGATGATGGAGACTGGGCTCAGCATGTGCTGCCAGATGCGCCTCAGCGGTGCGTCCCTCCCGCTCTCTCCCCCTCCCGGCCCGAGCGACACCCATGACTCCTCGCCCTCCCCGTGCCCGCAGAGATGCTCCGACGATCAGCCGAGCGCACGATGCAGGCCATGGTCGCCGCCGTCTTCTCGCGCCTGCGCCACCTCTCGCCCGAGGACGACCTCGCCGCCGCACCGCCCACCTCGTCGGCCGCGTCCGTCGCCGGCGTCGACGACCCGGCGGGCGCCAACGGGCTCCGCATGGTCGCGCCCGACCCGAGGAGCGCGCAGATCCCGGCGGCGGGGCCGGGTGGGGGGGACGGGCTCGAGGAGGAGGGCGAGGAGCAGCAGGGTGTGCGGGAGGAGGACAAGGCGGCGCGGCTCGAGGATGAGAAAGACGGCTCGGTGGATGGCGAGGCGATCAAGGGTGCGTCCACGCTCCCTCTTCTCCTTCGCTCGACACGCTCTCCCGTGTCGTCGCAGACACTGAGACTCGACCGGCCCGCAGACGACGAGCCCGATATCACGCCGTTCGGCCTCGCGTCGATCCAGGAGCTCCTGCGCGTCCTCATCTCGCTCCTCAACCCGCACGACCAGCAGCACACCGACACGATGCGCCTCATGGCGCTCGGCCTGCTCAACATCGCGTTCGAGGTCGGCGGCAGGAGCATCGGCGAGTTCCCGGCCCTGCGCCTCATGGTCGCCGACCACCTGTGCAAGCACTTGTTCCAGGTGCGCCTCCACCCTCTCTGTCGCCTGCCGTCGACGTGCCTGACTCATCGCCCTGCCCCCAACCGCGCGCAGCTCGCCCGCTCCGACAACCCGCAGCTCTTGTCGACCTCGCTGCGCGTCATCACGAACGTGTTCGACACGATGCGCCCGCACCTCAAGCTCCAGCAAGAGCTCTTCCTCTCGTTCCTCCTCGACCGCCTCATCCTGCCCAACGCCGCCGGCCTGCGCAACGCCGACCTCGAGTCGCAGCTCGACCTGTCGACCTGGGCGCACGACGGCGCGTCGGGCCTCAACGGCGCCGGGCACGAGTCGGGCGGTGCGGGCGGCGGCGGTGGCGGTGGGCACGGCGGCGCGCCGGAGCGCACGTCGACGCCGACGCCGGCGTCGCGCGAGCGGGGCGGCGGCGCAGGAGGAGGCCCGAGCGCAGAGTCGCGCGAGCTCATGCTCGAGCTGCTGTCGCACCTCGTGCGGGGCAAGCACTCGATGGTGGACTTGTGGGTCAACTACGACTGCAGCGTCGAGGGCGAGGACCTGTACGAGCGGCTCGTCAAGTTCCTCAGCCGGGTGCGTCGCGCCCCCTCTCTCCCTCCTTCTTCCCCTCGGTCCGCCGACCGCGAGCCCTGACGCCTGCTGCCTCCACAGGGCGTCTACCCGCCGCATCAAGGCGCGTACCAGCAGGACAGCTCGCAGCTCATGTGCCTCGACACGATCCTCGAGCTCGTCGCCCACATGGCCGCTCGCCTCAACGAGGTGCGCCCCCTCTCTTTTCGGCCTCGCGCGCTCGCTTCACGAGTCCCTCACTGACTCTTCGTCACGGCCCGCAGGCGCCCGACCCGTCGCTGCCGCCGTCGCTCGCCGAGGACGTGACGGCGTCCAAGGCCAACAAGCGCGTCCTGCTTGAGGGCGCCGCCGCGTTCAACCTCAAGCCCAAGGTCGGCCTCAAGTTTCTCGAGGAGCACGGCATCATCTACAACGACCCGTCGGTCCCTCGAGCCGAGAGCCTCGCGCGCTTCTTCAAGACGACGCCCCGGCTCGACAAGCGCCTGCTCGGCGACTTTATCTCGCGGCCCGACCAGCTCGACGTCCTGAGGGCCTTTATGCACCTCATGGACTTTGAGGGCGTGCGTCCCTTGCCCTTTTCGCCTCCCTCTCTCGAAGGTTCACCTCGAGCCGCGCACTGACCCCTTTGCCCGCCCCCTCGCCCGCCTGCAGAAGATCATCTGCGACGCCATGCGCGAGCTCCTCGAGGCGTTCCGCCTCCCCGGCGAGTCGCAGCAGATCGCGCGCATCACCGAGACGTTCGCCGAGGTGTACTTTGCGACCGAGCCGCGCGAGATCCGGTCGCAGGACGCGACGTACGTCCTGTCGTACTCGGTCATCATGCTCAACACGGACCAGCACAACTCGCAGGTGCGCAAGCGCATGGACCTCGAGGCGTACGCGAGGAACCTGAGGGGCGTCAACGACGGGCAGGACTTTGACCCCGAGTACTTGGTGCGCCCCACGCTCTCTCTCTCTCTCTTTGCCTCCCTCTTTCCTTCCTTTGGGGCGCGCGCTCGGCGTCGGGCGAGGGCTCACTCGCCTTTTGTCCGCTCGCAGAGCTCGATCTTTGACTCGATCCGCAAGCGCGAGATTGTCCTGCCCGAGGAGCACCAGAACCAGGTCGGGTTCGAGTACGGGTGGAAGGAGCTCCTCCGTCGGTCCCGCCGCAGCGGTGCGTCCCTGCCTGTCCTCTCTCTCTCTCTTTCCCCCCACCTCTTTCCCTCTCCTCCCTGCCACACTCTCTCTCTCTCTTTCGCCCCCTCCCTCGCTCCCTCTCTTCCTGCGACACTGACTCGTCTCCCTCCCTCTTCCGCCGTCGACAGGGCCTTTCACGCACAACCCGACGAGCGTGTTCGACCGCGGCATGTTTGCCGTCGCGTGGAAGCCGCTCGTGTCGGCCATGTCGTTCGCGTTTGCCAACTTCCGCGACGACTTTATGGTGCAGCGCGCGATCGGCGGCTTCAACCACTGCGCGGCGCTCGCGGCGCGGTTCGACATGCCCGAGGTGTTCGACTACCTGATCCTGTCGCTGAGCCGGGTGAGCGGGCTCGTCCAGGCGCCGGCGGCGTCGCAGGAGGTCGGCAACTTCCCGGTCGTCGAGGTCGAGGGCCAAAAGGTGACGGTCAGCCCTGTCGCGGTCCGGTTCGGCACCAACGTCAAGGCCCAGCTCGCCGCCGTCGTCCTCTTCACGATCGCCAACCACAACGGCGCCTTCATCCGCCGCGGGTGGACCCAGATCTTCGAGATCTACCAGACCCTCTTCACGCACTCGCTCCTGCCGCCGTCGATGCTCATGATGGAGGACTTCCTGTCGGGCGCGTCGGCGATCCCGCTCAAGCCCAAGACGGTCGCCGCGCCGCGAGAGGAGCGCCGTGGCGACGGCGGCCTCCTGTCGACCCTGTCGTCGTACCTCCTGTCGCCGTACGGCGCCGGCAGCGACATGGCCGGCACCGACTTTACCGACGACGACATCGAGACGACGCTGTCGGCCGTCGACTGCATCGCCTCGTGCCGCGTCGAGGAGCTCTACTCGCAGATCTTGTGCGTCCCTCCTTTCGCCCGGTTCGGTCCTCGTCGAACCCGCCTCTGACGACCTCTCTTCGTCCCACGCCCGCAGTGACCTCAAGGGCGAGGCGCTTGTCGCGCCCGTCCAGGTCCTCGTCGACCTCGTCCAGCGCGTCACGATCGACCGCACCCGCACGCGGTCCGGCTCGGGCTCGGCGCCCAACTCGCCCCAGATCAGCATCACGCCGTCGAGGGTCCAGCTGCCGTACGACCCGTCGGCCGTCCTGCTCCTCGAGATCGCGACGAGCATCGTCGCGCGGTCGGGCGAGTCGTTGACCGACCTGTGGCCGTCGTCGTTCGACTTTCTCCAGCGCCTCCTCGCGTCGGCCAACTCGTTCAGCAGCCTGTTCAACGAGCGCGTCGTCGCGTCGCTCCTGCGCCTCGTCGCCGAGGTCATCAAGTCGGACGAGCTGCGCGACTCGTGCTTCCTCGCGCTCGACATGCTGCGGTCCCTGTCGCCGGCCGTCCTCAGCAGCGTCGCCGAGCCGCTCATGGCCGGCCTGTCTCGCGTCATCCTCGAGAATGCCGCACGCGTCCAGTCCGTCCTCTTTGCCTTCCCCGCCTGCGTCGTCTCGCAAAGCCGCCAACTGACTCGTTGTCACCCACCCGCAGCTCGCCGACCGAGTGGAACCTCCTGTTCGCCCTCTTCTCGGCCACGTCGGAGCAAGAAGCCGCCGCCAAGATCTCGATGGACCTCTTGCGGCAGCTCGCCGCCGGCCAACTCGGTGCTCGCCTGCACGCCGACAACTATGCCGCGTTCCTCAAGACGCTCGCCGGGTTTGCCCACGTCGCGCCGAGCAACAAGGCGAGCGAGCGTGCGAGCGACGAGGCGGCACTCGTGCGCGGCCTGCAGATCGTCGACGTCCTGCACGAGGTGCAGGCGGCAGTCCCGGACTTGATCGCGACGTCCTCCCTTTCGCCTGCTCGAGGTGCGCCCCACTCTCTCCTCTTTTTCTCTCGCTCGAGGAGCGGACGGCTCACGTGAACGATCTGCCCTTGCAGCCTGGGACGCCGCCTGGATCCCGCTCCTGTCGGCGTACGCGCAGCTGTGCCTCAACCCGGCTCGCGAGCTGCGGCAGAACGCCATCTCGAGCCTGCAGCGCACGCTCCTCGCGCCCGAGATCCTCCACAACACGGACGTCGACCTCACCGTCATCTTTGAGCGCGTCTTCTTCCCGCTCCTCGAGGAGCTCCTCAAGCCGCAAGTGTTCCGCCGCGACCCGGACGGCATGGGCGAGACGCGCCTGCGGGCCTCGGCGCTCCTGTGCAAGGTCTTCCTGCAGTACCTGACGCAGCTGAGCGAGCGCCAGGGCATGCACACCATGACCGAGCTCTGGCTCAAGATCCTCGGGTACCAGGACCGGTTCATGCACTCGGGCAGGCGCGACCAGATGGTGCGTCCCCTCTCTCTTCTCTCTCTTCTCCCTCCTCTTCTCCGTCGCGGTTCCTGACTCGTCGCTCGCTGTCGCAGTTCGAGGCCGTCCCCGAGCTCCTCAAGAACGTCCTCCTCGTCATGAACGCGAGCAACTTCCTCGTCCCGCCGTCGGTCGACGGTCGCACGCCCGAGCAGGCGCGCCTGTGGGACGCGACGTTCGAGCGCATCCACCCTTTCCTGCCTGAGCTGCAGCGTGCGTCCACATCTCTCTCCCTTTCGCGTCTCGTCGCACGGACCGCCCTGACGCTTCGATTTTGCAGGCGAGCTGTTCCCTCCTCCTCCCGTCCCGGTCCCCTTCTCGTCCCCCGCATCTTCTGCGCCACCTGCATCCGCATCTCAGCCTCTCGCCGCCGCCTCGCCGTCCCAGCAGCCGTCGCCACCGCCGCCGCCGCAGCAGCAGCAGCAGCAGCCGCAGCAGCGAGACGTCCCCGCCTCGCTGTTCGAGCCCGCCGGTGCGCCGTCGGCCCAGCAGCAGCAGCAGCAGCGTCCGCCTGTGACGCCCGGGTCCGAGAACACGGTCGACCTGTTTGGGCCGTGATGTTTGGGCCGTGAGGAGGGAGCGGGAGGAAGAGGGGCTTCGAGGCGTGAGCGAGTGTCGAGGAGGAGGATCATGTAGTCGTCGGAGCTGTGCAGTACGCTGTGCCTTGCTGTCTCTCTCGTCGTGGCCCTCGTCGTCTCCTCGCAGAGCGGGAGAGCACCGAGAGCAGCTGGAGATGATTCGAGGCCTGGGCTTCTGCCGCTCGCTCGCTCGCTCGCTCTCACCTCTCTTTCGCTCGGCCGCGGTCCGAAAGAGGGTATTGCACGAGCATGCGTCACCACACGCTGAGCGCCCAAGCCTGGCGCAAATCATCCTCGAGCTGTCGCTGCCGCCGTGCCTCCTGCGCTCGCGCCTCCTCGCGGCTCGACGGCGTCGCGCTCGACGGCGTCGCGCTCGACGACGGGGCCGGGCTCGAGATGGTGGGCGACGAGCGCGTGTAGCAGAGGAGGCGGGACTGGGGGGGCGAGAGGCGGGCGGGTCAGTGCGTTCGTCGTTCGGCGGGGTGCGAGCGCTGCGTGGCGCGCGAGAGAGAGAAAGAGAGAGAGGGAGACGGACCTGCTGCCCTTGGGTGCGGGCGGAAGGAGCGAGGACGCGAGCGAGGATCGCAGAGACGAGGCTTGACCTGCAGTCGTACCGGTGCGGGCGAGAGGCGGCGAGGCGAGGCGAGTTTGAGAAGGTCAGCGACGGCCGACCGCACTAGGAGGAGGAGGCCCGAGCGAGAGGGCACACATGTGTGGAGGGGTCGCGCTTTCCAGTGCGTGTGCGGGAAAGAGAGCTTGCGTGCCCTCGCGCCTGGGTAGCAGCCGCACTCCGTGTCGGAACAAGCCGGAGCGAGCGCGAAGCAGAGGGAAGGCGATCCTGGGAGGAAGCGGGGGTGGCGACGAGTGAGGCGGGGCTTGCGCGTCCTCGAGCAGGAGCCGAGAGGACGTCGCTGTGCTTCAAGCCGACGAGGAGGACTCGACCGAGCAGCAGCAGGGGAGGGACGACGAGAGGACCGTGCGCGCAGTCCGGTGACTGTGCGCCAACCTGGACGACGACTCTCCTCTCTCGCTCGCGCATGGACGGCCTGCTCTCGCCACCCTCGAGGTGCAGCGCACAAGGGGACAATCGAGCTCCATCTCTCGCCCCCATCTCGCGAAAAAAAAAAACGAATCTACAGCTTCGCCCGCCCCTGCTCCAGCTGCGCCTCGCCCTCGATCTCGCCCTCGCCCTCAGCCTGCACCCTCGCGCCCTCCCTCGCGTCCCTCAAGTACTCGTACACGACCGAAAAGTCCCTCGACGAAAAGTCGTCGCGCTGCGACAGGCGCTCGTACAGCTTTGCGGCGAGCTGGCCGAGCGGGAGCGGCGTGGACGAGCGCGAGGCCGACGTGAGCGCGAGTTGGAGGTCTGCGTGCGGGGATCGGGGTTGGTGGGTCGAGGAGAGAGGGTGTGGGTGGGTCGAGGAGGGCGACAGTGGGTCGAGCGAGCGAGCAAGCGAGCGAGGACGGGAAGGGGGCAAACAGGTCGTCAGTGCCGGCGCCTTGGGAAAGAGGCGGCGCCAGATGACGAGGGACCGTCGCAGGGCGCACCTTTGCTCATGAGCCTCGTGAGGAACCCGCCCGAGTAGCCGCGGTCGGCGGGTGTCCCGACGCCAGGGAGCGCGCCGGGCGCCGGGTTGTTGACCTCGCTCGGCCAGCACTTGCCCGTCTGCGTTGGCGTTCGCGCGCGCGCGCGGGCACGGGTCAGTTTGCGCTGTCCCGTGCGGCGGAAAGGGGGGAGGAGAGAGCGTGGACGCACAGAGGTGTTGATGACGCTCGCGAGGACGTCGGGCTTGAGGCCGAGCGACTCGCCGAGGAGCATGGCCTCGCTGGGGTTCGGGAGGGCGCTCGAGAGGGTCAGTGCGGGGCTCGACGAACGGAGAGAGGGTCGACGACGCACGCCGTGCCGATCATGTTGATGCCGAGGAGGAGGCTGCGTAGGGAGAAACGCGAGGGTCAGGGACGGGCGAGGCGAGCGGGCTCGAGACGAGCGAGGGAAGGGGCGGGCGGGACGGACTTGTTGCAGATCTTGACGGCCCTGCGACGCGTGTGCGTGGCGTCAGTGACCGGGTGCATGGAGAGAGAGAGAGAGAGGGAGGGAAAGAAAGGTGAGGCGACGCACAGGCCGTTGCCGGACGGGCCGCAGTGGATGAAGCGCGCGCCCATCTTTGCGAGGTGCGGTTGCGCGCGGTTGAACCTGAGTCGAGGCGCGAGGGGCGAGTCAGTCCCCTCGCACGAGAAAGAGAGAGAAGTATGGGGACGCACGCCTGCTCGGAGCCGCCGACCATGAAGCTGAGCGTGCCCTTGTCGGCGCCAACGACGCCGCCGCTCACGGGCGCATCGACCATGTCGACGCCGAGGTCGCTCGCCCTCCTCGCCACCTCGACGCTGTGCTCCCTGTCGCCCGTCGTGCAGTCGATCAAGAGCGTCTCCCTCCTCCTCGCGTCCGACAGGCCCTCGAGCGCCTCAAAGATGCCGTTCTCGCCGCAGTAGACCTCTTCGACCTCGTGGCGCGAGGGCAGCATCGTCACGATCGTGCTCGCCATGCGGGCGACGCCCGCGGGCGCACTCGCGGGCACGACGTCGCGCCCGGCGTAGGCGCGCGTGTGCTCGTCGAGGAACTTGGACAGCGCGGGCGGGTGCGCGTCAAACACGACGAACGCGGGCTTTGGTTGGCCCGGGGTGAAGACGCCTTGCTGGCCGGCGAACGTCTTGTTGAGGAGGTTGGCCGCCATGCCGCGGCCCATGGCGCTGCGTACGTGGGGTCGCGGGTCAGCGCGAGGAGGGAGGGGAGGAAGGGGAGAGGTGGGCGCACCCGAGGCCGAGGAACCCGAGGGTTGAGGCGCGGTCCGTGTGGCGCAAGAGCAGAGTTGGGCGCATGGTCGTAGGTGCCGGCTGATTGCGGTTGCGAGAGAGAAAGGGAGCGCGTGGTGGGGGAGGGAGGTCGAGGTCGGCGGCGTGCGGGCGAGTGAATGCGGCTGGACAAGGTCGACCCTGGTACTCGAGCAGCGAGTGCGTCTGAGCAGTCTCTGGACTAGCGAGAAGAGCGAGGACGAGGAGAGAGGAGGAGGAGGAGGAGCGAGCCGGTCCCCGCCTCCGCGTGAGCCGGCCGACTCGCGAGAGACTCTCGGCTTGCCTTCAAGCCCTCGGCCCTCTCTGTCGCGGTCGAGACGAAACCCGCAAGTGTCTGTGCACCGAGTGTCTGTGGCAAAGCTACGCAGAGAGAGAGAGAGGGACCGCACGAGTGAGGCAAAGCACCGACCCGACCCGACGCACTGACCCCGCTCCCTCCAGCCCCTCTCCCGCCGACCGCCGCGCGCCTCAAAGCTGCCACCAGCTCCTCCCCTGCCCCTCGCCCTGCTGCCCCTCGCGCTCGCGCTCCTCGTCGTGCCCTGCGCGCCCCCCACCGCCGCCGCGACGAGGCGAGCTCGGGGGCGTCAGCGGCCGCTTGATCCCGAACGACTCCTCGAAGCTCGTGTAGGTCGCGAGCGGCGGACGGGTGAGCGGCTGCTGCTGCTGGTGGTGCTGCTGCTGGTGGTGGTGCGCGTGCGGGTACGGGTGCGACGACGAGGGCGACGGCGAGTCGGTCACCATGACGGTGTCGCGCTCGTCGACGACGACGACGGCGGGCGACGACGACGACGACGACGACGACGGTGCGCGACTCGTGCGCCTGCGCGTGCGCGGCGGGCCGCCCGACGCCGACGCCGACGTTGCGCTGAGCGGGCTCGGGAGGAGCTGCTGCTGCGGCTGCTGCTGCTGCTGCTCGGCGGCCGAGAGCGAGAGCGGGCGCAGCGCAGCGAGCGTGGGTTTCGCCGCCCTGCTGCTGCTGCTGCGGGGCGCACTCACGGCAAGGCCCGCCGCGTCGCCGCCGCCGCGCGGGCTGTCGCTCGGGCTGGGCAAGAACGAGCCCGCGGCCCTCGGCGGCTCGTCCTCCCTCCTCGCGCCCCGTCCCTGTCCCGCCGTCCCCACCGTCCCCATCGCCGCCGCCGCCGCCGCTGCCGCTCGTTCTTCGCGATGATCATCGACGACGACGACCTCCGCCTCGAGCGCCCTTCCGCCCGGTGCCGCCTCTGCGCCGAGCGCGCGCACCTCGGTCGGGGTGACGCACGGCGGGAGCGGGAGCATGGGCTCGTGAGGCGCTGGGGGGTTCGAGCCGAGGAAGGCGAGCGGGCTGAGCGAGAGGGTTGCGGCTGGGGTCGGGGCGGAAGGGGCGGACGGGGTGAGCGAGGGGGTGCTGGAGCTGGAGGCGGGAGCGGGCCTGGCGCGAGGTGTCGGTGTCGGTGTAGGTGTCGGGGTAGGTGCAGGTGTCCACGAGTGAGAGGGCGAGAGCGCCATCGTCGACACGCCGCAGCCGCACGGCGGCGCCTCGGCCGCGCCCGCGCCCGAACCCGAACCCGCACCCGGCGCCGCGCGCTCGAGCGAGCCGACGACGACGGGCCCCGACACGGTGCGCAGGCCGGCGAGGCCCGGCGACGCACGCGACGAGGACGACGAGGAGGAGGCCGTGCGAGGCGTGGTGCGCTCGGAGCGGAAACGAGAGCGCGCGCTACTGCTGCTGCTGCTCGCACCGCCGGGCGCACTCGCTGCCGCGCCGCTGCTCGAGCCTGCGCCCGGACCCGCGCCCGCGCCCGTCGTCGATGCTGCGCGCGGCACGGCGAGCGACGCCCCAGCGCGGGCACCGTGGGGCGAGTTGCGGCGCGACGACGACGACGACGAGCGCGGCTTGCTGGGGTCGGGGGTCGTCGCCGAGCTCGAGGTGGCGCCGAGGCGGGGCGACGAGCTGCCGCTGAGCGCAGGCGACCCTGCGGGCTGCTTGGCCCTGCGGGTCCTCGACGACGACGACGACGACGACGACGACGCGCGGCGGCGGGTCGGGTGCTCGCCGCCGTCGTCGCCCTCGAGCGGGTCGGCGTTCTCGTCCTCGCGGCGGCGGTGGTGGTGGTGGATGGACGGCGCGTTGCCCTGACGGCGTTTCGGGGCGCGCAGGCGCACAAACTCGTCCGAGGTGAGGGCGTTGCGGATCACGGCCGCCGAGGAGGACGAGGTTGGAGACATGGGTGGGCGCTCTCGGGGGAGGCGAGGAGGAGGAGAAGACGTGGTGGGCGTGCAGAGTGTGGGTCGGAGGGGCGGTCGAGGCGGGAGCGAGGAGGGAGCGAAGGGTGTGATCGAGGGCGGGAGCGAGGGGGAGGAGGGGGAGGAGCGTGTCGGTGGGGGTGCGGGCCCTCACCAGGGGTGCGTGTTGCAGGCCCTCGAGCTGTGTGCAGTGAGTGCGCAGTCAGTGCCGGGTGCTTCGAGGGGTGCGAGCTGGGAGCTCATCAGGGCGCGACGACCACGCGGCGCGGTCGAGTGAGGGGGAGGAGAGGTGGGACACGCACCTGGGTGGCTGCGGGCGGCTGTGCGGGCGTGGCCTCGAGGTGGCTGTGCACTGGGCGGTGCTGCAGACGAGGTGCACGAGCGAGAGAGAGAGGGGTTGGCTCGAGGACGACGAGGCCGTGGCCGCAATCTCGCAGGTCGCTCTCTTGCTCTGGCCAAACCTCGACGCGAGGCACGCCTGCATCGACTGCACCTCGCTCAGCTACCTCGACGCGGTCCACCACCCTCGAACGAGCCCGCCTCGGTCCACCGCCTCGTCCTCCTCACCTCGACCCTTCCTCGGTTCGGTTCAGTGACGGCTCGCTCTCGCCCGCCATGGACACCGACCGCGACATCCCCAACAAGATCCGCGACTCGTTCAACGACAGCCTCGCAAAGGGCTACATCCACCTGTACCACACGGTCGACCACCACCTCGTCCAACACGATCCAGTCGGGTTCCCCCAGCTCGGCAACATCGTCCCCCAGCTGAGCGACAAGCCCCAAGTCCCGCCCAGGTGCGCCCTCTCTCTCTCCGCCCGAGCCACCAACCCCGGCCTCACTCTCCCCCGACGCAGCACGCCCGACCTCTCGACCCGCCGGCTCAAAGACCCGCTCCAAGGCCCGCACTACGGCCGCGGCGAGCACGTCCTCGACCTCGTGCACGAACCCTCGGGCGCCCAGTACGCCATCGTGCACAACCTGCACGCCCTCGCGCCCGAGCACTGCCTCGTCGTTCCGTGCTTTGACCCCGACGGCGAGGGCCCACACGTGTTCCGGCCCCAGACGAGCGCCTTGACAGAGGCCGACTTGTGGACGGCGTGGAGGGTCGTCAAGGCGTATGCCGACGAGGGGAGGGAGACGACGGCCTTCTTCAAGTGCGTCCCCCCCCCCCCCCTTCTCCTCGGGCGCGCGCACTCGCTCGCGCCTCGTCGATCTCGAACGTGGGACGCAGTGACTGACTCGTCGCTCGTCGGGCGCACACAGCGGTGGACCTCTTGCCGGAGCGTCGCAGCCCCACCTCCGTGCGTCCCTCCTCCCTCCTCCCTCCCTCAAGCCCCCTCTCTCGCCCACCCTCTCCCTTCTTCCCGCACCCACACCTGACCCTACACCTCGATGCCCGGCCGGCCACAGACATCCAGTTCATCCCCTTCCAGCACAACCGCGCTCCGGGGCCCGAGCACCTCGCGCGCTCGCTCGCGCCCGTCGTGTCGGCCAACAAGCCCGGCGCACAGCAGCCTGGGCCTGTCCCCGCAAGGCTGCCCGTGCCGTGGTCGATTTCTAC